AGAATGGGACTTTTGGCGGGCTCAGCAGGGCAGAGACAGCCTGAACAATTCCTATTGGCTTTGGAAAGCCAATAAAATTAGACTCTATTCAAGAGAATCTATTCTATTGGCTTTCAAAAGCCAATAGAATAAAAGGGAGTAGCACAGCTAAGGAAAAGGGGGAAAAAATGGTGGACTGCGTTGTTTGGCGACCCCCGTGAAATGGTCGTTCGACCCCAAATGGGGTCCTGACCCACAGGTTGAGAACCACTGATCTAAGCACAATGGTTAAAGTACCAGGTGTCTCTTTTCAGTTTTTCCAGCTTACTTTATTCATGTCATAATTAACTTAACCATGATCTAACCAACAAACCCTATTTTCAGGGCTAACACAACAACACACTAAATCAGGGGTCTTCAAACTTGGCCCTTTTATGACTTGTGGACTTCCAACTCCCAGAGTTCCTCAGCCAGTGTGCCAAGTTTGAAGACCCCTGATTTAAGTTATTTATTTTAAAAAAAAAAACAAAAAACACAGTCATTTTACTGTCTACATGTAAGCCCTCAAAATGTTAACCAGACAAGAGAATCGGTGTGGTGTAGTACGTTAGGATATTCAGATCCAAATCCATTCTTTGGGTCTGTCACTCTTTCCAACTCCAGCCTACTTCACAGGGTTGTAGTTGTGGGGGAATAAAGAGAAGGGAACACTAAGTCTGTGTATTTATGTTGTAGAACCAAAGCAGGATATAAATCCAACATGTCAACCCTACTGTCCTACAAGTATTGATCATTTCAAAGAAAAAGCTCATGAGGGGAGAGGCAGGGGAGATAAAAAGAGAAAGAAAAGATAAAAGGAGAAAGGGAAGTTTCATTTCCGTCCTTTTATAGACGTAGTCAGAAATACGGAATGTTTAAAACACTATTTTGCTTTACCTAACATCACAGTCCGAATTAGTACAAATGATTTGCTTACCTTATCACTGAATGACGTTCAGAGACGTGTCGAGATCAATGCCTCTACTAAGAGCTACAGCATTCAAATTTCGGTTTTTCGATTAAAAAAAATTGTATCAGAAGTCTACCATGTTAACTGCACATTTCTCAGTCTGGAAACAGCTGGATTATCCTACAGAAATGGCCTCAAGAGAGTTTAGATTTATAGGAAAACCTCACTTGTTTGGTTCAAAGTTAACAACGTCATGTAAGACTTACCGCGTCCGCAGCAATTCTGTTTTTTAAGGGATGTGGCAGAGTTATCGTTTGAAACCTAAAAACTCTTTTCTGAAAAGCACCCTAATGTACCTCAGTGCTCAACAGAAATATCACGTATAATTCAAGTGAAGGCTGGTTGAGGTCATCCAGCTAGTTTTAACCACCTTCGGTTTATGACTTAATAATGAGCTAAGTACATACATTGTCCAATGATATAAAATACATTTTTCAAATCACCAGGGCTACATTTATACAACTTTCTAAGCCAGAGCCAGACAACACATTCATACTTTATAGGAAGCTGGCCAACTTTTATTTTGTATGAATCTGGCCAACTTTTATTCTGTATGGAGCTGGTCAACTTTTATTTTCTTCCTATGATTCACGATATCTAACCTTGCCCTGTGCCAGTGATCCCCAACCTTTTCGGCACCAGGGATTGGTAACATGGAGAGAGGGTTTTTCACGGACTGGAGAGTGTGTGGTTTTGTGTGCTGCCTGCATCCCGCAGATGGGGCTTTACTTATTTGTGCGGACCGGTTGCTGGCATGCCACGGCCCAGTACCGGTCCACAGACTGAGGGTTGGAGACCCCTGCCCTATGCAACTCCTACTCCACATGAACTCAAGTATAATCAATAATAGACTGTGTAGGTATTTATTCTGAAATTTGCTTTCCTTGCATTATCGTCTGTTTTCTATCTATCAGGGTGATCTACAGATAGTCGTGATCAACCCCGACTGCTCTTTAGAAGGCCAGATCCTGAAGTTGAAACTCAAGTACATTGGCCACCTCATGAGAAGGAAGGACTCACTGGAGAAGAGCCTGATGCTGGGAAAGATGGAGGGCAAGAGAAGAAGGGGACGACAGAGAATGAGGGGGCTGGATGGAGTCACTGAAGCAGTAGGCGTGAGCTTCAATGGACTCCAGAAGATGGCAGAGGACAGGAAGGCCTGGAGGAACGTGGTCCATGGGCTCGCGATGGGTCGGACACGACTTCACAACTAACAACAAGTAGTCATGACTTACAACCATTCATTTCGTAATTGAAGCTACAACTGCACTAAAAAAAGTGACTTAGGACCATTTTTCACGCTTACAGCCATTGCAGCATCTCCACAGTCATGTGGTCAAATTTCAGATGCTTGGCAACCAACTCATATTTATGACGGTTGCATGTCCAGGGCGTCAGGCGATCCCCTTGTGTGTGACCTTCTGATCACAGTGATTCACTTAACTGTGACATGGAAGGTCGTAAAATGGGGCCAAACTCACTGAACAACAGAAATTTTGAGCTCAACTGGGGTCGCCAACCGAGGGCTACCTACATTGTAAAATAACTAAATACTCGTGACGTAAACTACCTCTTTGTACAAGCCATTGAAGAATTTAAACTCTAGCCATGTTCCATGAGTAAGTTAAGCACTTAGACGAGGCGGCATCACCAGCTCTGAAAAACTGATGTAAGCACAGTAACACACTGCTCTCTCATGGGGATAAATATTTATGACCCACTGGCAAAAAAACCCAGTGTGGCTTGATTTTTGTGTTGTGTTGTCCGCAAGCCGTTTTCCCTAACCCCACAATGTTTTAAGATTTTTTTTAACTAGGCTCTTCAGACTACAGTACAACTATCAAACATTGGTAAAGCTATTGACTAGGGCAGGGGTAGGCAACCTTGGCTCTTTTATGACTCGTGGACTTCAACTCCCAGAATTCCTGGGCCAGCCATGCTGAGGAGAAAAGGAGAGGTTTCCAAGCTGAGCCAGGCTGGCTCAGGAATTCTGGGAGTTGAAGTCCACGAGTCATAAAAGAGCCAAGGTTGCCTACCCCTGGACTAGGGCACAGGACAAAACACCAGCTAGAGGTCATAATATAGCCGGGCAAAGGTATATTTTCCAATTCCAATTTTTTTTTTAAAAAGTATCTAAATCACTCTTACAACCTGTTTATACCAGGGGTCCCCAAACTTGACAACTTTTAAGATTTGTGGACTTCAATCCCCAGAATTCCTCAGTCAGCTTCTGAGGGATTCTGGGCGTTGAAGTCCACAAATCTTAAAGTTGCCAGTTTTGAAGACCTGGGTTTATACCACAGCATGGTCTTTCCTAAGCTGAGGCCTATGAAGTCACCCACCGAACATTAACAAGAGGAGAAAAGCTGATATAGCACATCACCATTTAGATATAATTGTTTATACTGTATTCTCCTTTTTTGCAAATAAACTAGTATCAAAGTCAACCTGTCTGTACAAGCAGAATAATGTCAAGGAAAATTGATCGAAAAGATGGTCCCTTTAAAGATATTTAGGATCAGACACGGAGGCCCTTTCAGGAAAATAGTGCATCAATTCTACAATTAATGATCAACTCCATCCCAAATGTGTTGTCCTTGAGATTCAAAAGCTCTCTGTATTAGGGGGTCTTCAAACGTGGCCCTTTTATGACTTGTGGACTTCAACTCCCAGAATTCCTCAGCCAGTGTGACTGGCTGAGGAATTCTGGGAGTTGCAGTCCACAAGTCATAAAAGAGCCAAATTTGAAGACCCTTGCTCTATATCCTACTCCAGGAGTTGATATTATTCTGTCATCTATTAATAACATCGCAGTACTACTTTCTTTTTTATGCACCATGATCAAAAACCTCAAAAATGTTCATAGTGCATGATATCAGGAAGATCTCAAAGCCACGGTGTTAAGCTTACCCTGAAAGTAAATTCAGCTAGAATAACTGCAGCCATGAAAACCATTTCCCCCCCCCACACACACGTTTTAAATGTCAAAATTATACTAAAAGGACCCACTCATCTATGATTAACTTAACCATGATCTAACCAACAAACCCTACTTTCAGGGCTAACACAACAACACACTAAATCAGGGGTCTGCAAACTTGGCCCTTTTATGACTTGTGGATTTCAGCTCCCAGAATTCCTGAGCCAGCGTGTTGATATTATTCTATCATCTATTAATAACATCGCAGTGCGTGTCCTGTCCAGCTTTCTAGACGCAGAACGCTTTCTGTAATGTCCACTTTTTATGTCCACTAACTAAAAGGTAAGCCTTTGTTTATGAGATCATCAAAATGTCAAGAGTTAGTAATATCAACAGGCTGTCTACACCACATATTGCAAAGCAAATCTATCAGGATGCCCTGACTGCAATCTAAGCTGCCTCTTTTATCAAGCTTATTTGTTAGGGCTGGTCACGTCTAACCTCAACACCGTACGTTCGGCCCCAAAACGGGCTGCGCACAAATAGCTCTTTAAATCACAAGCCATGTATGGTTCTGCGAGAACATCACCCGGTGTGTCAGTTTACACGTTTAAAGTCTATTTAATCACGAGAGGTACCTTACCGCCATCAGATGTTCATCGCTAGAAAAGCAGAAGCTGCGAAAATGGGTCCAAAAATCTGGTGTGACCACCAGCTATTCCCTTCAGAAAGAATAAAACAAACTTGAGGAACAGAAGCTAAGAGATTCAGAAGTAGTAATTGTTTCCTGCCTCAAAAGGACGCAGTAGCCTTGTCCAAAATTACGCATAAGATGCCAACCAGAAATCAACTTTGCTCACAGGCCTGATAATATCTGACATGTTAAATGCTCACCAGTCAACAGACCCGACCATAATAAAGGACCAAGCCAACATAGGCCTCTTGGCACGGTTCAGGGTTACGTCTACCCAACAATCTACGTGGCTTTGAGGCAGGAACTTGGCTTGGGAAGGAACCCTTCAAACCCCCACCCCAAAAGAGGAAGAAGGTGGTCAGTTCCAAGCCAATCCTGTCCCTTTAGCTCTTCCTTACCTTCTTTATTAAGCCTCATCACCTCTCGGCCGCCACTGCTGCCCTCTTTCCCAGGGTCTTCTAGGTCAATACCTGAGGGGAGGGGAGAAAAGCATCATCAGGGAAAGATTGCACATCTGTACTCACATATGGGTCCAGCTGGGGCAACAGAAAGAGAGAGAGAATGAGAATGAGACAGAGAAAGAGAGCATGAGAGAAAGAGAGAGAATCAGAGGGAGAATGAGAAAAACAGAAAGAATTACAGAGAAAAAGAGAGAAAATGAGAGAGAGGAAGAGAGAATCAGAGAGAATGAGAGAGAGGAAAAGAGAGAAAGAGAATGAGAGGGAGAATGATAAAGAGGGAGAGAAAGAGAACGAAAGAGGGAGAATGAGAGAGAAAGAATGAGAGAGAGGAAGAGAGAGAATCAGAAAGAATGAGAGGGAGAATGAGAAAGAGCGGGAATGAGAGAGCGGGAATGAGAGAATGAGCGAATGAGAATGAGAAAGAGAGAATCAGAGAAAGAGAGAAAGAGCGAATGAGAGAATGAGTGAGAGAGAATCAGAGAGAGGAAGAGAGAGAAGGAATGACAGAATGAGTGAATGAGAGAGGGAGAAGAGAGAATGAGCGAATGAGAAAGAATCAGAGAAAGAGAGAAAGAGCAAATGAGTGAATGAGAGAATGAGTGAGAGAGAATCAGAGAGAGAAAGAAAGAGAATGACAGAATGAGTGAATGAAAGAGAAAGAGAGAATGAGCGAATGAGAAAGAATCAGAGAAAGAAAGAGTGAAGAAGTGAAGGAGAAAATGAATGAGAGAATCAGAGAGAGAAAGAGAGAGAAGGAATGACAGAATGAGTGAATGAGAGAGAATGAGAAAGAGAATGAGAGAGGGAGAATGAGAGAATCAGAGAGAAAGAGAGGGGGAAGGAGAGGGAGAGAGAAAGAGTGAATGAGAGAATGAGAGCAAATGAGTGAATGAGAGAGAATCAGAGAGAGAGAGAGAAGAAATGACAGAATGAGTGAATGAGAGAGGGAGAATGAGAGAATCAGAGAGAAAGAGAGGGGGAAGGAGAGGGAGAGAGAAAGAGTGAATGAGAGAATATGAGTGAATCAGAGAGAATCAGAGAGAGAGAGAGAGAGAGAGAGAGAGAGAGAGAAGGAATGACAGAATGAGTGAATGAGAGAGGGAGAATGAGAGAATGAGTGAATGAGAGAATCCGAGAGAAAGAGAGGGGGAAGGAGAGAGAGACAGAAAGAGGGAAGGAGAAACAGGAGAGGAGAACGAGAGAGAGAGAGAGAGAGAGAGAGAGAGAGAGAGAGAGCAGCAGAGGGGCCTGGCTGCCCCCCCCCACACACAGACACAGCCCAAGCCCCCACGGCGACCACTCACCCACCCCCGCCTCCCCACACGGGCATCCTCCCACCCCCCCATCCCACGCCCTCCCTCCCTCCCTCCCACCGCTCGGGCATCCTTGGCGCCCTCTCCCTCCCTCCCTCCCTCCCCCCCACCGGCACCCCGCCTGCTCCGCCCCCTCCCGGACCCGCGCAGCCCCCGCACGGGCTGGGGGGGGTGGCCGGGCGCGAGGCGTGCCAGCCCCCTCCCTCCCTCCCTCCCTCCCGACGCCCGGCATGTGCGCGCTGGGGGCGGGGGGGGGGTCTTACTGTGCGGGGGGGCGGCCTCCCGCACCCAGGCGGCCCAGGGCTGGCCCAGGAACGCCTCGGGACTGGGCACGGGCCGCTCCAGGGCCGCCATGGCAGCGGCAGCAGCAGCAGCGCCGCCGCCGCTCCTCCTCCTCTTCCTCAGCAGCTGCTGCCGCTGCTTCCTCCTCCTCCTCCTCAGTCTCCTCCTCCCCGCTGCCGCCGCCGCCGCCGCCGCGCGGCTCCCGCTCGCGCCGCCTTGCCCGTTTCCTGCGGCGGCAGCAGCAGCCGAAGCCGGAGCAGCAGCCGCGCGCGAGCAGGCAGCCACGGGATTCGAGGACGCCGCACGTCATCCTCGGGACGTTCCGCCGCCGCCGCCGCCTCAGCCGCCGCCTCCTCCTCCTCCTCCTCGGCCGCCGCCTCAGCCGCAGCCCACGCGGGGCTAGTGGCAGCGCCGGCTCCCTATCAGAGCCCGCGGGCCGGCCGGCCGGCGCGGCGCAGGCGCGCTGGCGCCGGGAGAAGCCGCGCTTGCCCTCAGAGCCCGGCGGGCCGGACAGGCATGGCGCGCGGCGGGACAGGTGGGCGGGGGGGGAGCAAGCGAAGAGGAGCGGGGTTGGGGAGGGTCAGGCGTGGGCGGGGGGCGCCCGGGAAAGGGGTCTCCTGGCGAGGAGGAGGAGGAGGAGTGAGGGGTCCTTGGTGCCCTCTGAGCTTGGGGGTTTTCTGGCGGACGTTTCACGACCCAACTAGGTAACATCATCAGTGCTTGAAGGGAGTGGGGTTTGTGGAATGATGGAGGAGGAGGAGGAGGAGGACTGAGGGGTCCTTGGTGCCCTCTGAGCTTGGGGGGGTTTTCTTGCAGACGTTTCACGACTGAACTAGGTAACATCATCAGTGCTAGAAGGGAGGGATGTTTGCAGAGTGGAGGAGAAGAGGAGGAGGAGGAAGAGGAGGGGGAGGGAGAGGAGGTGGGGAAGGGAGGAGGAGGACTGCGGGGTCCTTGCTGATCTCTGAGCTGGGTGGTTTTCTTGCAGACGTTTCATGACCCAGCTAGGTAACATCATCAGTGCTAGAAGGGAGTGGGGTTTGTGGAATGATGGAGGAGGAGGACTGAGGGGTCCTTGGTGCCCTCTGCGCTTGGGGGGGGGTGTCTTGCAGACGTTTCACGACCCAACTAGGTAACATCATCAGTGCTAGAAGGGAGGGATGTTTGCAGAGTGGAGAAGGAGAAGAGAAGGAGGAGGAAAAGGAGGGGGTGGGGAGGGGGAGGAGGTGGGGGAGGGAGGAGGAGGACTGCGGGGTCCTTGCTGATCTCTGAGCTGGGTGGTTTTCTTGCAGACGTTTCATGACCCAGCTAGGTAACATCATCAGTGCTTGAAGGGAGTAGGGTTTGTCGAATGATGGAGGAGGAGGAGGACGACAATGACGACTGAGGGGTCCTTGGTGCCCTCTGAGCTTGGGGGTTTTCTTGCAGACGTTTCACGACCCAACTAGGTAACATCATCAGTGCTAGAAGGGAGGGATGTTTGCAGAGTGGTGGAGAAGAGGAGGAGGAGGAAGAGGAGGGGGTGGGGAGGGGGAGGGGGAGGAGGTGGGGAAGGGAGGAGGAGGACTGTGGGGTCCTTGGTGCCCTCTGAGCTTGGGGGTTTTCTTGCAGACGTTTCACGACCCAACTAGGTAACATCATCAGTGCTAGAAGGGAGTGGGGTTTGCAGAGAGGAGGAAGAGGAGGAGGGAAAGAACTGTGGGGTCCTTGGTGCCCTCTGAGCTTCGTGGTTTTTTTGAAGACTTCTCATGTGTATGATATTGTATGATATTGTAGATCAGGGGTCTTCAAACCTGGCCCTTTTATGACTTATGGACTTCAACTTCCAGAATTCCTCACCCAGGCACACTGGCTGAGGAATTCTGGGAGTTGAAGTCCACCAGTCATAAAAGGGCCAATTTTGAAGACCCCTGTCTTAAATGTAACAAAGAAAATGGAGGCTGGCTGAGGAATTCTGGGAGTTGAAGTCCACCAGTCATAAAAGGGTCAAGTTTGAAGGCCCCTGTTGTAGGTAGTGTACGATAAACCACCATTTAATATAGACCGCTGTTTGCTGTGTTTATTCCTGGGTTATCTCAGCACAATAAGATTGTGCGCGCTCTTTGACAATTTGTGTTGCTAAGCAAGACATCGGTTCAACGAGTTTTGCCGGGTTTTACGATCTTTCTTGCCGCATTTGTTAAGCGAATCCCTGCAGTGGTTAAATTACTAACCCGGTTGTTAAGTGAATCCGGCTTCCCCCATTGACGTGGCTTGTCAGAAGGTCACAAAAGAGGGACATGTGATCTCCGGGGACACTGCAACCGTCATAACTATGAGTCAGTCACCAAGGTCTGAATTTGGATCCTGTGACCACAGGGGATGCTGCAAAATTCAGGCGCTTGGCAACTCTCTCACAGTTATGACGTTTGCAGTGTCCCGGGGGGGGGTCACGTGATCCCCCTTTTGCGACTTTCTGACGAGCAAAGTTCAATGGGGAAGCCGGATTCACTTAACAACGATGTCACTCACTTAACAACTGCAGTGATTCACTTGACAACTCTGGTGAGAAAGGTCGTAAAATGGGACAAAACTCAATGTTTCGCTTAACGACAGAAATTTTGAGCTCAATTGTGGCTGTAAGTCGAGGACTGTGTGTGTGAGCTGCCAACTCTCTCGCTGTTCATTCTCTTCAGCCTAAATATGTGTGCTTTAAAAAAAATATCATTTTCTTCTGCCTACTTGTACTGCTCTTGTGCATATCTGTATTCTCCTTGCTAACCGAGACTTTCAGCGGCTATAAAATAAATCTTTATTCAAAGATACGATGTTCCCTGAGTGTCTTCACACAAACACTTCAGGATCTATGGAAGCTGAGCTTAGCTAGAGTCCGGGAGCGGTGCACCCTTTTTTCTTCCCCTCCTAGCAAATCAAAACTTAATCATTGCCGTATTAAAACTGGTTAAAATGGCGCAGAGTCACTGCTCACCTTGCCTATTACAGCCATAGCTTTTCTAATAAGTACGAACCGTTTAGGGATTTTAGTTTTGCCTTCAGGCATGGCAGCCTGGAGAGCGTTTACTTCCTCTAAATTGGATGCTGTTTTCTGCCTGTAGCTTTTCAACCGATCCGGGAGGAATTATAGCAAAGGAACTGAATGCAAACACTCGACCGGTCTTGACACCTGTCTTGTCTGCAAGGGGATTTCAGAAACCCCCCCAAGTAAGGCTGCCACCTCCTTTGTGCTCAGGCTTACTTGGAATCAAAACTGATCATGACCAGATAAAGAAGGAATCCAAGATCATTTATTGCCTCATTAGAATCAAGGCATGATGTATCCTGCAATCAATGATGAGGGAGGGAGGGAGGGAGGGAGGGAGGGAGGGAGGGAGATTATCGGATGGAGGGATGGATGGATAGATAGGATAGATAGATGGATGGATGGATGGATGGATGGATGGATGGATGGATAGATAGACAGACACAGACAGATGGACAGACATACATACATAGAGATATAGATAGAACAGATAGACAAATAGATAGATACGACTGGACAGATAGATAGATATAGATAGATAGATAGATAGATAGATAGATAGATAGATAGATAGATAGATAGATAGATAGAAACAGACAGACATATACATACATAGAGATAGAACAGACAGATACGGATGGACAGATAGACATATACATACATAGAGATAGAAATAGAGATGGATGGATGGATGGATAGATAGACAGACAGACAGATAGATAGATGATGGATGGATGGATGTATAGATACAGACGGACGAATGGATGGATAGATAGATACTTTTGCTTTTCACAGAACGGTGTACGGTGGCTATGAATTCATAAAAAACAATATGCATCGTTTGATAAAACCAGTGTTTGTATATCAACATATTGCCAAGTAATACATAAAATAACGTCTTGCCTACAGGATAATTTTGGACAATTTCTGAATACGTTGCTGTTTTCATTAAATAAATTCAAAGGAATGTACTTCTATCTCATCATATTTATTCAGATATATTAATTGGTTAATAACCTAATTATTACAATATCTTCAACACACTATGTAGAAGTTAACTATTCTTATTATGTAGCTCTATTGCATCCAGTGGAATTCCGCCCCCCATTAGAGTGTTTTGTATCAAATATTACCTTCTTCCCTTTGGCTGAAAAATCAGATTATAATGTTTAAGCAGACATGTAATATCTTAGAACATTTGCTAATGGTTTTTAAATTCATGACACATGCAGTATAACCTTTAAACTTTTAAAAGCTGTGGTTGAAATACACCTCGGAAAGTAGCCGTTTGCTGTTGTCATAATTCTGCTGTGCTTTGCTTAAAATCAAGTTGTTTCACCCAAAGGAGAGAAAGACAATTTTCGATTTCATGAAAAGATGTTCTTCAGAATCTTATTTTGAAAATCACCAGAAAGTCAAAGAGTGCCTTATTGTTTTATATAATGTTTAATCAAAATATAAAAGTTAGACCTTGTGACACTAGGTGGCGATATTTCCTAAATCTAAGAATCGGAATTTGGTGAGGAGCAATGCACAACTACACAAGTTTCCTTAGTGCAGGCATATGTTTATTTTATATTCTAGAATTGTTCTCTCTCTCTCTCTCTCTCTCTCTCTCTCTCTCTCTCTCTCCCCCCCCCTCCCTGTATATATATGTAGGTCTTTGGTTATTCAGGTTTTCTCCCGCGTAAAATTGGAAGTGTCTTGGCGACGTTTCGACGAAGTCCCATTCGTCATCTTCAGGCTGGTGTTTTCGGCTTCGTGCTCCTAGAAGCATGAAGCCGAAAACACCAGCCTGAAGATGACGAATGGGACTTTGTCGAAACGTCGCCAAGACACTTCCAATTTTATGTGGGAGAAAACACGAATAACCAAAGACCTACATACAAACACCCGCGAAAACCTCAGAAAACATATTCTGGGAGTTGAAGTCCAAAAGTCATAAAAGGGCCAAGTTTGAAGACCCCTGATTTATACACACACATACACATACATATATGCATACATACATACATATATATTTGACAAGCTCAACCCTTCCAAAGTGAGTCTACTTCTCAGGGACTCTTTCTCAAACTGTTGACATTTTATATGAAATAAATAATATCCAGAAATGAAATAGGCTGTTTCTTTCATGTTATGGCTTGACATTGCATGCTTCTATTAAAAGTGGGATTCATTTTGGGATTCCAAAGAAGGACATCTGACCTAAAGGGTTCCCGTTAGTGTCACAGTGCTATAATGTAGGTGATCTGGTGACTTTCTAGGATAAAAGAATGATTCAAGCAATGGAAGACAAATACATTAACATTAAATGGCATTAACATTTTCTTTCTGTTTCAGATCCTGGGCGCGACTCAGCAAGAGAACCACAACATCAAGAGAGTTAATCAAACCTAGATTCCCTCCATTAAATATTATTACAGTTAACCCACCCTATCTTGATCACGTAGCACCAAGATTTACCACACTCCGAATCATTACTTTTATTTAATCCTGTTTATATCAAATGTTTATTTGTTTATTGTGAACAGATGCTTTTCTACTGCTCCAGTCGGCCAGCCGCTAAGCCTCCCCACAGCGGCAACGCAAGACACAATAAAACGATACGCGTACAAATTGTAATATTTAATCATCACTAACTATTAAATCATCATAAAACCATAGCCTCGTATATCATCCGTCGGTAATTCTAAAAAAGCTCTTTTAGCTGAGGCATATATTATCCTAGCCTGCAAAGCTACTTCGGCGTTTCTGTCTTACAAATGTCATTTTTGCTATGTATTATTTAAGACTTCAAGGAGAAGTTAACTAAGATAATCAAACCTAGCCCTGTGTGTGTGTGTGTGTGTGTGTGTCCCTTCTACTCTGTGAGTTTCTTGAACTTCATCTCAGATTGCTATCATTAAACTACTCACGGAAAAGTAAATAGGCTTCTGTTTTAGAAACTCCTTAGTTACTGCAAAAGTTTTGTTTGATTGTCGTTCTCACTGCCTGATAAGGGGAACACCTATCAGTGGAACCACAACAATCTGGAGGCAACAATCAACGGAGCCACAACACTCTTGAGACAACAGTCTCAAAATCTATTTATCATGGAAGGTTGCTTTTTCAGAAAGACACCGAATGAGATCTATCTTTGCTTCGTTGTTTTACTAGTAAAAATATCTGGTAAGAGATCCATTTTATTCATCTGAGATATGGAGATTTGTTCTGCCTAAAGATTTGTCAGCTTTAGTGTTTTAATAACTGGTTAGACCGATATAGTCCCCTTGTGAGGTTTTTTTTTTAAAAAAAACTAAATTTATGTAGATATTTCAACAGTTTATCAACTGGCACAAGTAATTCTTGCCAGTGCACAGATTACAATCAAAACAATAACATAACTTAGAAATAAACTTCCCAAACAAGAACATAAGTTTTTTTTTTCTCTTTTTAACAACTCTATAATCCCTGGCATCGGGATGGAGACATAAGACATAAATAATTCCATTTCCAATCAATGCAGATAAGGTCTCTTACAATTCACCCATATTCTTAATTTTCAAAATGACGGAGCATACTAAAGGTCTGTTAACAGTGATGACATAATATAATTTAATTTATTTAATTTAATTTAAGGGATTCTGGATACATATTCAATAGATTCTTATACTTAAGAACAGGACACGGTATGAACTGATCTTTAGTCTTATATTCATAGTATGAATCCCAGCATCCAATACCTTTTAGTTAGACCCAGGGGTAGGCAATCTTGGCACTTTTATGACTTGTGGACTTCAACTCCCAGAATTCCTGAGCCAGCATGGCTCAGCTTGGAAACCTCTCCCTTTCCCCTCAGTGTGGCTGGCTCAGGAATTCTGGGAGTTCAAGTCCACGAGTCATAAAAGAGCCAAGATTCCCCACCCCTGGCTTAGGCCTTTAACTCCCAGAATTCCTGATCCAGCATGGGGGAACTACGGCCCCTTCATGACTTGTATACTTCAACTCCCAGAATTCCTGAGCCAGCATGGCTCAGCTTGGAAACCTCTCCCTTTCCCCTCAGCATGGCTGGCTCAGGAATTCTGGGAGTTGAAGTCCACGAGTTATAAAAAGAGCCAAGGTTGCCTACCTCTGAGTTAGACCAATGTAATTCTCCTTTATGCCTTAATTTTAAACTTTCCTTGGTTTGGGGCTTGGAATTTGTGAGGTGCAGCTACAGAGAAGAATGGATAGTATTTTTCTTACTTGTAAGACTTCAGCTTTATAGACACTTCAATTCCAATAAAGGCTACATATGGGCACCATGAAACGGGAAAATCAATATAATGCAGTAAAAATCATCACATCTATCTTCTCTTTTTTTTTTTTTTAGCAAGCCAACAAAAGCATTTCCGTTTTAGGAAACTTTTATGGCTAATTGACTGATATCTTTTATTAATTGGCTTTGTGCTTAGACTCATCTAATTTTATTTTATGGCTATTGGCTATGGAACGTAAGTATTTATTGCGATTATAATCGTGTTTAGTGATTCACTGTAAATTGCTTTAAGAGTTTATTTGGTCAGCTGCCAGCCTATGCAGTATATAAAATTAAAAGGCAAAAGACCAGCCTTCCTAGTGGATGAAAAGCAAATGGGTGGAGCTTGCAGAATTCCCGACAGGAATTCTGGGATCTGTAGTTCCAATTCTTCAGATACTCTCTTCCCAGCTGGGACTGAGAATCCCAGTCATTTAGGCGTTACCATTCTAGAAGTCATAGGAAATCCATGATTGGTTCTGCAGTACAGCTAATAAATTACATCTGAATATAGTTCGATAATGTGATATACTCTCTAGCTTGAATCTCTGTGTCAGCAGTTCATTAAAATGATTTGTTACTAAGTGACCTTAGGTCTCAAGCTTTACGGAGGATTTATATTTATAAGTATTTATTAAATGTTTATTCGTTTAACATACTGTTTCATATTGTTTTTATTATGCTGTAAGCTACCCAGAGTCGCTTGATAGTGATATATATATGGCGGAAGGAAGGAAGGAAGGAAGGAAGGAAGGAAGGAAGGAAGGAAGGAAGGAAGGAAGGAAGGAAGGAAAACAGATCGATGAGAGATAGTAGATATATGATTGATAGATAGATAGATAGATAGATAGATAGATAGATAGATAGATAGATAGATAGATAGATAGAAGCACAAAGCCGAAAACACCAGCCTGAAGATGACGAATGAGACTTTGTCGAAATATCGCCAAGACACTTCCAATTTGATGCGGGAGAAAACCCGAATAACCAAAGACCTACATAGTTAGATAGATAGATAGATAGATAGATAGATAGATAGATAGATAGATAGATAGATAGATAGATAGACAGACAGACTGTCATATGAAGGGAAGGAAAGGAAAGGAAAGAAAGAAAGATGGACACCAGAGTTTCTGCTACTCCTGTTTTTCTTCAATTAAAAGAGGGAGCTTCAAAGTCTAGGGATACCTTATTCCTTCTTCTCTTCTGTCCTTTTCAGATTTTAGGTAGCAAAAACAACCATCAACATCAGAGTAAATGGTAGGAAAATGCAGCACTAATGGAAGACATTTGATACCCTAACTCTATAAAATTCTCCTTATGAGGCCCAAGAGCTACTTAGGATAAACTCATTTAGATGCAGTCTGACACAATAAAATTCTTCCCAGTTTTGGCTTCCCTACTGCTTTTATGCCCATCAGCCCTGGATGAACCATAAGGCAAAATTAGCCTGAAAGATCAACTCAGTGCATGAAGATTCAGTTAAACTGATTTATCGCTAAAAGCCTATGTCCAGGAATCTTCTCAGCTAACACTCATACCCAGTTAGATAAGGGTCAACAGAATTCAAAGGAAGCTGGAGGTACCTCGCTTGTGGCTACATAGAGATTCTAGGCTGATGCCTCTTTTGACTCCAACACCAAGTTTTATCTCTTCTTCTCCTACACACCTAATGACTTTAATCTGCAGTATTTTTTTTTTAAATGCTTTCTTTGGAATAGTGAGTGACTACAGTTGAAAAGTTTGGCTTGAAAATAATCCTCAGATATCACCGTTGTTTCCATCTCCTGCTGGGAGAATTTCACTTCCACCCAGGGGCTTTGTTTGGGGCATCGCTGGGTTTTATTCCAGCCCTGCTCCCCATGAGTTACAACAGAGCTGCAATAATAGCAAAGGTAGAAAAATAGTTGTCTTACTATTCATCCAAAGCCCTTCAGGTATGTTGGCCTGGTAGTCATCCTTTCTGAGGCCAATGAGTGCTTTCCAAATTTCCTGGAGGGTGTGAAGCTGGGGGCATTGAGATTGGGATAAATATGTAAAAGATGTCAAATGAGAGATACTGAGGTAAACTGAAGTTTTGGAGTATCTACCACAGGGGGTCTTCACAATTGGCCCTTTGATGACTTGTGGACTTCAACTCCCAGAATTCCTCAGCCAGCGTCATCAAAGGGCCAAGTTTGAAGACCCCTGCTTGTGGCTGAGGAATTCTGGGAGTTGAAGTCCACAAGTCATCAAAGGGCCAAGTTTGAAGACCTTTTATCTATCTATCTATCTATCTATCTATCTATCTATCTATCTATCTATCTATCTATCTATCTATCTATCTATCTACCTACCTACCTACCTACCTACCTACCTACCTACCTATCTATCTATCTATCTATCTATCTATCTTTCTCTCCCATACATACCTCTCTATATCTCTATTTATCTCTATCATCTATCTATCTATCATCTATTTATCATCTATCTATCATCTACAAGGGTCTTCAAACTTGGCCCTTTGATGACTTGTGGACTTCAACTCCCAGAATTCCTCAGCCAGCGTCATCAAAGGGCCAAGTTTGAAGACCTTTGATCTATCTATCTATCTATCTATCTATCTATCTATCTATCTATCTATCTATCTATCTATTTATCTATCTATCTATCTTTCTCTCCCATACATATCTCTCTATATCTCTATTTATCTCTATCATCTATCTATCTATCATCTATTTATCATCTATCTATCATCTACAAGGGTCTTCAAACTTGGCCCTTTGATGACTTGTGAACTTCAACTCCCAGAATTCCTCAACCAGGCACGGTGGCTGAGGAATTCTGGGAGTTGAAGTCCACAAGTCATAAAAGGGCCAAGTTTGAAGACCCCTGATCTACCGTATGCCTGGCTGTAAGAGTTCAACTACAATTGACCCCCAAGTTTCTATTGCTAAGCAGGACAGTTGTTATATTTTGCCCCCATTTTACGACCTTTCTTGCCACAGTCATTAAGTGAATCCCTGCAGTTATTAAGTTAGTAACACCGTTGTGAAGTGAATCTGGCTTCCCCCGTTGACTTTGCTTGTCCAAAGGTCCCAAAAGGGGAACACGTGACGCCCCCGAGACACTGCAACCGTCGTAAATATGAATCAGTTGCCAAGCATCTGAATTTTGATCACGTGACCGTGGAAATGCTGCAATGGTTACATGCAATGTTTGTAAGTGTAAAAAAAAACGGTCATAAGCCACTTTGTTCAGTGCCGCTGTAACTCCAAATGGTCACTAAATGAACTGTTGTAAATTGACTGCCTCCACCTCCATAGATGCCCTCACACACAGATTAGAAGAGGAAACAGCGGGAGGAACATTGGTAGCGAGTTAAAAAAAAAAATCAAAATGGCGGCTTCAACCATGCAATCAAAGCCACACACCCCTTTTTTGTGCATAAGGCGGGGCCAGGTTTCACAACGGCAGCCACCATCTTGATTTTTTTTGATCTACCACCCCACAGACACCCCTGTAAACGTAGCTGCTTCTCCTTAATGGGGAAGTATACACGTTGAGTAATTTGCACTTTGAAATAATGCTCCCCAACAACGCCTGTTTTCCTTCGTCCACAATCTACAGGGGGAGAAACCCTCAATTTTTCTGATTTACCTGCAACGGGCAACGTTGCAGAAAATTCACCTTCTGGGACCCTGGTGCATGCTTTTGGAGTCAACTTAACGCCACATCTGTTGCCAGACATTTCAATACCGCCTGAGTATCCTTTAATCATCAATTCAAATCCACTCACACAAGCTTTCCGGATCAACCCCATATCTCCACTTCACTATCAGGTATGTGTTTCCTTTGCAGCAGAAGCCGTGGCTGGTAACTGGAAGCAGATGCATGTCGTCCTCAATGTACGACTTTAATTGAGGCCAAAATTTCTTTTGCTAAGTAATACAGTTGTTAACTGTTGTTGTTGTTGTTATTATTATTATTATTATTATTATTATTATTATTATTATTCATTAGACGTGAACCTCAGTCAACTGAACATTCAAATTAACTGGCGCTGATAGTTGACACGGGTTGCTGCCAGCATCCTAGGTGTCAACCAGGCACCTCCTTAAAATATAAGATCTTCCGAGTAGCACAGTTTATTTGTAGCATTTCTAGAGTTATTGAAGGAAGCTGCAGTTTCTTGATGTATTTTGCAAAGTTTTTGGAGATAGCTCCCAGTGCCCCGATGACAATGGGTATCACTGTTACACGTTTCATAATTGTGCAGTTTAGATGGCCAGCTCGCGATATTTTGTAATTTTTTCCAGTTCTTTTTCTTCGACTCTGGCATCTCCTGGTACAGCGATATCAATCAGCTGTACGCTTTGGTTCTCTACAACTGCGATATCTGGCATGTTGTGTTCCAAATGGCGATCTGTCTGTATTCGAAAGTCCCACCAGATCTTCAATAATAATAATAATAATTATTATTATTATTATTGATCATCGCACAGTCAGCCAGATGTTCAGACTGGATTTGGCATTTTGTCTACCTATCGAGTCCTTACCCAGGACCTGGGATAGGCAGATGTGGATGTTCGATGGTATTACAGATATCGTCGCAGGATGGAAGCAGTTCCTAGTAAGGCTGCCTTTTGCAATTGACTAATAGCGAATTTGTCAATGCCAATGGTGTTCAAGTGGTGCTCCAGTTGTTTTGGGATTGCACCCAAGGAGCCTATTACTATTGGTACTACCCTTGCTTGCTTTTGCCACAGTCTTTCTATTTCTATTTGTAGTCTTTGTATTTTGTTATCTTCTCCAGTTCTTTCTCGTCTATTCTGCTGTCTCCAGGCACTGCCACATCCACGATCCAGACTTTTTTGTCTTTCTTATCGACAATTGTTAAGTCTGGGGTGTTATGTTGCAGGTGCTTGTCTGTTTGAATTCTGAAGTCCCAGAGCAGTTTAATTTTATCATTTTCTATGACTTTCTCTATTTTATGATTCCACCAGTTTTTGCTTACAGGCAACTGATATTTTTTGCAGATCTTCCAATGCACCATTGTTGCTACTTTGTCATGCCGCTGCTTGTAATCAGTCTGTGCAATCTTCTTGCAACAGCTTACCACGTGGTCCACTGTTTCTTCAGTTTCTTTGCATAGGCGGCACTTACTGTCTGTTGCTGTCTTCTCAATTTTGACTTTGTATGCATTTGTCCTTAAGGCTTGGTCTTGTGCAGACAGAATTAGTCCCTCGGTCTCTTTCTTCAATTTTCCTGCTCTTAGCCATTGCCAGGTTTTATTATTATCTGCTTTCCCAGCTATTTTTTTCATGTATTGGCCATGTAGTGCTTTGTCTTACCATGCCTCTATTCTGTTCTTCATTTGGTCTTTCTTGTAGGCCAGTTTGGTCTCTCCAGTAGTTAGTAAGCCTTCCTGATATACTAATTTCAGTGCATCTTCATCATTGTTCTTCAGATATTCTTCCAAAGCCATTTTTTCTTCTTCAACCATCTGATGTACTTGTAGCATTCCACGCACACCTATTTGCCTTGGTAGATAAAGTCTATCAATGTCACTGCGTGAATGAAGGGCATGATTCATTGTCATTATTTTTCTGGTCTGCCTATCCATTGCTTTTAGTTCTGCTTGAGTCCAGTCCACTATTCCAGCTGTGTACCTAATGACTGAGATTGCCCAGGTGTTGATTGCCTTTATGGTATTTCCTCCATTGAGTTTGGACTTTAAGATCTTCTTCACTCTCTTGATGTATTCACCTCTAATCTTTTTCTTGACTTCAGTGTGCTTGATGTTATTATTATTATTATTATTATTATTATTATTATTATCCTTATTATTATTATTACTATTATTATTTCCTGCATGTCTTCAGCATTTCAGGATAATCATAAGCTTTGTAGGCATTTAGAAAGGAGAGACAAAGCTGCTGTCGAAAGGGCCCTAAATTTAAACCCACAAATTTTAATGCAACATAAACCTGATTCCCCCGTCTCATAATTTATCTTTGGTTTATCGTTTCAGGTGGTTACCACAGGAGACCCCGTTCTAGATTATGAAACCATGCCCCATGCCTTTGACCTGCAGATCCTTGTTGCTGATTCTGCAGGAGCCATGGAGCTACAGGTTCTGACCGTCCAAGTGACCGATGTGAATGAACCTCCGGTGTTTCAAGGCAACTTGGCAAATCAAAGTAAGGCAGCGGCTTTGGTTTAAAAGCAGAGTTTTGCCATACAGGTAGTCCTCGACTTACAACAGTGTTGTTTAGTGACCGTTCCAAGTCAAAAAAGCGACTTGGGACTGTTTTTTCATTCTTACGGCCGTTGTAGCATTCCTCTGGTCACGTGATCAAAATTCAGACACTTGGCAACTGACTGGTATTTATGACGGTTGCGGTCATGGGATTCCCCCTTGTGGGACCTTCTGACCAGCCAAGACAAATGGGGAAGCCAGATTCACTTTAACAACCATGTTACTAACTTAACAACTGCTGCGATTCACTTAACGACTGTAGCAAGAAAGGTCATAAAATGAAGCAAAACTCACTTAACAAATGTCTCGCTTAGCAACAGAAACGCTGGGCTCCGTTGCCGTCGTAAGGCGAGGGCTATCTGTACTGCTGTCAGCTGGTTTCCGTTCTTTCATAACCAATTACATATAAAGAAGCACTGCATTCAAAATGTACCGCGACAGGGAGCTAAGAACAGGGTCAAAGTGACATATAACTATTGAAGAACAGAGAAACCGGCTCACGAAACCCAGAATCCAAGTTGTGTAATGGAAAAAGAAGCTCTTTCCAGATCAGTGGTTCTCAACCTTTTTAATGCCGCAACCCCCAACCGGTCGTAAGTTGAGGACTACTCAACGTGCAGCACCATTTGCAGAATGGGACTTTTGGTGGGCTCAGCAGGGCAGAGACAGCCTGGACAACTCCTATTGGCTTTGGAAAGCCAATAGAATTAGACTCTGTTCAAGAGAGTCTATTCTACTGGCTTTCAAAAGCCAATAGAATAAAAGGGAGTAGCACAGCTAAGGAAAAGGGGGAAAAAATGGCGGACTGCATTGTTTGGCGACCCCCGTGAAATGGTCGTTCGACCCCAAATGGGGTCCCGACCCACAGGTTGAGAACCACTGTTCCAGACAAAAGCTGTTGCTTCAGCTTCCTAGAACAGTTTTAATTCCTTCAAATTAATGTATACTACTTTTATCTGCATAGCCGTCGTCATCTACATCTTGGAAAGGACACCACCCGGAGTTATTTATCAAGTTTACGCAGGGGATCCGGAAATGACATCGCCTAGAAGAGTTGAGGTGAGTAGAATTCGACTCATGTTAACATCCATGACAATCACTCTCTGCTAAATTCAGGCCTCAGAAACCTTCCTTTAACAAAAGGCTTGCGTACCGCATGTTATATTGCACTTGTGCAACGGAGCTTTTGAAACCAATTTGTCAAAGTTATGTGAAATGGAAGAGCCAGGCCAATGGAATGTTTACCCTCCAGCTTTATGTATTTATTTGATTTTTATTTCACCTTTGTTTTTGATCAGCTCAAGGCAACGAACATACCTAATAATCTTACCTCCTGTTTTCTCCACAACAATCTTGTGAGGTGGGTTAGGGAGAGAGAGGGAGAGAGGGAGGGAGGGAGAGAGAGAGGGAGAGAGAGGGGGGGAGGGAGGGAGAGAGGGAGTTATTGGGCCAAAGTCACCCATCTGGCTTTCATATCTAAGGAAAAACTAGAGCTTATCAATTCCTGATTTCTAGCCCAACACTTTAAGTACTACCCCAAACTGGCTCTAGGCTTTAAATGGAAGAATTGCTGTTGGTTTTGCTTGTCAGGTGCAAGGATCAGGACCACATGTTAAGTTGCCATTCAAAAAGGTTGTATTGTCCGGGCCTATACACAAGAATCTAGTCAACAAAAATTCAGTACTAAATTGGCACCAGATATGGGTCAATGGAATTCAAGAAGGCCGTTTGTAGCAGCGTAACAACTCTAACCTGATGGCATGTTTAACTCCACCCTCCAACTCTACCTGCCCTATTTAATTTGGAGGTTTTATAAATAGATGTCCCTTTAGGACAGTGGTGGCGAACCTATGGCACGGGTGCCAGAGGTAGCACTCAGAGCCCTCTCTGTGGGCACGCGCACCGTCGCCCCAGTCCTAGGCTTTCAGCTGGGTTTTATAAAACCTTTTCGCTTTAGGCCTCCGCCGCCATGTGCAAAAAAAAAAAAAGGTTCAATTAGTCAATTTCAACTTCTCGCAGGAAAAAAAAGATCTTGCAAAGTTGTAATTGATTGAACTTTTAGTCCCACCCAGTCTGCCATTACTACTGCAGCCACGCCCACCCAATGGGCCACGCCCACCCAATTGGCCACACCCAGTCAATGGGCCACACCCATCTGGCACTCGCCGATGCATAAGTGGGTTTTGGGTTGCAGTTTGGGCACTCAGTCTCTAAAAGGTTCGCCATCACTGTTTTAGGATGACTCAGGACAACCTAGAGGTTAGACAGTAAACAATCAATAACAACCATAAGCTAAGAAAATTCGTTTCCCCCAAATCCTGCCAAAATCCAACAGTAGCACTACCCCAACAGGCAGGAACCCTTCCCTTCCCCTCACTTCTCTTCCTTTCCTTTCCTTTCCTCCTTCCCTTCTTCCTTCCTTCCTTTCTTCCCTCCTCAACAAGCAGGTAACTGGCTGCTGCTGGGTGAAGGAGGAAGCAAGGGATTGCGAGAGTGGCTGGGAAACTGTCACAGAACGTTGAAAATGGCCATGTGACCACAGCAGCAGCTCAGCAGCAGTCCGGCAGCCACAACTTCCCCCAAATTCATTCCCTTGAGAGTTATGGGTCACAGAGTTTGAACACATTCTGTAAATTAGCCCATTTGAAGTACCTTGATTCAAAATTGTTGCCCTATGATGCAGTGTTTCGCCCAGTTAAAGGTCACGGCACCGAGACTTTTCGCAGCATCTGTCACAAATGATCCCATTGCATCTGATTATTTCTTCCAGTTTTCCCTCAGTCCAGATTCCACATTCTTTTCCATTTCTCCAACTGGGACCATTTCTACTTTGAAGGAATTTGATTTTGAGAAAGATCTACCGAGGTAAGATCATATTCACGATCCAGAAATCAGGAAATGAAATCAGGTTTGATATCTTAAGCGCGGTTTAGCTGGTAGAGCAATCCTACATCTATTGTTGTTTGTGTTGATTTTGTTTTGACAGCTACACATTAAATGTTACCATAACAGATGACCTTGGGGTTAGCATTAGGAGGATCCTGATGGTCAATATCATAAATGAGAATGATGAATTTCCTTACTTCACCACGTAAGTAGAAAAGAATATCTACTAAAAGCTTACTATTTAGGTCTGGGAGATGCTTTCAGATCAGATTTTTAAAATTTTACTCAGCTATACATGGCTCCATTTTGTTTCACGAAGAAAAACTGGGGGTACCTGCTTACCTTTGCATCTAGGAGTACCTGCGGGGAAGGGAAGAAAACATCCTCAGTGCATCTTAAGAGCAAACCCCACTTCCTTCCTTCTAGCACTGACAATGTTACCTAGTTTGGTAATGAAACGTCTGCAAGAAAAATCACCAAGCTTAGAGAGCACCAAGGACTCCATATAATTAATTTTTGCTTTCACGTTGTGACCCTTCATTGTGTTAGTTATATTTTAAATATTGTAAGAGACAGCGGATCAAACGTATCCAAGTGTCCTGTCTAATTTCTGTTATAGGAAAGAGAAAGTTTTCAAGATTCGTGAAGAAGCGGCACCGGGAACATTTGTCGCTAATATAACAGCTAAGGATCCCGATGGCGAACATTTTATTCTTAGCCTTCGCTATAGCATGGGGGTTCCTGAAGGGATCCCTAAATTCTACATCAACCCGAGTAAGGAATTAATCTGATTTGAATGGAATCCAGAAGAACGCTATAACTCACAATCACAGCTGAGCTTGGAATTACAGTCATATTTCATTGCGGTCATTAAGAGAGGCGCCCACGTGACTGCCTTGTTCAATGACCACAATCCCAGCTCCACCGTTTGGGTTTTTAATCAGAACACGGGATGCTTTGGGGTGACACATGAAGTGGAGCCTGGGGTCCCATCCCAGTAGTTGCTAACATGATCTTAATAAATATTCAGAGCCCTTGGTGGAAATTATGATTATGCTGCTTTCCTTCCCACATTTTGTTTTTGCAATAATATAAACGGAGACAGCCAGAGGGGTCAAACAAGTCAAAATGGCAGCCACAGCCTTGAGGTCAAAGTTCTTCTCCTTTGCAAGATAGGTGAAAAAGGAATACAGCTTTGATCATCTTCACAATCTTGACTTTAATGATTCTTACCTGTGGCCATGGGTTGGCAACTTTGGCTCTTTTATGACTTGTGGACTTCAACTCCCAGAATTCCTGAGCCAGCCATGCTGAGGGGAAAGGGAGAGGTTTCCAAGCTGAGCCATGCTGGCTGAGGAATTCTGGGACTTGAAGTCCACGAGTCAGAAAGCGGCCGAGGCCTAGACCAGGGGTAGGCAACCTTGGCTCTTTTATGACTTGTGGGCTTCAACTCCCAGAATTCCTGAGCCAGCCATGCTGAGGGAAAAGGGAGAGGTTTTCAAGCTGAGCCATGCTGGCTCAGGAATTCTGGGACTTGAAGTCCACAAGTCATAAAAGAGCCAAGGTTGCCTACCCCTGGTCTAGGCCTAGGCCGCTTTATGACTCGTGGACTTCAACTCCCAGAATTCCTGAGCCAGCATGGCTCAGCTAGGAAACCTCTCCCTTTCCCCTCAGCGTGGCTGGCTCAGGAATTCTGGGAGTTGAAGTCCACGAGTCATAAAAGAGCCAAGGTTGCCTATCCCTGCCTGTGGCCATCCTCGTTATCAATTGTATAAATCTCAGGCTGAAAAGAGGACCACTCTGCATTGTTATGAATGTATACATTCATGAAAGCCAGCTGGGAGACTTTGGACCAATCACCAGGAGATGGTGAGTTCTAGTCCTGCCTTAGCCATGAAAGCCAGCTGGGTGACTTTGGGCCAATCACCAGGAGACAGGAAGTTCTAGTCCCACCTTAGCCATGAAAGCTGGCTAATTGATTTTGGGCCACTCACCATGAGACAGGAAGTTCTAGTCCCGCCATAGCCACGAAAGCTGGCTAGTTGACTTTGGCCACTCATCATGAGACTGAGTGTTGTAGTCTTGTCTTAGCCACGAAAGCCAACTGGGTGACTTTGGGCCAATCACCAGGATACCGTGAGTTCTAGTCCTGCCTTAGCCATGAAAGCCAGCTGGGTGATTTTGGGCCAGTCTTTTTTTTCCCTCAGCCCAACTCATCTCACAAGGTTGTTGCTGTGGGGAAAAATAGGAGGAGGAAGGTGTGTTGGATAGGTTCGCTGCCTTCAGTTATTTGCAAAAATAATAAAAGCGGAATACAAATAAATCAAAATGTGTGGTAATCAAATGCTCGGCCTGTGCTGGTGCCTGGAAAACTCTTACAGCTTATTTCTGTTTTAGTGACAGGTATGGTCTTGGTGTCTGCTCGGCTAGATCGTGATGCTTCCCCCCTCAGAACCCATCCTAATATTTCTTTGACCATCCGTGTTGAGGATAGCCCTACCCATGAGAGGACTGCTGAAATGGAGATTTTCGTATTTGTCGAAGATATCAATGACCTTCCACCCAAATGCAGAGGATACAATCCCAGGTAATAATCGCTTATACTACTGATAGAAAAGGATATTTGAAACTCAGGGTGGAACGGTGGGAGACTCTGAACTTGGTGGTTTTCTTGCAGATGTTTCATCACCCAACTAGGTAACATTATCAGTGCTAGAAGGGAATGGGGTGTGGGAGGAGGAGGAGGAGGACAGACTCACTTTGCAACAGATGCAGTGGTGGGATTCAAATACCCGAACAACCAGTTCTCTGCATGGATGCAGGCCTAGACCTCCGAGGCATAGAACGGACTTCCTGAAGTGGCATCCAGGCACTTCTGGTGGGTCGTTCTAAGACTGGGAGGCCTCCTTCTGGCCTCCGAGGCCTAGAATGGACTTTTGGAAATGGCATCCAGGCACTTCTGGTGGGTCGTTCTAAGACTGGGAGGCCTCCTTCTGGCCTCCGAGGCCTAGAATGGACTTTTGGAAATGGCATCCAGGCACTTCCGGTGGGTCGTTCTAGGACTGGGAGGCCTCCTTCTGGCCTCTGAGGCCTAGAACGGACTTCTGGAAATGGCATCCAGGCACTTCCGGTGAGTCGTTCTAGGCCTGGGAGGCCTCTTTCTGGCCTCCGAGGCCTAGAACGGACTTCTGGAAATGGCATCCAGGCACTTCTGGTGGGTCGTTCTAGAACTGGGAGGCCTCTTTCTGGCCTCCGAGGCCTAGAACGGACTTCTGGAAATGGCATCCAGGCACTTCTGGCGGGCTGTTTTAGGCCTGGGAGGCCTCCTCCAGGTCTCCCAGGCCTAGAACAGACTTTCGGAAGAAGTGTGCATTCAGCCGGTTCTCTAGACTCAACAAAATTTAGCTACCCGTTCTGTTGAACTGGTGCGAACCGGCTGAATCCCACCACTGAACAGATGTCTTTGTTTACATTGATGTTAAAAAGTGGGAAGGAGATCAGCAAAGACCTCCTCTTAAGGCCCATGAAAAGTTATTAAAATACTTTTTTCAGTTCTCTTTTCTGACATCATCGTATGCCCCCCTCAAAATTTCTAACACACAAGATACTCTTTTAGATGCTTGGGAGAACTATGCAAAGAACCTGAAATAAATAGCTAATTTGTTTTTTTTTTCTTCAATAGGGTGGTAATTCCTGAAACGGCTTCCCCTGGATTTGAAATGATCACTTTGAAGAATTTTTGCAAAGATGAAGATGCTGAATCGCCACACAATTTGTTTAACTTCACTGAACTATCTGGAGTTGGAAGTAATAAATTTACCCAGGATCCTCCCCACTCCGGAAGAATTAAGGTCTGCCAGTTAACTGCTTTATATTATTTAAATTTGGAGAATGGCCTGCCTATTCAAATATAATCAACAGAGGAAGTACAGCGAGGGAAATATTGCCAATTAAAAGTAGCTTTAAAAGCGGTCAAGATTTTATGTGGAGACATATATGTGTCTCATCTGTATCGACAAGAGTGTTATCAAAAATATCCTGCCACTCAGAACATTAAGCCTGGGGCATTTGTTGTATTAAGAAGCAAAATCAATCCATTTATTTAGAATGAAGCCAAAACTTATTTCATTGTGCATTAACCTAATATAAATTCTTTGAGACTCTGGGACATTTCAGGACCACTGTAGAGTTCCCGATGGTTTAGATGCTGGGTTTGTCAGCTGGAAAGCCAGCAGCCCAGGTTTGAGACCCAAGCATCACGCGACAGGAGTGAGCTCCCGTCCTCGCCTCAGCTCCTTCCAACCTAACAGTTCAAAAGCATGCAAACGCAAATAGATAAATAGGTACCACTTCAGCGGGAAGGTAACAGCGCTCCGCGACATCATGCTGGCCATATGAATGCGGGAATGTCTTTGGCAGCGCTGGCCCAATGGCCTTGAAATGGACTGGTTGTAAGCAGTGATGGGATTCAGCTGGTTTGCACCAGTTCGGCAGAACCGGTAGCTAAACTTTGTTGAGTTCGGAGAACTGGCTGAATGCACACCGCTTCCAGAAGTCCATTCTAGGCCTGGGAGGCCTGGAGGAGGCCTCCCAGGCCTAGAACGGCCCACCGGAAGTACATGGATGCCACTTCCGGAAGTCCGATCTGGGCCTCGGAGGCCTGAAGGAGGCCTCCCAGGCCTAGAACGGCCCACCGGAAGTACGTGGATGCCACTTCCGGAAGTCCGTTCTAGGCCTCGGAGGCCCAGGCCTGCATCCGTGCAGAGAACCGGTCGTTCAGGTATTTGAATTCCACCACTGTATCTGTTGCGAAGTGAGTGTGTCAAAAACAAAAAAAATCAAGATGGGGTCCACAATCATGTGACCAAACCTCTTGCAATGAACTGCAAACATCTACGATTAAATGTACAGGGAGTCTTCCACTTACGACCACAACTGAGCCCCAAGTTTCTGTTGCTAAGTGAGACAGTTGTTAAGATCAGGTGATCAGAATTCAGATGCTTGGCAACTGACTCACATTTATGACAGCTTCCCCAGATCACGTGATCCCCTTTTGTGACCTTTTGCCAAAAAAGGTCAATGGAGAAGCCAGATTCACTTAACAACTGAGTGACTAATTTAACTACTGCAATGATTCATTTAATGACTGTGGCAAGAAAAATCATCAAATGGGGCAAAATCCACTTAACAATTATCTCGCTTGGCGACAGAAATTTTGGGCTAAATTGAGGACTGTCTGTAAAAATATGTTCCTTTAAGCTTATAGGAAATGTAGACTTGGAAAATACAACAGATGGAAGTGTGCAGAGACAATATATTCTGAATATTGTCATCCAGGATGTTTCTGAGCCTTACTTTGCTGGTTAGTATTAACTTTCTTTTTTGCACCCTTTTTCTGGAAAAAAAAAAATCTCTTTAAATGGGGCTCATAGTTCTTGTCCTCTTTCACATTTTTCTTACTTGCTGTATTTACAGAACTAATCTACATTTACATCAAAATTCAGCCGGAAAATGAGTTTGATCCAGTCTTCAATAGCTCTTTGTATATTTTTAATGTCTCTGAAATGACGTCACGTAAGTTCGGGTGGCTTTTTTGGAAATTTACAAGGCTATAAAACAGAATTTTCTCAAACTGAAACTAATTCTCTACCCTGTGTCTGCTATGCCAGTGGTGGCAAACCTCTGGCACACATGCCAGAGGCGGCACTCAGAGCCCTCTCTTTGGGCACGCGCGCCATGCCCCGGAGATGGGAACTGTCCCTCTTCAACCAGCCACCTGCTAACTCGCCAAGCTCCCATGTGGCTGGATGCATTCCAGCATGACTGGTTTCCCTCCCCCCCATCCCATCCCTCCTGGCCTTGCATGCTCTCCTTTTCCCGGGCACGACCCACTGAATCGCCTCCTCATCTGTCGGCCATCCATCCAGCTCAGAGGCAGCTTCTCTGAACTGCTGGTGGCGAGCTATGGAGCTCCAGAATGCGCTGGTCAAGGGGCTGTGGCTGCTGATGGACACTGTTGGCCCCCATGCGCTCGCTGGCCTGTGTGTCGGGGCCAATGATGTCAGGTAGCAGCCACCCCGGCCCCTGCCCCGCCTTGCCCTGCAGCAATGGCACCCCTGCCCTGCCTCGCCTTGCCTCACCTCACGCCACAGAACGAGCCTCCTGCCCACCGTCCCACCTGCCAGAGATCCCCTGGATCTCCCCCAACCCTGCCTGGCCCCCACAGGCACCCTTTCCAATGAGCAACATCAAGGTGACCACGCCTACCTTAGCCACACCCACCCAGTCTGCCATGACCACCACAGCCACATCCACCCAGTGGCCACATCCATCTGGCAGCTGGTGATAGATAAGTGGGTTTTGGTTGCAGTTTGGGCACTCGGTCTCTAAAAGGTTCAGCATCACTGCCCTAGTCTGAAGCCCGGTTTCAGAATCAATTCTGAGGCCTGAACAATCTCTAAACACACCACACACACACACACACACAAAACTACCTACGTGTCGCCTTAATGTGTTGCTATTTCATTTCAGCAAATTCCCCTATAGGAGCAATTCTAGCCACTGACAAGGATTTGCCTCCTACTGGGATTTCTTACTCCATTTTGTCCGGGGAGAGTGGCGGGGGTGTCACAGACTTATTCGTCATCGATCCCCAGTTGGGCATTTTGAAGAACACAAAGAGATTAGACTATGAAGCAGAGCGAGTGCACACTCTCAAAGTGGAAGCTTCTGACAACGATGGCGGTATTGGAACTTCCTCCGTGAGTACGCCAGCAAGTTTAAAACAGAGCTTATGATTCCTTGCAGTTTACTTTTCCTGCCTTTTTGTGGTAAATGCAGTAGGACTTGCCAGAGGTGGCCTTTGTGAAAGCAAAATGTGCATGACCTTGTCTGAACTGGAATGATAGGAGAACAGCAGGCAGAGCTGCCTAGGGAGTTAAGCAAGTCATCAGCCTGGAGTCATTACGTAGCCACAAACAATCAGAACCATTCATTAAGTTGCACTTAAAAAGATTTCTTGCTCCTGCCTATACATAAGAATCTAGTCAATTAAAGTTCAGTTCTAAATTGGCGGCAGATAAGGATCAACGGAATTCAAAAGGGTTGGAGTCAGACCATTTGTGACCACATAACAACTCTAGGCTCATGACTCATTTAACTCCACCTCCCAGCTCTGCCTGCTCTTCTCCTAAAATTAATTTGTGTTAGTTTATATGCTCTTTTATGTTTCAATAACAAACATTTATTTTAAAAAGGGGAATATATTACCATAATATATAATACTATGTCATATAGAAAGCTGGATGAAAGTGGATTTGATCTCCCAAAAGAACAGTGCTTGATACAAGAGGTTGTGTTGCTTGAGAGGAAGGATAATGTATCGCTTCTTCCTGGTCTGCTTTCTCAAGCTGATAAATTGCAAAATGTTTTACTTCGAGTTGTTGGTCCTCTAAGAATTTGCCGTGACTTCTCGTTCCTTAGTATCTGCTGCCCAGACCAAGTGCTCTATTGTATCTACTATAAGAGGTAGCCCTGAACCTATAGACTTGAAAATTTTCTTCTAGATTCTTCAGATTTTTTGCAATAGCAATAACACTTTAACTTATATACTGCCCCATAGTGCTTTACAGCATTGTCTAAAATGGTTTACAGTGTCAGTGTTGTGATTCCTCTCCAGCCAGTGGACCCGGCAGCTGAGTCTGAAGAATCGGAGGAGGAGGGGGGGCCTGGAGTGACATTAGAGTCAGAGGAAGGCTCTGAGGAGCTCCAAGACTTATAGTTGGACAAGGAGCCTGGCCCCTCTATTTGCACTCAGGCTGAGGCACATCTGTGCTGGGAGCCTAGGTTGGACAGTGATGAAGAACAGCTGGGACAAATCCCAGATGTACGATTGCACAGGCAAGAGAAGCGAGTAGGACAGAGGAATGCAATGGGGCGGCTCCAAAGGCAAAGGAGAAGGCATTAGGAAGCCACACCTTGGCTGAATTATAAAAGGGAAGGTGTGGGAGGTGCTGGTTGCCGAATGCAACCGTTTGTGTTGAGGATCAAGTTTCTGTGGACTGTGTTTGTTTGCCTTGGACATAGACTCAGATCTGTGAGAATAAAAGGGGTTGGTTTTTTCTTGTGGTTCCTGCCTGTTTCTTGGAAGAGGGGTTTCTCCTTGTGAGCATAACAAGGACTCACATAGGCTGGGACAGAACAGTCAGCCTATTGCCCCCAACAATCTGCATCCTCATTTTACTGACAGAAGGATGGAAGGCTGAGTCAACCTGGAGCTGGTCAGGATCAAACTCCCTCCAATGGGCAGAGTTAGCCTGCAATGCTGCATTCGAACCACCATACCATTACGGTTCCTTCAAATATTTCTTTAAATATTTCTTTAGGTGATAATAAATGTTCTTGAAGCAAATGATGAACCACCAATATGCACACCTGATGGACAGTTGCTGGAAGTGCCAGTGGATCTAAGCTTGGGCATTATTAATAGTTTCAGCATTACCTGCGTGGATCGGGATTCAAGTCCGAACTCATTCCGATACACTATCACGTCAGGTATTTTATACTTCAGCTTTCAATATCTTAGGTCATTAGTTGCTGTTAGAATATGTAAGACATGTCATGGGGGTTTTAGAATTGGTGGCTACTTTGGGGCCCAGTGGTACCGTGTTTCCCCTAATATAAGCCCTGCCACAGAAATAAGCCTGGAGGGTGGGTGTAGCCAGCACAAGCAGCTGTGGGCCTGCAGGGGCTGACGATGTTGGCAGTAGCTGCAGGCTGCTGGCCCCTTGGAGCAGTGCAAGTAAGTCCAGCATGGAGGCAAAGCCTAGAACAGCCCACCGGAAGTGCGTGGATGCCACTTCTGGAAGTCTATTCTGGGCCTCGGAGGCCCAGGCCTACATCCAATAAGACAGTGGTTCTCAACCTTTTTAATGCCGTGACCCCCAACCGATCATAAGTCAAGGACTACTCAACCGGTCGTAAGTCGAGGACTACTCAACTGGTGCAGCACCTTTTGCAGAATGGGACTTTTGGCGGGCTCAGCAGGGCAGAGACAGCCTGGACAATTCCTATTGGCTTTTGAAAGCCAATAGAATTAGACTCTATTCAAGATAGTCTATTCTATGGGCTTTCAAAAGCCAATAGAATAAAAGGGAGTAGCACAGCTAAGGAAAAGGGGAAAAAAATGGCGGACTGCGTTGTTTGGCGACCCCTGTGAAATGGTCGTTCGACCCCAAATGGGGTCCCGACCCACAGGTTGAGAACCGCTGCAATAAGAGAACTGATTGTTCAGGTATTTGAATCCCACTACTTGCTGCGGCCTCTTGGCCGCTGGGCTGTATGAGTAGCTAGGCCGTGCACACGCGTATGCACTTGCTCACCTCCCTCGTGCCACCATTGCTGCAAGTGTTGTGCGGGAGGTGGCAGCGCCGCTAGTATCGCATGGGCATCATGTTGCTATGATCAGAGTGCATGGGGTGATAGCACCGTGAGTGGCAGGTGGACGGCTGTGTGCCACACGCAGGTGGTGGCATTGCCACGAACCTTGTGCAAGTGGCAGCACCACCATAAGCATGAGGTAGGCCGTGGAGCAATCGTCGTGTGGGGCGGCAACATGAACCTTGCGCCAGGGGCGGCATCGCTGCAGGCCGTGGTAGTAGCAATGCCGTGAGCCTGGTGGCAGTGGTGCCATAAGCCTCACACAGGTGCCACATTCATCTGTAAAGCGCCTGCCCCTCCCTCTCCCACTGGACCACCAATCCCAAAAGATTGGAGACTCCTGCCCTATACCATTCCAGATAAATGGCTGTCCAGTCTCTCCTTGAAAACTTCCAGTGTTGGAGCATTCACAGCTTTTGGAGGCAGGTTGTTCCACTGGTTAATTTAAAGCCCTTCATGGCATAGGGCCAGGTTACTTACAGGACCGCATTCTGCTGCATAGTTCCCAGAGACCGGTGAGGTCCCATAGATTGGGCCTCCTTCAGGTCCCGTCGGCCAGACAATGTCGGCTGGCGGGCCCTCGGGGAAGGGCCTTTTCTGTGGTGGCTCCGACCTGGTGGAATCAACTCCCCCCCCAGGTTCGAACTACTCCCACCCTGCCGGCCTTTAAGAAAGCTGTTAAAACTCTCCTGTTCCGGCAGGCCTGGGGCTGATGTCCCCGGGGGGACCGGGATATGATCGGACTCGCGGTATGACTGTATTATTTTATTATTTTATTGTTTTATGATTGTTTTGACTCTGTACGCCGCCCTGAGTCCTTTGGGATTGGGCGGCATATAAATAAAATTAAATAAATAAATAAATAAATTGTTCTCACTGTTAGGAAGTTTCTCCTTAGTTCCAGGTTGCTTCTCTCCTTGATCAGTTTCCATCCGTTTGTTCTTGTCCTGCCCTCAGATGCTTTGGACAACAGGCCGACCCTTTCTTTTCTGTGACAGCCCCTCAAATATTGGAAAACAGCTATTAAGTCACTCTAAGTCCTTCTGTTTGCTAGACTAGACATTCCCAGCTCCCGCCACCATTCCTCATATTCACCATCTCCCAATGAATTAAACTACCAGCTGTCTTCATTTCTCTTTACACATTTTTTTCCCTTCGGTTCTGCTTTCAGGTAACGTGAATAACCATTTTGACTTCTCACCAAAGGCTGGTTCCAATATCTCGAGGTTAGTCCTGATCAACCCATTTGATTATAAGTCAGGAATGGACACAGTTTGGGAATATCGGCTGTTGGTTTCAATAACAGATGATAATCTGTTAACAAGTTCTGAAAGAACGTCAGTCCATGTTCAAAACAGCACAGTCAAATTAACCGTTCGAGTTATTCCAGATCCAACTACTGTGATTCCGACAACCGTAAGTTTGGGCTTTTATAAATAAAATATAATTTGGGATGAAAATAATATGCTGACAGTAGGACTTATTGATTTATTTATTGACAATACTGTCATAATAATATACAGGTAACCCTTGACTTAAGACTGCAATTAAGCCCCAAAATATTTGCTGCTAAGACAGACCATTGTTAAGTGAATTTTGCCCCCATTTTACAACCTTTCTTGGCACAGTTGTTAAGTGACTCATTGCAGTTGTTAAGATAGTAACATGGTTGTTAAGGGAATCTGCTTTCCCCATTGGTTTTGCTTGTCAGAAGGTCGCAAAAGGGATCACATGACCCCGGGACACTGCGACCATCAGTTGCCAAGCGTCTGAATTTTGATCATGTGACCGTGGGGATGTGGCAATAGTCGTGTGAAACATGGTCACAAATCACTTTTTTCAGTGTTGTCGTACTTTGAACGATCGCTAAATGAACTGTTATAAGTGGAGGACTATCTGTACTCGATTTTTGTTTCCTTTTGTATTTTTTTAATTATCTTTTTTAAGTGGCATGTAGATGTTGATTATCTCTACGTATCTGTTGATGGCCGATTTGTCTGAGTGTCAGGCTTCCGGGAATTCTCTAGCCTTTTTTGGATTTTGCTTCGACTAGGATGCTCACAAGTTCCCCACGGAAACTACGTCCGTGTTTTGTGAAATTAAGGAATTTCCATCACGTCCTCTCTCTGCTCGTTGGTGTACACGGTTGCAGTCTGCTAGTCTTCTGCCTGTTTGTCCTATGTAGTGTTACAGTCCTTGCACTGTATGTTGTAATTGACTGCTGTTTTTTCTTCTGAGGCTGCTGGGTCTTTTGGGTTAATTCATTAAGAACAATTTTGTTTCCCACCCCCATTTTTTTTCTTCCTTGCAAGCCTGGTGTTACCATTGTGACCAGCAAAGAAAACGTGTATGCTGTGTCGGCTTGGTATGTGCCATTCTTCATACTCCTTGGCAGTTTATTGTTGCTCGGATTGCTTGGATATCTAACCGTTTTGCTGGCAAAATACCTCCGTTCCTGTTGCCCACCAAGACCCAAAGCGGACACAAAACCACTGTAAGTAGCACTAGCAATAGCACTTAGACTTATATACCGCTTCGTAGTGCTGGCGTGGAAAAACCCAATGAGAAAGACAAGAGACAGCAACACAAAACAATCGTTCCTACTTTAAGATTCAGAGGTTTATTTTGCTAACAACTTGGAACACAGCAAGCATAATAACACAACATCACTTACATTAATAACCCATTGCAATGAGGACCAGATGGCATAGCAGATTCCAAAAGGACAGCTATAGGCCAATGGCAAATCAATCCGCAGTCCCAACCCTTTATACCAGTGGTTCTCAACCTGTGGAGTCGAACGACCATTTCACGGGGGTCGCCAAACAATGCAGTCCGCCATTTTTTCCCCCCTTTTCCTGAGCTGTGCTACTCCCTTTTATTCTATTGGCTTTTGAAAGCCAATAGAATAGACTCTCTTGAATAGAGTCTAATTCTATTGGCTTTCCAAAGCCAATAGCAATTGTCCAGGCTGTCTCTGCCCTGCTGAGCCCGCCAAAAGTCCCATTCTGCAAACGGTGCCGCACCAGTTGAGTAGTCCTTGACTTACGACCGGTTGAGTAGTCCTCGACTTACGACCGGTTGGGGGGTCGTGGCATTAAAAAGGTTGAGAACCGCTGCCTTATACTCTTTCTCGTTCTAAGACTGTAGTCAGATGGTCTGCTGACTTTTGCTGACTTCTGCTGACTTTCTACTGACCTCCTGCTGAACATAACTTTCCACATAGACCCGTGTACATTGGAACCCGCATCCCTCAGCTACTTTCAGTTCCCTATTTCTTACTGTTCCAGTCCTCAAGTTCTAAATATACACAGAGCTGCCTACTTTGCAATTTCATGTTGCACAAAGCTCAGCAGATTACAAATAGTACGTCCGCATTGTGAAACAATATAGAGTTAAAGCTTTGTTTTAAATCACTACTGTGGGGCCTATTCCAGGATTGTTCCAGCCTCATCTTGTTATATTTTCATCTCCCACAGTGCTTTACAGCGGGGGTCCCCACCTGTGGGCCGCAGCCCAGTAACGGGCCGTGGCCGCTTCGCCACCGGGCCGTGTGAAGGACTGGCCAGGCCAGTGCACCTGCACACATGCATGCACTCATCCCCCCACACACTCGCTCAAGTGCCACCCCGAGCATCCCGCCGGCGCTAACACCACCCCGCCCCAAGTGTCCCACCAGCACTAGCGCTGCTCTGAGCATCCTGCCGGCGCTAGCCCTGCCCTGCCCGAGCGTCCTGCCAGCACTAGCACCACCCCATCTGCAGCACTTGTGCCGGCGCAACCCCATTTGCATTTGCGCATGCGCTCGCGTGTGGCCATTTGCATGTGTGCATGCGCTCATGCACAGCCCATTTGTGCATGCACGCGCAGGGGTTATTTTTGCACGGGCATGCACGCAGCCCATTTGCACGGGCACACGTAACGGTGCTCGCCTCCCTTTCTGGGACGCCAAAACGAAAAAATTGGAGACCTCTGCTTTACAGCCTTCTCTAAGATTTAAAATTGACAAAGCAGTTTACACAGTCGGTGTCTTGGCCCCAACAATCTGGGTCCTCACTGAGTAGCTTCAAGAAAAAATACAAATGATAATGCAATTATTAATAAAAACATGTTTGCCATATGCATCCATCTCCTTTTGTTCTGCAATACTCATACAAAGAATCCACATTACTTAATGGTATTCGAGCAGCCCTCCAAAAGTTGAAGTCACTGCTGTCAATGCTTTTCAGTTCAGCTTTGTTTACTGTATTTCTTAATGAACATTATTGTAATAAATTCTCTTTTTTAATTTGTGACAGGTTGCACATGCCAGGTACGTTCTTTCTTGTCTTGCTTTCCTTGTTCTTAAAACCAGTGCTTTTTTCCTAACAAAAAAAAAAGGTGCTGGAACTCACACACGTCATACAACCCGCCTTGCCTACCCTTCAAGGTTCCATCCAAAAATGATGCCGGAACTCCGTTCTGGACGTTCTATGAGAAAAAAAGCCCTGCTTAAAAGACTGCCACATTGAGACCTAAGGTTTTCAAATGACGTATGGATTTAGTTGCAATCTGAGCTAGAATGATAGAGTTTAAACCAGTGTTTCTCAACCTTGACAATTTTAAGGCATGTGGACTTCAACTCCCAGAATTCCACAGCCAGCATTGCTGGCTGTGGAATTCTGGGAGTTGAAGTCCACATGCCTTAAAATTGTCAAGGTTGAGAAACACTGGTTTAAAATCAAATAGAAGAGAATACAAATAGTACTCGACTTACGACGGTACTGGAGCATCCTTAAGCCCTGATGGTTGTAAAGCAGGTCATCCATGTGACTGATCACATTTTATGACCTTGTTTTGCAGCAATCATTAAATATACTCATTGTTTGCTCTGGGGCGGGGTTTTTTTTGCTGAAAACCGGAAGTAAACCCTGAGTTTGGCCAAAATGTTGGAAATGGTGGTCATGTGGACGCTGCAAATGGCTGTAAATGTGGGCTGGTCACCAAGTAAGATTCAGTTTGGTCTAGTGGTTAAGGAACCAGGCTAGAAAGCAGAAGACTGCGAGTTCCAGTACTTTTAGCCATAAAAGCCGGCTAGGTGACTTTGAGCCAATCACTAGAAGATGGAGAGTTCTAGTCCCGCCTTATCCATGAAAGCCAGCTGAGTGACTTTGGGCCAATCCCCAGGAGACGGAGAGTTCTAGTCCCGCCTTAGCCATCAAAGCCAGCTGGATGACTTTGGGCCAATCCCCAGGAGACGGAGAGTTCTAGTCCCGCCTTAGCCATCAAAGCCAGCTGGGTGACTTTGGACCAATCCCCAGGAGACGGAGAGTTCTAGTCCCGCCTTAGCCATCAAAGCCAGCTGGGTGACTTTGGGCCAATCCCCAGGAGACGGAGAGTTCTAGTCCCGCCTTAGCCATCAAAGCCAGCTGGGTGACTTTGGGCCAATCCCCAGGAGACGGAGAGTTCTAGTCCCGCCTTAGCCATCAAAGCCAGCTGGGTGACTTTGGGCCAGTCATTCTCTCTCAGCCCAACCTACTTTGCAAGATTGTTGTTATGGGGAAAACAGGAGGAAGGAGGAGTATTATATACGATGATAGTTATTTATAAAAATAATAAAAGCGGGATACGAACAAACAGGTGCCCAAGATTGGTCACATGACTGGGGTAGGGTCATAAGTACTTCAGAATCCGTTTCTCTACTTTTTTAGGAGGTCTTTCCTAGCTATGAATAGTTGTAGTTGCTAAGTGACAGGTTGTAAACCGAGGACTGCCTTATATATGTAGAATATATGGCTTGAAAGGTGAAGTCCTTGGGGCTCTCTGAACTTGGTTGATTGTTTGCAGACATTTTGTTACCCGACTATATCACATCTTCCATTTTTGGTTTTATGTAGTACGTAAGTACTGTTTAGTCCAGGTTGGCCTCCTGTAATTAAGAATGTAATTTGATTTGATTCTTTCAACTCTTGTTCATTTCATAAAGCTGAAGGTTAGATAAAGCAGCGTATTTTTTTTTATCCGCAGAAAAGAAGAAAGCAAAGAAAGAAGTGATATGGGTAAGTGTGCCTTAAACCTGAAACAGAAAAATTTAAAAAAAAAAAATTACAGAATCTTTGCCTGCTTAGGATGAGCATATATGATGCCAGCATTTATTCTGGCTCATATTATATCATATTAAAGCCTGGAAAGGACCATGGTAATGATTGTAAGTCTTCCTGCTAGGTCATTTATTTTTATAAAAAAGATTATATCCTTCCCCCCCCAAAGCAGTGAAAAACAGCACAAAAATCAAAGTAGAGCTGCATCTTCTTTTTGTCTTCCTAGATCTTGTTTAAAAGTTCACATTTTAGTCCAATTTGCAAGATTTCCTAGTGTTAGAAATCACCCTCCCCAAAACACTTCCTAGTTGCTGCATTCCGAGATGGTGACCTCCTTTTGTTGTCTTCTATGTACACGAAATAATAAAAATTGAATATAAATTAAATATGAAAGCAAAGAGCTTAATGTATTCACCAAAAGAACGTTCCCTCAAATTCTCTAATTTTCCGTCTCCAAGTAAGCAACTCTATGCTAACTAAGTTTTAATACAACCAGCAGATTGTAGAATTCTCCTTGATTCCCTACTGGACAGCTGTTTTTCCCCCCCATTTCTTTAATTAACGGTACTAAATTTAGCCTTTTGTTTGTCTTCTTTTAGGAAATGACCAACTTAAATCCTGTCTTTGATGGGGAAGCCATAGACCCAGGTATTATAATTCCTAAAGGAGGGTGAGATTCTCACAGACCATTACAGGATCACATTCTCTAAATCAGGGGTCTTCAAACGTGGCCTTTTTATGACTTGTGGACGTCAACTCCCAGAATTCCTCAGCCAGGCACGCCTGGCTGAGGAATTCTGGGAGTTGAAGTCCACAAGTCATAAAAGGGCCAAGTTTGAAGACCCCTAATCTAAATGGTCAACTTGATTTATGGAGATAATCCAGGTCATGGTTGTTCCACAGATGCTTTCCCAAAAAGGCAGCTGGATTCTTTTGTGTTTTTTCTTTCCCCTTGAAAACGTTTCGCTCCCATTCAAGAAGCTTCTTCCGTTCTGCTGAAAACTGAATTTCCTGAACTTCTGGAACTTCCGGAACCGAAGAAGCTTCTTGGATGAGAAGCGAAACGTTTTCAAAGGGAACAAAAAAAACCCCAAGAGAGTCCAGTTGCCTTTTGGAAAAGCACCTTTGCGTCAATTTCATTGTTGCAGGAAAAACTGTTGATTGTACCCCAGTCTTGTAAGGTCAAGGAGATTGTCGTGGAAAAACCCAATGAAAAAAGACAAGAGACAGCAGCACAAAACAATAATTCCTACTTTAAGATTCAGAGGTTTATTTTGCAAGTAATTTGGAACATAGCAAGTGTAATAACACAACATCACTTACGTTAATAACCCATTGCAATGATGACCCTATGGCAGTGATGGCGAACCTTTTAGAGACCGAGTGCCCAAACTGCAACCCAAAACCCACTTATGCATCGTTGAGTGCTGAGTGGGTGTGGCCCATTGGGTGGGTGTGGCCCATTGGGTGGGCGTGGCCGTGGTAGTAACGGCAGACTGGGTGGGACTAAAAAGTTCAATCAATCAATTCCAACTTTGCAAGATCTTTTTTTTTCCCGCGAGAAGTTGAAATTGATTGATTGAACCTTTTTTTTTTTTGCACATGGCAGCGGAGGCCTAAAGCAAAAAGGTTTTATAAAATCTAGCTGAAGGCCTAGGACTGGGGCGACGGCGCGCGTGCCCACAGAGAGGGCTCTGAGTGCCACCTCTGGCACCCGTGTCATAGGTTCGCCACCACTGCCCTATGGCATAGCTAGCAGATTCCAAAAGGACAGCTATAGGCCAAAGGCAAATCAATCAGGTCCAGTCCCAACCCTTTATACCCTTTTCCGTTCTAAGACTGTAGTTAGATGGTCCGCTGACTTTTGCTGACTTTCTACTGACTTCCTGCTAACCTTCTGCTGAACATAACTTTCCCCATAGACCCATGTACATTGGATCCCATCCCTCAGCTACTTTCAGTTCCCTATTTCTTACTGTTCCAATCCTCGTGTTCTAAACATATACACAGAACTACGTACTTTGTAATTTCATATTGCACAAATCTCAGCAGATTCCAAATAATACGTCCGCATTGTGAAACAATATAGCATTCGAGTTAAAGCTTTGTTTTAAATCACTCCTGTGGGGCCAGGATTGCTCCAGCCTCATCTTGTTATATGAGGAGGGGGCTATATTTTCATTTCACACAAGAGGAAACACAGAGAAGTCGTTTTTCTGTGACACCTCGAGACAAGCTTTCCCACTGAGATTAAAGTTGACTCGGCCTTCCATCCTTCCGAGATCAGTGGTTCTCAACCTTTTTAATGCCGCAACCCCCAACCGGTCGTAAGTCGAGGACTACTCAACCGGTCGTAAGTCAAGGACTACTCAACTGGTGCAGCACCGTTTGCAGAATGGGACTTTTGGCGGGCTCAGCAGGGCAGAGACAGCCTGGACAATTCCTATTGGCTTTTGAAAGCCAATAGAATAAAAGGGAGTAGCACAGCTAAAGAAAAGGGGGGAAAAATGGCGGACTGCATTGTTTGGCGACCCCTGTGAAATGGTCGTTCGACCCCAAATGGGGTCGCATCCCACAGGTTGAGAACCACTGCTCTAAACAGCTTAAGGAGGGCTGTAAAGCAGTGTGAAGCGGTATATAAGTCTAAGAGCGATTGCTATTGCTATCCCATTTCAGAAGGTGGTTTAAAATGGAGGTTTGGGTTTTTCTTTGTTGATTTTACTTCGGGTTTGGTCGGGAGGCTCTTACTACTGGGTGAATCTACTACTTATATTGCCATGGGCATTTTGTCTTCTGTATTTTGTTGCTAGCTGCTAGGAATCCTGTCAGATTATGGTGGGTTACAAGCCAAACAAACCATCCTACGTAATCGCATCCCTTCCACTCTGAAAAATCAATGCTGAAATTAATCTTTTCTTCCGCAGTCACCGGCAAACTGTATGAATACAACTCAAAATCTGGGGCACGAAGATGGAAAGACACCAATGTGCTTTCCAAGGCTGAAGGGAAGGACTCCGTTGTGCAAATAACAACTCCCCCTGAGAGCGGAGAAGGCAATCTGTCTAAAGCAGAGGCTACCACTACTAGTGGCGGGGAAGGGAATCTCAAACAGAAGCCGAGATCTCCAAAAAGTGGTGAAAAGGATCTACCCAAAGCAGAGGCTGAATCTGGGGGTAGTCAAGGAGATCTTAAGCAGAAGACACCTCCAAGGAATGGTCAGACGGCAAATGGCAACCTAAAATTGCAGAAGGGAAAGGAAGAGCCTCTGAGCAACCAATCACCTTCCTCCACTCCCCCACGCAAGTCTCCCATCCCCTCTCCCAAAATATATCCAAAATACCAAAATCAGTCTTAAAAACAAGGAACGGGCTTAATATGTCTTTAACCCAGAGAATAGAATGGAATGGAATGGAATGGAATGGAATGGAATAGAATAGAATAGAATAGAATAGAATAGAATAGAATAGAGCTGGAAGGGACCTTGGAGGTCATCTAGTCCAACCCCCTGCTCAGGGAGGAAACCCTATACCATTTCGGACAAATAGCTGTCCAGTCTCTTCTTAAAAACTTCCAGTGTTGGAGCATTTACATCTTCTGGAGGCAGAATGTTCCACCGGTTAATTGTTCTCATTGTCAGGAAATTTCTCCTTCGTTCTAGGTTGCTTCTCTCCTTGGTTAGTTTCCACCCGTTGCTTCTTGTCCTGCCTTCAGGCACTTTGGAGAATAGCTTGACTCCCTCTTCTTTGGGGCAGCCCCTGAGATATTGGAAGACTGCTATCGTGTCCCCCCTTGTCCTTCTCTTCATTAAATTAGACACGCCCCATTCCAGCAACCGGTCCTTATATATATGTTTTAGCCTCCAGTCCCCCGATCATCTTTGTTGCTCTTCTCTGTACTCTTTTTAGAGTCTCAACATATCTCAATAATATCTCCTCTTTCAATGTGCTGGCTTTGAGGTCCTACTACTGTATCTGATTCCCTTAAAAAGGCCCGATAGTTTTTGACCTCGTAAATAAATACATGGAATGGTGGATAGTAAGACATTCCAGCCTCTTAAAGATCTTTTTAATACAACAGTGACGCCTAGTGGAATGATAAAGCTTCCTCTACAAATGAAATTAACCATTTTCAAATGTCTAAGGCAGGGGTAGGCAACCTTGGCTCTTTTATGACTAGTGGACTTCAACTCCCAGAATTCCTGAGCCAGCCACGCTGAGGGGAAAGGGAGAGGTTTCCAAGATGAGCCAGGCTGGCTGTGGAATTCTGGGAGTTGAAGTCCACATGCCTTAAAATTGTCAAGGTTGAGAAACACTGGTCTAAGTGGACATTTTTAGATTTAAGCATAGCTGGGTGAGGAATTTTGGAAGCTGAAGTCCACAAATCTTAAAAGTTGTCAAGGTTGCAGACCCCTGCCCTACACAACAGAGCAAGGGACTTTGGATATCAAAGACCTGAACAGAAACTGTTCGGCCTGTGTTGACTTTGTGAGACACTTTGTGAGACTCTTAAAGCGTGGTAGGAGTGCAATCCTGTTGTTCTGGAAGCCATTTTGGCTTTTTTGATGCCCCCAGCTGGGGGTGATGACTCCACTGATACAGCACTGACAAGCCACAGAATAAATAGCTTTTTGTGTGGGGGATAATTAGCATTTAAGGGGATATTAGACCAAGCTTTAATAGCAGGAACATAATAATGTTCTTTGTGCCAGTACTTTGATTCTAATGCAGGGGACTGAGGACACAAGGTGAGGTTGCCGACACGCTTCCATACATGAAGCTTTCCCCTAACGTGTAGTCGAGGGATACATACAAGCAGCACACAGAATAAAACAGTTGGAAGGGACCTTGGAGGTCTTCTAGTCCATCCCCCCGCTCAAAAGCTGGAAACCCTATATCGTTTCAAACAAATGGCTGCCCCATCTCTTCTTGAAAAACCTCCATTGATGGAGTACCCATAACTTCAGAAGACAAGCTGTTCCACTGATTAAATATTCCGTCAGGAAATTTCTCCTTAATTCCAGATTGCTTCTCTGCTTGATTAGTTTCCATCCGTTGCCTTTTGTCCTGCCTTCAGCTGTTTTGGAGATTAGGTTGACCCCCTCTTCTTTGTGGCAACCCTTGAGATATTGGGAGGCTGCTGTCATGTCACCCCTAGTCCTTTTCATTAAACCAGACATACCCAATTCCAGCAACTATTCTTTGTATCTTTTCGCTTCCAGCCCCCTAATCATCTTTGCTGCTCTTCTCAGCACTTTCTAGACCAGTGGTTCTCAACCTTTTTAATGCCGCAACCCCCAACCGGTCGTAAGTCGAGGACTACTCAACTGGTGCAGTACCGTTTGCAGAATGGGACTTTTGGCGGGCTCAGCAGGGCAGAGACAGCCTGGACAATTCCTATTGGCTTTTGAAAGCCAATAGAATTAGACTCTATTCAAGAGAGTCTATTCTATTGGCTTTCAAAAGCCAATAGAATAAAAAGGAGTAGCACAGCTAAGGAAAAGGGGGGGAAAATGGCGGACTGCGTTGTTTGGCGACCCCCGTGAAATGGTCGTTCCACCCCAAATGGGGTCCCGACCCACAGGTTGAGAACCACTGTTCTAGACTCTCAACATCTTAAGAGCCTCAAGCATGTTGAGTTCGGATGTTGCGTCCGAAGAAGGAAAAATCAAATTCTAGATAACCCTCAGCCAGGAAAGCCCACGGATGACTTTGGGCCTATTAAGACTCAAGCGAGTTTGCTACTTTGAAGAAAAATAAGATTTTTTTTGAGCACCCGCACAACAGGCAGGATAGAACAGTATAGAATAATATTTATTCAATCGATAACCAGCCCCAAAGGCAAGATATAAATCTAATAAATAATTGCAAGGGGGAAACATTCTCCGTTTCTAGGCCTCAGCAACTTTTAAGACATGTGGATTTCAATTCCCAGAATTCCTCAGTCAATGCTGGCTTAAAAGTTGCTGAGGTTGAGAAATACTGCCCTTGAGTGAAAACAAAAGCTATTTTAAGTCAAGAACTTTGTGTACAGCAGGGGTCTTCAGAGCTGAAGAAGCTTCATGGATGAGAAGCGAAACGCCTTCAAAGAAAAACAAGAAAGTCCAGTTGCCTTGTGAAAAAGCATCTTTGGGATAATTGTGACCTGGATGACTGAGAATCTCCACAGAATAAAACTGCTTTTAGGTTTTTCAAGTATCTGCTTACTGAACAATATTTTCAGGACAACGGGCCCAATTTCTAGAAATGTCAGTTTATTAAATTGAACCGAATCTTAATGTACAGCAGTACATGTCAGAGACAATGCTCAAAAACATTAAGCATCTGTGTTTAAGCAGTCAAACGTCGAAGTAATTGAAAGTTTTCTTAAGACTTTCATCCTTCCCTGGGTATAAGTTGCATTCTCAAGATCAGGGAGAACTTTTTCAATTTAAAAGAGATCACTGGTGGTCGTCTGTCGATCAGCTCAAACATTTAGATTTACCTCAGTTATTAATCACAGAGTATTCAAGCTGTAGCCAAACTATTTTTTATATAGTACCAGTTGAACAGTTACACTGAAATCACAAATACAAAAAAAAAAAAAGTACTTTCTGATGTGGAGGAAACTTTTTTAAATCAGGCAACTGTTTAAACAGACAGTAAATCTGCCAAATCCTAAGCCTCGATAGAATGCGCAACAATTATTTTAAATCTCTCTTTAGGACAAAACGTTAAGTACAGTATAACGTGAGTAGGATTATACAGGCAAGAATTGTCAAATGCAGTTTATCATTACAACCGAAATGTACTGGGCCCAAAATACTTTTTTTTTTTCCTAAGATGACAACATTGTCCAAGCATTTGACTAGACTACATTCAATGAAGTAAATCAATTCTTTCAAAATACTCATTTCCTACATACACCAGGCGTTTTCTCCCCCAAACTGTACAGGTGTGAAAGTTAATCGTAAACGATTTTGAAATACAGAAATATTCAGACTTGTCAACAAAGTGAAACACGGCCATTTTAGCATTACATCGACAACACTTCAGATGCCTGATGTTGGTGGATAGAACCCTGATTTTGGAGAATTACTGTTAGGTTGGTGCAGACTCGTCTCCTTATATACAAACCAAGCATTTCCACACCACAGAATCATATTTACCAAGCCAAAAACCTGCAAAGAACAGAGATCTTAATTAGTCTGGCGTTTTAAGTGAATCAATCCATACTTTATATCATTTTTAATAGGACAATGAAAAGACATTCTATATCCTCACTCAGTTTAAAGATCTGAGGCATGTATGAAGGCCTATTTTCCTAGAGAGGTACACCTCTATGTTACAGCCACCAAATTGGAGATGGGCTTCCGGGATCGTGAACTTTCTAGAACACTGTGTCTCAACCTGGGCAACTTTAAGATGGGTAGATTTCAGTTCCCAGAATTCCCCAGCCAGCTTCAACTTCATTTTAAGATTAGCATTTTGAAACAATAAACATCGCCCCCTTTTAGCCTGATTACCCAGTAAGCCACTGTTTTGTTCACAGTTCTTATGTTTCATAGTCAGCTTTCCCCGAGTTGCACTAAATTAGTTATAGTCAGGGCTGCCTGTTGGATTTGGTCAAAAAGGTCAAGGTAATAGTCACAGTGGTGTGATCGTAGTCTGTTTTTTATGGGTGTTACCCATTCTATCTATCTATCTATCTATCTATCTATCTATCTATCTATCTATCTATCTATCTATCTATCTATCTCATCATCTATCTAATCATCTCTCATCATCTATCTATCTATATCTATCTATCATCTATCTATCATTCATCTATCTCATCTATCTATCTATCTATCATTTATTTATCTATCTCATCATCTATCTATCTAATGTATCATTTATCTCTACTATCTATCTATCTATCTATCTATCTATCTATCTATCTATCTATCTATCTAATGTATCATTTATCTCTACCATCTATCTCATGTATCATCTATCTATCTCTATCTCATGTATCATTTACTGTATATCTATCTCATGTATCATGTATTATCTATCTATCTATCTATCTATCTATCTATCTATCTATCTATCTATCTATCTACAGATGGAACCTCAGTCGCACGACTGAAGTTACCATCTTGATTTTTCTGGCCCTATCCTGTGAACTATTTGATGAATAGATATATATGGAGGTCCTTGGTGCTCTCCGAGCTTGGCTGTTCTTTTGCAGAGCAGACATTTCATTGCGAAACTAGGTAACATCATCAGTGCTAGAAGGGAGAAGGGTTTGAGGAGAGGAGGAGGAGGAGAAGGAGGAGGAGTGTGAGGTCCTGGGTGCTCTCTGAGCTTGGTTGCCCTCTTGCAGATGTTTCATTGCAAAACTAGGCAACATCATCAGTGCTGGAAGAGTGTGGGGCTTGCTCTCATCTTACCTAGCTGGGTAATGAAACATCTGCAAGAAAATAACCCAAGCTCAGAGCGCACCCAAAACCACACAATTTAACCTTGAGCTACAAATACTCTCTTCTAACAGAACAAATATATCCACGCTGTTAAAACCATAGCTGACATACTGTACATACCACAGACACATTCAGACTTCCCATGCTGGTTACAGAAGCAAAGACACAGGACGATCCAAGAATTTTGCATGCCGGTATTTCGTCCACAACGCGGGGACCGGTTGATACTTTGATATCAACCAGGGCCTTTGCCCAGGCAGCGGTGCTGACTAGCCACAGAAAGACCGCACAGAGAGTGAAAACGTAATCCTGGAGACCAAGAGAGAGAAGTTAATCTGTTTTGTTTATGGGTCAAAGCTTCAGATTACAGAATTTACAGCCTCAACTGGGCCCAAAATTTGTTGTTAAGCGAGGCATTTGCTAAGAGAATTTCACTCCATTTTGTGACCTTTCTTGCCATAGTATTGTGAAGTGAATCGTTGCAGTTGTTCACTTAGTAACGAGGCTGTGAAGTGAATTTGGCTTTCCCATTGACTTTGCTTGTCAGATGGTCGCAAAAGGGCATCACGTGACCCCAGGAACGCTGCAACCGTCGTAAATATGACTCAGTTGCCAAGCGTCTGAATTTTGATCACATGACCATAGGGATGCTGCAACGGTTGTGATGTGAGAAAAAGGGTCATAAATCACTTTTTTTAAGTGCTGTTGTCACTTGAGTCACTAAAATGAGCTATTTTAAGTCAAGAACTTTGTGTATCGCAGGGGTCTTCAAACTTGGCCCTTTTATGACTCGTGGACTTCAACTCCCAGAATTCCTGAGCCAACCATGCTGAGGGGAAAGGGAGAGGTTTCCAAGCTGAGCCAGGCTGGCTCAGGAATTCTGGGAGTTGAAGTCCACGAGTCAGAAAGCGGCCCAGGCCTAGGCCAGAAGTAGGCAACCTTGGCTCTTTTATGACTCGTGGACTTCAACTCCCAGAATTCCTGAGCCAGCCACGCTGAGGGGAAAGGGAGAGGTTTCCAAGCTAAGCCGTGCTGGCTCAGGAATTCTGGGAGTTGAAGTCCACGAGTCAGAAAGCGGCCTAGGCCAGAGGTAGGCAACTTTGACTCTTTTATGACCCGTGGACTTCAACTCCCAGAATTCCTGAGCCAGCCATGCTGAGGGGAAAGGGAGAGGTTTCCAAGCTGAGCCATGCTGGCTCAGGAATTCTGGGAGTTGAAGTCCACAAGTCATAAAAGGGCCAAGTTTGAAGACCCCAGGTATATAGCTATGAAACTAAAGAGAACATAGAGGAAGCTTTTCCCCACTTTGACAACTTGAAGGTACGTGGACTTCAACTCCCAGAATTCTCCAGCCAGCCATGGGGGCAGAAACTATGGACAGAAACTTCTGGAAATATCTCCTTTTTTTAGAGATTTGTTTTTCAGGGAACTTGAAGCCTTTGCTTTCCTCAATGTCTGTGGAGATTCTCAGTCATCCAGGTCATCGTTATCCCAAAGGTGCTTTTTCATGAGGCAATTGGACTTTTTAAAAAAAATTTCTTTGAAGATGTTTCGCTTCTCATCCCAGAAGCTTCTTCAGCTCTGATGTTGTCAACCCACTTGGGATAATGAAACATCTGCAAGAAAACCACCAGGCTCGGAGAGCACCAAGGACCCCTCAATCAGAGCTGAAGAAGCTTCTGGAATGAGAAGCGAAATGTCTTCAAAGACAAACAAAAAAGTCCAGTTGCCTCCTGAAAAAGCATCTTTGGGACAGTTGGAGAGGACTATAAAATGCTCTTTTTTTCTTTTTTAAAGGAAAATTCATGGAGGAAAGCAGTGTGCGTTCCACGTGGCAAATGTGAATTCAAAAGCCACACTTTAAATTAAAATTAAACTTTGGAAAGGAAGATTTTTGAATAGGTATAAGTTGAATATGCTGGCTAATGCTTCATATGAAACAAGACTTCTAAAACAGTCTGTGGAGATTCTCTGTCATGCAGATCACGGCTGTCCCAAAGGTGCTTTTTTCAAAACTGGACTTTCTTGGTTTTTTTCCCTTGAAGACGTTTCTCTTCTCGTCCCAGAAGCTTCTTCAGTTCTGATTGAGGGGTCCTTGGTACTCTCTGAGCTGGGTGGCTTTCTTGCAGACGTTTCATTATCCCAAGTAGGGAACAACATCAGTGCACCCATGACCTGATGTTGATTTACTGCCTAATATTACTCTTGACTTCAAAGCTATCAAACTGTCCTCCTCTTATCACCCAACCTAAATCTTAGCGACTTACGATCATCGGGAAATTGCTACCATTCCGATAGGCGTGCATATAGCCCAGGTAAAACACCAGGGCCATCATGCAATAGAAGAAGATCAGGACTCCAAAGGTGACGAAGAACTGGGCCGAAGACGAGAAATTTCCCACCAGGTAAAAATCCGTCCAGGTGCCGTTGCATCGGGTGGGATCTGGCGAAGTAAACACGGCGGTGTTCAACCTGCACAAACAGAAGTTGGAGACGGCCTCAGAAGGATCCAGCTCTGAAAAGGTACAAGGAGTCCTCAACGTACGACCAAAATGGAGCCCAACATCCTTCTGGGTAAGCAGGACAGTTGTTTAGGGAGTTGTACCCCATTTTAGGACCTTTTCTTTTTTATTATTATTTTTTCCTTTTGTAAATATTTTTATTTCAATTTTCAATACAATTAGTACTTTCAATACATTATATATATATATATATATATATATATATATATATATATATATATATATATATATATATATATAATGTTTATATATATAGCAACCTGTGGCTTGGTGGTTAAATCACTGCCTTGTATGTAAACTGTCCAGGTTCGAATCCCATAAAGGGTCAGGCTAACTGACCCTTTATGAATGAGCTCGAAATGGCCATCTTAGTCTCCCAATTTAATTCTTTAATTCTTTGTCAGAAAAAGAAATTTGGATTTGTAATGTTTCGCAGTTGCGACTTGAGCCTGCTTAACGCCCCTAGTTGGGGGCTGCAAGGCAAAAGAGATTGTAAAAAGTAAAACTGCAGTATAGCAGTTAAAAAATGTCAAGGTGTAATCAATTAGACATCTGTCTGAGAAACTTCCTGCATATATATATATATAAAAATAGAAAAGAAAAATACCTTTCAAATAAGACCTTAGGGGTCGCTCGTCTATCTCCCCCCCGACTGCATCCACCCTCTCAACCTTCCTTCCTTCCTACTTCCCTTCTCCCTCTCTCCTCTCATCTCCTTTCTCCCCTCATTCCTTCCTCCCATCCAACTTCCTCCCATTTTAGGACCTTTTCTGACACAGTCGTTAAGCAGATCACTGCATTTCAGGGAAGCGTGAGATCGTTAGGCGTCGTTAAGCGGATCTGGCTTCCCCCATCGCTTGTTGGAAGCCAGCTGGGAATGTTCACGAAAGGAGATCACAGGACCCCGGGAGAGTGCAAACCGTCATTAAGTACATGACAGTTGCCAAGCACCTGAATTCTGATCACATGACCCTGGGGGATGCTGTGATGGTCGTTAAGTGTGACAACTGGCCATAAGTCCCTTTTTTCAATGCCATTGTGACTTCAAACAGTCACTAAATGAATGACCGTTAAGTCGAGGACTGCCTGTATTAAAAAAATAAAAAAATCTATACAGCTGGAAAGCCGAAGTCAAATTTCTGTACAATAGAAAGCTAGGAAGGCACATTCCCAGGTTTCTGATCAAATGTTGAAGACAACCAGAGGCATCCATGATAGGGTCAAAAAAGTCAAGATGGCGATCCTGATCATCTGATCAAAGACCCATCCCTTTTTGACGATCGTCTGTCCGAGACACTTCGAGATACACCGATTTAACAGGTGAACCAAGAGGCACATATATTACCCTATTACGTGTACAATGTATGACAAGCAGTCCTCAACTTACAACGATCGATTTACTGGCCACTCGGAGTTACAACGGCACTGAAAAAAGTGACTTATCCCCACGTTTCACACTTACGACCGTTGCAGCATCCTCACGGTCGCGTGATCAAAATTCACACACTCAACAACTGGCTCGTATTTACGACGGTCGCCGCATCCCCCTGGGATCACGTGATCCCCGTTTGCGACTTTCTGACAAGCAAAGTCAATTAAGGAGCCAGATCCACCTCAACGACCATGTTACTCATTTAACGGCAGTGATTCACTTAACAACCGTGGCAAGAACGGTCATAAAATGGGGCAAAACTCACTGTCTCACTTAGCAACAGAAATTTTGGGCTCAGCCGTGGTTGTAAGTGGAAGACTGCCAATATTTCTTAACTGTATTTAAGCATGTGTTATTTACTTTGTCATGCAATTAATGTCTATGTTTTTTTATGTCGCTAAATATATTTTCCTCCAGATTAGAGGGGTCCACAGTGCACAAAAAAGCTGAACCTGTTCTAATATAAAACCTGCTAACAGCCTACAGGTAGTCCTCGATTTACAGCCACAACTGAACCCAAAATCTGTATTGCCAAATGAGACATTTATTAAGGGAGTTTTGCCTCGTTTTACGATCTTTTGTGCCACCGTGGTTAAATGACTCACTGCAGTTTAGTAACATGGTTGTTAAGTGAATCTTGTCAGAAGGTCGCAAAAAGAGATCATGTGACTTCCCGGGATACTGCAATGGTCATAAATATGAACCGGTTGCCAAGGGTCTGAATTTTGATCACGTGACCCTGGGGACACTGCAACGGTCGTAAGTGTGAAAAATGATCATGAGTCACTTGGTCACGTGAAGGGTTAATACTACTTTATAACGCCACGTGGTAAGGCCACACTTGGAATACAGCATCCATTTTGGTCACCACGATGTAAAAAAGATGCCGAGACTCTAGAAAGAGTGCAGAGAAGAGCAATAAAGATGATTAGGGGACTGGAGGCTAAAATATATAAGGAAAGGCTGCTGGAATTGGGTATGTCTAGTTTAACGAAGAGAAGGACGAGGGGGGACATGATAGCAGTCTTCCAATATCTCAGGGGTTGCCCCAAAGAAGAGGGAGTCAAGCTATTCTCCAAAGCATCAGAAGGCAGGACAAGAAAGAACGGATGGAAACTAATCAAAGGAAGAAGCAACCTAGAACTAAGGAGAAACTTCCTGACAGTTAGAACAATTAACCAGTGGAACAACCTGCCTCCAGAAGCGGTGAATGCTCCAACACTGGAAGATTTTAAGAAGAAACTGGACAGCCATTTGTCCGAAATGGTATAGGGTTTTCTGCCTGAGCAGGGGTTGGACAAGATGACCTCCAAGGTCCCTTCCAACTCAAAAACAACAACAGTAATAATAATAATAACAATTTTTTTCAGTGCCAATGTAACTTTGAAACAGTCACTAAACAAACTGTCGTAAGTCAAGGACCATGACTACATCCTGATGGGATACAGGCAGCAGAAATGCACAAGGAACTCACCTGAAAGGATAACTGAAAGAGGCTGCTACTGTTTTATTCACCACCCCATGACAGGAAACCAGAAGTGTAGTAACGCCTCTGTAGCCGCCACAAGAAGCAAACGCAAGCACTGCAAAGAGCTGTAGACAAAGAACATTCCGATTCTGGCATTATTTGCAAAGGGAGAGGATAACCAAGAGGAGGGACCGGCTTATCCAAACCACGTTTTTCTTTTTTTTGATTAAAAGGCTCCAAAATGAAATTAAAGTCAAGTGGGGTTCAAAAAAAAAAAAAAAAAAAAAGCATCAAGCAAGAAAATCTTGGGTCCAACAAGCAGGAAGTGGGGTGGATGAACAAGAAATCTTTTTTAAGACTAAATTTTAAAATCAAGGCGAGACAACAAGGGCAGGATAATAATTGGAAATAGGTTTCTACTGTTTGTTAACCGTAATTCCTTTTGCTAGGCTTTGGTTTAGCACAGGGGTAGGCAACCTTGGCTCTTTTACGACTCGTGGACTTCAACTCCCAGAATTCCTGAGCCAGCCATGCTGAGGGAAAAGGGAGAGGTTTCCAAGCTGAGCCATGCTGGCTCAGGAATTCTGGGAATTGAAGTCCATGAGTTGTAAAAAAGTCAAGATTGCCTACCCCTGGTTTAGCATCTTATTTAAACCGAAGCATCAGGGTCTATGGTTCAGCTGGTGGGCCCAAGCCAGCCAGTTGTACTTTGCCCAATAAACTATGTTTAAAACTGAACCTAATGAGTATCAATGGATTAAAATGTGATGTAAACTCAGCCTAACTTGGTTAAAAACGGCCACTTTAGGGTGTAGAAGTGAGAAACAACAATGTCGATCTCTGTTTTTTTGTAGGATGTCAGATATTTTGCTGGATTTTTAAAAATTATTAATCTGGATTTTGCAGGCGATTGGATTCAATTCCGGTATCAAATGACGCCAAACATTAGCCACTTGCCTAGAATTAAAATTACAATATCATTTGGCCTGTGCTAATTTACACAACAGGCTAGGCCAGACTGATTTTGTTAGGCTCTGACTTAACCTGATGCATGTGCACTTGACTGTGGCCTACAAACCATTATTTATGGTTTATCAGGAGCTGCAACACACCACAGCCTATCTATCGTAATGCATGATCCCAGCTTATAGGCAATCAAATAAGAGCTCAGCATGTACACACCACATAAGTAACCTGGTTTGTGTTAGAAATATTTGCCAGCCATAAAAGAGGGAAAAGCTGTTCAGTGTGATGCAGCCATTTTAACGTAATGTATATCTGAAACCATGTTCTAAGCTTCAAAACTTTTACAAATACCAAGAGGGCTCCTACATAAAGGGTTAGGGTTAGGTCTGGAGGGGGTGCACACTGGAGGTGGCTACTACAGGTAGGTTGACAGCAAACCCCCACCTCCCACCCTGCTACTCCATGCTCGTTGGATTCTTTTTCTTTTTCATTGTTTATTTTATTGTTCCATTACTTTGCTACTGTTATATTTACACTGGGGGCAAAGAAATTTAACAAAATAAATAAATATGGGTGGGAAGGTGGTGAAAGAAATTGTCCTGCTATTTTAGCATTTTGAAATTAACAGCCACGTTGTTGAGAAAAAGAAGCCCCCTTGAAAGAGAATAAATATTCTAAGGGAATTTTACAGACCGGACAGAAAAAAGAAAAAAAAGAGTTGCACCAGGCCTAGTAAAAGAAAGCTGTTGTAACAAAAGAGAAACTACTAGAGCATTTCTGGAGCAGAGGGGGGGAAAAAACAGGCCTCGCAGCCTTTTTGGCCTAGGAACATTTTGCATCCTATTCCACTAAAGCTTTGCAAAAGAGATTCTTGTTGTATCTCTACCACCCATTTATTTACTCCCTATTAAAATCGAATTAATCCAATGTTCTTCCTTTACCCAAAGGAGGAGAGTTTGCAAGACCCTCCCTAAATTGGCTGCTTTTTTTTTTTTTTTTTTTTTTGAGGTTTAGGACGTCTTGCAAACACAGCTCTTTGGGGTTGCACCCTCACCACCACTCCCCGTTTGCAGAAATACTCCTCAAAGAAAGCCCTGCATGGATCCTCCTTCTGTAACCAACTCACCCACTCAAGAAGCTTGATGAAACCTAGAGGTTCTTTCAGAGGACCAAGGTCCAGGTGAAAATCACTCATGTTTTGCAAGAGGAGGAGGAGGAGGAAGAAGAGGGATTATTAGAGCAAAGAGGAGCCACTGAGGAGCCCCAGAAGAAGAGATGGTGGGAACAAGAAGCTGGAAGCTCTGCTCAACCTTGTCTCCAAGCTCTCGTTCCCAGGAGCAGAAGGTGGACCTCTTTGGTCCTATAGAACCTGCCTTCTTGGGCTCCGCCCACATCCTTCAGCCAATAGGATGCCTTCCCTTCCTTCTCCAACTGTTCTCTCACAATGGCTTGGAAGAAGGTCAGTGGGACATCCTCTGCCCAGGTAGAGCGGGGCTGTCAGAAGGTCAACCTTGCTCCTGGCCGAAGAATGGATTGCTGAATGCATATAATAATAATAATAATAACAACAACAACAACAACAACAACAACAACAACAGTAAAGTTGGAAGGGACCTTGGAGGTCATCTAGTCCAACCCCCTGCTCAGGCAGGAAACCCTACACCATTTCGGACAAATGGCTGTCCAGTCTCTTCTTAAAAACTTCCAGTGTGGGAGCATTTACTGCTTCTGGAGGCAGGTTGTTCCACTGGTTAATTGTTCTGTCAGGAAGTTTCTCCTTAGTTCTAGGTTGCTTCTCTCCTTGATTAGTTTCCACCCGTTGCTTCTTGTCCTGCCTTCAGGGGCTTTGGAGAATGGCTTGATTCCCTCTTCTTTATGGCAGCCCCTGAGATATTGAGAGTCCTAGTGGACAATCACTTAAATATGAGCTAGCCGTGTGCTGCAGCTGCCAAAAAAGCCAACACAGTGCTGGGCTGCATTGACAGAGGGATAGAATCAAGATCACGTGAAGTGTTACTACCACTTTACAAGGCCTTGGTAAGGCCACACTTAGAATACCGCATCCAGTTTTGGTCACCGCGATGTAAACAAGATGTTGAGACTCTAGAACAGGGGTGTCAAACTTGCAACGTCACGTGACGTGTCGTGACTTTTTTCCCATTGCCCGCAATGGGGTGGGTGCGGTTTCGGCATGACGCATCCAGCCCGTGGGCTGACAATTTGACACTCCTGCTCTACAAAGAGTGTAAAGAGCAACAGAGATAAAATAAAAGTCAAGAATGCCATTCAACCCTGGAAAAAAAACAAATTCATGATAGGGAGGGACAATTATAATAATCCAGTTGCTGTAGTTTGGTGAAATAATTGGGTTGGGTTTTTTTTTCACCAATTTATATTGCTTTAGTATGTAATTAGTATAACTATGTAGTGTATAATTGGTTCGATAAATGACCTGGGGGAAGGATTTTCCACACTGATTTTTGTGTGTACTAAATATAGAATGGGGGCTGGTTGGTTTTGAATGACTCTTGACTTGCTTATATGCTGTTTTTGTTTTGTTCTTTTACATTTTTTCAGCACAAGTTGATAGCAGAGGAAAGATCAGAACAAAAGCATTTTTTTTCCAGTATGCTTATGTTAGACTTGTTAATAATCAAAATCACTTGATTGTTAATGTGGTAATTTGGCTTGTTTGTTTCAAGCATTTTTCAAATAATTTTCAAATAATAGTATTTTTTATTTCTCCTAGTATTTAATTATAAATCATATATGCAGAAACACTTTTTCCCCCCTGTACAGTTCAGTCCTATGGATATTTTTAAAAAAATGTTGCAAAGACTTCAATGGGGTTAGTCCCTGGTAAGCAGAATGCAGAGCATAGAATAACAGCATCAGGAGGGACCTTGGAGGTCATCTAGTCCAGGGCTTTTCAACCTTTTCACCCATTGTACCACTTTTAGGATATGGCAACATCCGAGTACCACCAGTCGCCTAGCAAGGGATCAAAAACTTGATGACCCCCCCAAAAAAGGAAAAAAGTGATAAAGTACAGGTAGTCCTCGATTTACAACAGTTTGCTTAGTGACTGTTCGAAGTTACAATAGCATTGAAAAAAGTGCCCCCCAAGCCACAGCCGAGCAAGACACTTGCCTGCCCACCTGGCCACGCTCTTTCTCCTAGTCAAAGTTTTCATTGTTCTGAGCATTTCTGTTGAGGATTGGCAGCGGGGTTGGGGTGGGGGGTGTTTGGTTTTTATTCCCCCCATCTGCTGGGTGGCTGCAGCAGGTTTTGGTCACTTCACATGACCCTGGGACACTATGACCGTCATAAATATGAATCAGTTGCCAAGCATCTAATGTAAATCACAAGACCCTGGAGATGCTGCAACATTCCAGCTGATCGGCGCTTCTTCTGGGCTCAGCGGAAGCACCAGGATCAGCGCCGAACTCCAGCTGGAGCCTGGTGCTAATCCTGGCGCTTCCACTGAGCCCTGACAGCCCCAAAGAAGCGCTGATCCTGGCGCTTCCGCTGAGCCCTGACAGCCCTGCAGTTCCAGCCATCTCTCGCTCAGTCTTGTGCAGTCCTGCCACCAGTTCAGCTCATTCCCCTCCCCCGCTACCACTTTTCTGGGATGGTGGTGTACGCTCAGAGGCGACTCTCCTCCGGGGGGCTGCTGGTGGGGTCGCGGAGGGAGGCAAGGCTGGGGCAATGCCACGTGTGCCCACAGAGAGGGCTCCGAGTGCCACCTCTGGCACCCGTGCCATAGGTTCGCCACCACTGGCTTAGGGTATTCTCCAAAAAAAATGTCCCCTCAAATTCTATATTTGTGCCTGTCTTCAAGGAAGTAACCATGTGTTAACTACATTTTAATGAGTGCTACCAAATAATTATTTGGCCTTACGATTCCTGCATTAAATGATGTTGGCAAGGAGCTGACCAGCACCAACAGAGCAAAGAGTAGAAAATGGTGGATTTCTTCTAAGAGCTATGGTGGCGCAGCGGTCAGAAAGCTAGTATTGCAGGCTAATTCTGCCAGCTGCCTGCAGTTCGATCCTGACCGGTTCAAGGTTAACTCAACTGTCCATCCTTCCGAGGTTGGTAAAGTGAGAACCCAGGTTGTTGGCAACACGCTGGTGGATTCTGCAAACTGCTTAGAGAGGAATGGAAAGCAGTATAAAGCAGTCTACACCTATCCGTGGGATGCAAGCAGTATACAAAACCACTCCCTCTCCGGTCCGTGGAAAAACCATTCTCCATGGAACTGGTCCCTGGTGCCCAGAAGGATGGGGGCCACTGATTTACGGCCAATCTTAGAAACTCTTTAATTTTTTTGTTTATTTTGTTCCTTTTCATTCTTGTGTCCATGTAAGCAAGGTCCCCATTCATCCATCCATCCAGCCATCCGTCACTCCCAAACATATCTTTCTCCTCTTGGGTGCCATTTCATCCTTTCAACTCAACAATCTCTTCAGCTTTCAAAAGAGCGTGAAGTCGGTGTTATTAATAGTTCTTGTAAACGCAGTAAAGACACGTCAATCAAATCTAAGGGCTCCAGTTATTATTGGGAAAAGAAGTTGCATTTAACACCCAAGTTACTTGCTGCTGCTAAAGACTCTCTCCTTTGGTTTCTTGTTGCACCTGGAGAAGAACAGAAGGAATCTTGCTTGACATGTGCTATGTTCTGTCATGTCTTTATTTACCGAGGTATATTGACCTTTGTGTATTTTTGACTCAGGCTTGTCCTCAGGAACTTGACGAGATGGGAAGATGATCTTTCACAAAGTTGTCTTTTGAACTGATATCGCTGAGTCAGTCCCAGTGTCTTCCATGCAAGATTAGATAATGTGCAGTATTATCTGAAAACGTTTTGCTTTGCTTTCAAAAGAGCAGCTGGTTATTAACAAGATGTAGTAAAGACTCCTCACCCATGACTCGATTCTCATCACCAGCAGCTGGATGAAAAGCTATTTCTCTACAACTATATCGAATTAGTTAAGTACCATCAAGTCAGAATAACAGAAGTGGAAGGGACCTTGGAGGTCTTCTAGTCCAACCCTCTGCTCAAGCAGGAGACCCTGGCCTATACATTTCAGACAAATGGCTGTCTAGTCTCCTTCAAAATCTCCAGTGACGGAGCATCCGCAACCTCTGGAGAAAAGTGGTTCCATTGATTGCGACCTTCTGACGAACAAAGTCAATGAGGAAATCAGGGTCAACTTTGAAAATGAGCACGGCTGTGGCCATCTTCCCTAACACCTGCTTCGTTACTCTAAATAAACTTTTGTCCCATGGGAACCAAGGTCATCGGCTGCTCCCGAGATTGCAAGCTGGGCGATTCGTGCAAAGCCTGCCAAGAAAATGTACTGGGGAATGTAGGGGTGAGATTTCTTAACTTTGCCTTGGGGAATTGTGAGGTGTGTCTTCAGATTTGGTTTCACTTTTGATCCTGCCAGTACTTTATAGCTAATAAACCTGCTCTTTGAGGAATTTCCCTGCCCCGGAATTCTGCTTTATTGGTCTCTTGTCTGTCGGAACCGTGACATTCCGATTTATTTAATCGCCGCATTAACTTAAAATTAACCACTGCCGTGATTCACTTAGCAAAACTCACTTAACAACTGTCTGGCTTAGCAATGGAAATTTGGGTGGGTCCGTTTTGGCCGTTGAGGATTCCTTGTGTCATATAGTTGGGACATGTAGATAAGCGTCTTAAGACATGTTTTTACTAGATCAAATGGCAGGCCTTAGCCGGGAGTTACCCTTGAGAATGCTGGTTTTAGAATTCTTGCCAATTTAAGAAATAAAATAAAATAAAAACAAATCAATATAACTTTGCAAACTTGCAGAGAGCTGGATGCTCAATTTGAACCCAGATTTTCTTTATACGCAAGAACTTAAATATATTACAACCATATATAATTTTTTTCAATATATCCACCAAGCAATTAAATGTTCAAATTAGTAGTAGAAAGGGGCATGCGTTGTTAAATTATAGATTTCCTGGCTAAGAAAATAGGTAAAAAATAGGTGCTAGGATCTAATCTCCAGTTATTTCGGGATAATTAAGAATCCTGTCCTATAGTTACAATGGGCTCTACTTGGTCAACGGAATAGTGTCTTATTTATAAAAACTCTAGTACTCAAAAGACAAGTGAGATGCTATAAATATGCCTTTCTCACTGTGTTTTTTTTCCTTGCCAAAAATAACTGTGTAACCTCATAGATAGAACAATTGCTAAAAATATAGATAAGGATGAAGCCAAGAATGTTCTCACTTAAGACTCATCAAGTAATCAGGAGAGGCCAATCTACAAGTAGTAATTTCATTTTCATTCTAAAACTATACCTCGTAAAACATTGTGCAAAGCAGCTCAGGAGTTGTGAAAAAATTGCCAAAGCTGAACATCCTTTTCTTGCAAGTCGCTCCATCAGGAACACAAACCTTTATTTCACGAAAGAGTCAAGATTCCAATATTCCAGCAAATAGTCCTTAAATTTCTAGAGCAGTTTTTACCATTTGCCAGAAAATATGCCAACGTTTGCAGTGTTGAGATATTCTTCAATGCCAAGAATGAATTAGGAAATTCGGGACGCAATTTCTATAAAGTCCGAAATGGTATAGGGCCTGAGCAGGGAGGGGGGTTGGACTAGATGACCTCCAAGGTCCCTTCCAACTTTAGTATTATTATAATTAAGTCCTCGATGTACAACAGTTCATTTAGTGACCGTTCAAAGTTACAACATCCCTGAAAAAAATGAATTTAGGACCGCTTTTCACCCTTACGACCGTTGCCGCCTCCTTCAGGATCACGTGATCAAAATTCAAAGGCTGGGCGATTGACTCGTATTTGTGACGGTTGCAGCGTCCCGCAGTCACGTGACCCCCTTTTTACGACCTCCCAACAAGCAAAGTCAACGGGGGAGCCAAGTTCCCTTAACAACCGTGCCACTAATTTAACAACTGCAGCGATTCGCTTAACAACCGTGGCAGGAAAGGTCGTAAAACGGGGCAAATCTCACTTAACAACACAAATTGGGGGCTGTACTGTGGTCGTAAGCCGAGGAATGCCTGTGTTGTATAGTGACCTTGCACTGGAAACCGAAGTGCTCTGCATCTCCAGATGGTCCTCATATTCCTATTAAATGTGATATTCGGAGCTTAATAGCGTTTAAAGCAGTGGTTCTCAACCTGCGGGTCGGGACCCCATTTGGGGTCGAACGACCATTTCACGGGGGTCACCAAACAACGCAGCCCGCCATTTTTTCCCTTTTCCTTAGCTGTGCTACTCCCTTTTATTCTATTGGCTTTTGAAAGCCAATAGAATAGACTCTCTTGAATAGAGTCTCATTCTATTGGCTTTCAAAAGCCAATATGAATTGTCCAGGCTGTCTCTGCCCTGCTGAGCCCGCCAAAAGTCCCATTCTGCACACGGTGCTGCACCAGTTGAGTAGTCCTCGACTTACGACCGGTTGAGTAGTCCTCGACTTACGACCGGCTGGGGGTCGCGGCATTAAAAAGGTTGAGAACCACTGGTTTAAAGGGACAGAGAAATCCCTGGGAACTCTTCCCTTCAGCGGATACAAATCTCACTTAAAAAAGAGGGAGAAGCAAAGGACAAAAAAAAAAGCTTATTTCCTTCAAAATATTTATTTATTTTTTTATTCTGGACCTTCACACCCCTACAACTAAGTATATTTCATTTAATTTAAACAGATAAAGACACACGCACACACAGGCAATGATATAAATTCCAAATATACATGGAGAAAATTCATTGTTGTTTCCAAAGTTGAATACAAAAATGGAAGTTTGGAGTACGGATGGCAATTGAAAGTTACAAGGACGCTGAAAAAAGTAATTTGTGACTGTTGATGCTTCTGACACTGAAGACCATTGCAGCATCCTTCATGGTTCCGGGATAAAAATTCTGACGCTTGGCAACTGCCTCGTATTTATGACGGTTGCAGTGTCCCGGGGCCACGTGATCCTCTTTTGATCGTTAAAATGGGGGCAAAACTCACTTAACTGCAATGAAAATATAGTGCTCAATTGTGCTCGTTAAGTCGAGGACTACTTGCATGTAACACGTATGAAGGATGATTGGGGGAGGCGAATACATGACATGCAGGGTGATGAAGGGGTTTACCGGACAGCGTGGGATTTATTTTGCATTTTTGTGGATGTTAGGATGTTTTCTAGGCTAGTAACAGCTACCATTATAGAAAAATGGATGGGGATTTTTTTTTAGGATATGCGTCAATTTCGCACCTGCTTTCTCACAGTTTGAACTGTGGGTAGCCCAGAGGGGAAAAGGGAGGAGGAAAGCGTTGTGAGGAAGGGTACCCTGAGAAAGACATGGTGGAATAGCGTTGTTGAAAACTGAAGAGGGGAGGGCAGAAAAGACACGGAATGAAGCGATGGTCCGCACCAAGATCGTGAATGGGATTGATGTTAAGGGAGACCACACCTGGAATACTGCAACCAATTTTGGTCACCATACTACAAAAAAGATGTTGAGACCTTGGAAAAAAATTCAGAGAAGAGCAACTAAGAGGATCCAAGGCCTGGAGACTAAAAGATACGAAGAACAGCTGCAGGACTTGGGTTTGTCTAGTCTAAAGAAAAGAAGAAACAGGGGAGACATGATAGCAGTGTTCCAGTGTTTGAGGGGCTGCCACAAAGAAGAAGGGGGTCACGTTATTCTCCAAAGCAGCAGAAGGCAGGACGAGAAACAATGGTTGGAAACTGACCAAAGAGAGAAGCAACCTGGAATTAAGGAGAAACTTCATGACAGTAAGGACAATTAATCAGTGGAACAGGTTGCCACCAGAAATCGTAGGTACTCCATCAGTGGAGGTTTTTAAGAAGAGACTGGACAATCACCTGTCTGACATGGTATAGGCCGGGGTGGGGAATCTTGGCTCTTTTATGACTCGTGGACTTCAACTCCCAGAATTCCTGAGCCAGCGTGGCTCAGCTTGGAAACCTCTCCCTTTCCCCTCAGCGTGGCTGGCTCAGGGATTCTGGGAGTTGAAGTCCACGAGTCATAAAAGAGCCCAGGTTCCCCACCCCTAGTTTAGGTTCTCCTGCTTGAGCAGGGGGCTGGACTAGAAGACCTCCAAGGTCCCTTCCAGCTCTATTCTATTCTATTCTATTCTATTCCTATTCTGTTCTGTTCATATTCTATTCTGTTCATATTCTATTCTATTCTATTCTATGTTAGTTTTAGCTCTATTTCCTCATGTGTTTACTGTTCAGCTATTTACTACACCCTCCCTGTGTGCAACACAACACTGCACACCCCTAATAGAACATTCAGATGGGTATGCTTAAGTACAGGTAAGTCCTCGGCTTACAGCAGTTCATTTAGTGACTGTTAGAACTGACAGCAACCTTGAAAAAAGTGACTTATGGTCGTTTCCCACAACCGTTGCAGCAGCCCCAGGGTCATGCAATCAAAATTCAGATGCTTGGGAACTGACTCATACTTACGACGGTTGCAGTGTCCCAGTGTCCTGTGATCCCTTTTTGTGACCTTCTGATGAGCCAAAATCAATGGGGGAAGCCGGATTCACTTAACAACCGTGTTATTAACTGAACAATGGCAGTGATTTCTTTAACCGCTCTGGCAAGGAAAGGCTGTAAAATGGGGCAAAACTCACTTAACAACTGTCTCACTTAGCAATAGAAATGTTGGGGAGGGTCAATTGTGGTCTTTTAAGTCGAGGACTACCTGCATGTTTATTGAAGTATGTTTATTTCTGGGCCTGCAACTCACCGCTAAGAAAACCAATCAGGTTAACAATACATCCATCCCATTCTTAAAAGCACACACAATATCCAAAACCTGATCCCACAAAATGAAATGATTAAAATTGGTCATAATTGCCCGGACAAATCTGGCAAATTAAATATATTTCAGAGCAGAACATTTAAAATATGGCTTTCCAAACAAGGTTTAAAAGCACATTCTCTTGCTTTCGTTTATGTTATTCAGAGCTTGCCTGAACCGTTGTTCAGATAATTGTTTAAACTTAAATATAAATTCCAGATATACAGTTCTTTTTTTTTGTTTTTAAAGCATAGCCCTCAAATCAGTTTTATTGCCACGTCAAAAGACCGCTTAAGTCCTTTTTTCCAATAACCATCCTTGGCCATTCACCTGAGAATTTAATACAGCAAAAACTAATTTGTTCTTCAACTGAGCAATTCAGAGCATGTGGTAGAAAATTATTCAAGTGCAGTCATGGAAAAAAGAATAGCATTCACTGCGTTTAGTTTCTTTAAAAAATACTTCAACCTCTGCATAGTGTTCTCTTTTGTTGTTTTTTTAAGGGAAAGCTAGCAGGATAAAAACAGTTTGGCTAGAACAATGTTTTATTAGAATTATTTAACAAAAAATATTTAAGACAGCTATACAGTTTAACATCCAATCTGACAAAAAAAAAGCAAAACTGAAGAGCAAAATACAAAAAAAAAAAAAAAAAAAACACCAATCCCCAAGTTAAAAAGTGCACTATTCAATCCAGTATTTTGTTTTGTTGTTTGTAGCCACGTACGGAAAAAAATAAAATCCGAATTAATATAACTATTTGCACAGTTTCACACATTTGGGGCTGGAAGGAGACTTCTTAGCTTTACAGTCAGTTGTCAAGCAGGTATATTGAAATAAACCCCACTGAATTTCAACAGATTTTACACGAGATGCAGGCGTGCGTTAAGATTGCGGCCTCTCTCTTCGAAGATGGCGACAAAGTTGGCAATATTTTTTTGCAGCAAAAAATTACTCCTTTGTTTTTGGCGTTTGGTGAATATTTTCTCCTCTTAAACAAAGGTATGTATTGATAAAAGTCACGTATCGCCCCATTTCGGTGGATACAAAAAAATCTGGCTCTTAATGGCAGAACAACTGTGACTGTTGTGAGCGAGCTATCCTGATTAAAGCTTCCAAACAGGACAATTTTCACAATAAAACTTAAGGCCATGTTTTATTTGCTGATCAATGGACAAAAAAAGGCAGTGAGTTTTCTTCCTAACCCCCCCCCCCCAGTTATTTCCTTGAAAGTCTCTGCTTGTAAAAATCACGAAAAAAGTTGGAAAGACGGAATTGTTGAAACTTTTAAATATATTTTACACAATCTCGTTTTGTACAAAAATACAAGTTAATTATAAACATAAAGCGATGATACTATTAGGTAAATCTTATTTTGCGATATGCTACTGTATATATATATATCTATATATCTATATATATCTATATATATATATATATTCATTTATTTATAAAACAATCTCATCAACGTTCTGAGATGCATACCAGATTGAATCACGACTAGCAAAGAATTCTACAATTACACGGACCAGGTTTTCAGCTGTAAATATTTCGATTTTAGACTGGCCAAAATGAAAGGAGAAACAAAAAAAGGGGGGGCACTGATGTCCATAAACCAACAAATAATTCGGCTAGGATGTGGCAAACACAAACACACAGATCTCTACAAGAAACCATTATCAGTACATAATTGTTGCACATATACCAACATGGAATGAAACTTTAGTGAGACGCCGTGGAAAATTCACTCGTTTTCAACCTGGCATTTTCTCTGACTTCATCAAAGGAGTACGTCTTCGTTACTACTCCGTTTTTAAACACTGTGTGAAGGAAATCCTGCAAAGGAACGCCGTTCGTTAGGGCTTTAGTTAAACACAATACAGCATCTACCCCCAAAAATGTTAAATAAGCCACTATAAGATCTCGACTTATATTAGTTTAGTGACCTGTTTGAAGTTACAACAGCACTGAAAAAAACACTGATTTATGACCGGTTTTCACACCTACAACCGTTGGGACCATCCCCATGTCACATGATCAAAATTGAGACACGCGGCTTCTGACTCGTTTTGAGTCGGTTGTCACGAGTCAGTTTTGAGTCGTGAATAATTTTCAGTCAGCTGTCACGAGGCAACTGACTCATGACTCATATTTATGACAGCTGCCGTGTCCGTGTCCGTGTGTGTGTGTGTGTGTGTGAGACAGACACATGATCCACTTTGGCAAACCTTCTGACAAGTAAAGTCAGTGGGAGAAGCCATATTCATAACAACTGTTGTTACTAACAACTGCAGAGTTTCACTTAACAACTGTGGCAAGAAATTGGGATGAAACTCATTTAACAACTGTCTTGCTTCACAACAGAAAATTGGGGATGAATTTGTGGTCGTGAGTGGAGGACTACTTGTAAGTCAATGCATAACTAATGCTAGTTTCTATTAGTGTACGGATCAAATATATACGAAAGAAATTTAACTAGATATTAACAGGCAGAAGCTACTGAAAATTGTCAATTGCTTTTCTATTCCCTAGCTGCAAAATCATGTTTCCATTCATGTGTATTTTAGAATAATAATAATAATAGTAGTAGTAGTAGTAGTAGTAGTAGTAGTAGTAGTAGTAGTAATAGTAGTGGTAGTAATAGAAAGTGATAAAATTAAACTGCTCTGGGACTTCAGAATTCAAACAGACAAGCACCTGCAACATAACACCCCGGACTTAACAGTTGTCGATAAGAAAGACAAAAAAGTCTGGATAGTGGACGTGGCAGTGCCTGGAGACAGCAGAACAGACGAGAAAGAACTGGAGAAGATAACAAAATACAAAGACCTACAAATAGAAATAGAAAGACTGTGGCAAAGGCAAGCAAGGGTAGTACCAATAGTCATAGGCGCCTTGGGTGCAATCCCAAAACAACTGGAGCACCACTTGAACACCACTGGCATTGACAAATTCGCCATCAGTCAATTGCAAAAGGCGGCCTTACTAGGAACTGCTTCCATCCTGCAACGATATCTGTAATACCATCCAACATCCAGATCTGCCTATCCCAGGTCCTTGGGAAGGACTCAATAGGTAGACAAAAATGCCAAATCCAGTCTGAACATCTGGCTGACTGTGCGATGATCGATAATAATAATTATTATTATTATTATTATTATTTAGTTATTAAATTTTTGTGCCTCCCAGCTCCTCCTCAAGACGACTCTGGGCAGCTTACGAGTTATTGAAGAATGCAAGCCTGTTTGTGTTTCTGCTCTAAAACCCCATTGTTATTTATCTCTATCTCCCTAATACCAGCAAAGGAAACGGAAGCATTTAACTACCTGTCCGTATTCTTCTAGATCCCCTTTGCCTTCTTCTAGTGTAACAAAGTCTCCGTTCGGCGTTCTGTGCAAGGACAATCTTCCTTTCTTGGAACGTTTGTTGGGATCGGCTACCGGATCCTTAAAGACATTCACCTGGAAGCCAAATTTAAAAGGAATTCACCCAGGCTGACCTCAGTGAGTTCCCGTTTCCCTCTCAAGTAAAAATGACATTTAGAGAACATACCCCGAGGCCATTAGTAACCACGTAACTGCATTTGAACGAGCAGTTCAAGAGATCTCTGGTTAATTTCTGCAGAAGGGCTCCACCCGAGCCGAAAGCAATGTTTTCAATGCTCCATTTCTGCTGTTTCATGCCCTCCACGACCTGGAAGTGACAAAAGACACTTTTAAGCATTGCCCAAGGTACAGATTCTAAATTAAGCCTCATAACGTACGCGCATCGACTCTACTTTTTTTTTTAAAGATCATTTAATGCGTTGTGCCATTTTTACGGGTAAATGCAACTTCCAAAAACGAAGAGCGGTTTTTTAAGTTATGTTTACCCACCCAAATTGCGTTAATACTGTTTTTGTTTTGTGCAAGTTGCGTTTATCCACAAAAAGAATAAAATTAACACCCTGTCGGGTTCCTGTTAAGAAATATTCAGGAATAACTAGGCAATCTGCTGTTAACTGTCTTCCATCCCGGCTGCTACGATTTTCAATATTTTGGAAGGTCTGAGCATCTCTGGAATTTTAAGAAGAGTTCCAGACATCACCACAAATAAAGTCAGAATAACAGAGTTGGAAGGGACCTTGGAGGTTATCTAGTCCAACCCCCTGCTCAGGCAGGAAACCCTATACCATTTCAGACAAATGGCTGTCCAGTCTCTTCTTGAAAACCTCCAGTGTTGGCGCATTCACCGCTTCTGGAGGCAGGTGGTTCCACTGGTTAATTGTTCTCACTGTCAGGATATTTCTCCTTAGTTCCAGGTTGCTTCTCTCCATTAGTTTTCATCCATTGCTTCTTGTCCTGGACTCAGGTGCGTTAAAGAATAGCTTGACCCCCCCCTTTCTTTGTGTTACGTCTACGGTGGCAACATTAGGAGTCTCCCTGATTTATGTTTTCTCCTTTTGGTGTCACCTTGCTAAAAAATGAGGGGGGAAAAACCTCAATTTATGCCTGCCGTGTTTTTTTTTCCCTACATTTTTCCTGTAAAAAGAATTTCTCAGGCAGTCAGGTAGAATTATTCATAACAAAACAAAACACAGGGGGGGGGGCTGAAAGTTCTGTTGGTGTCCCAGGTTTAAAAAGAAAATCTGCTTAAAAATAAATGGGGGGGGGAGAGAAGAGAGAGAAAAAGACTGGGTTGGTGCTGAATGGCTAGCCCGAGGAGATATCCAATAGCAATCTAACTACTTGGTGTTTATTCAATCTGGAAAGATCAAGATTTTGCAAGATGACCCCTTCCATCCAGCTGCTTCTCTTCTTGCACATATAATCCAAACCACAAGGAACCATTTGGATAATGCAAGTCACTTCTATTTCCCCGCTGAAAAGACAACAGCAGCGGGAAAGCTTGCGGTTTTCCTTGGAACGGTGTCTGCTCAAGGCTAAATCACACTTTGTACAGTGTTGTCAAGTTACACCCTAAACAAGGTCACCAGAAAGCATCACCGGGGCAAAGAGGGTGACCTTCAGCATGGCATCGGCAACCATCCTCAAGTTAATTCCTGCAAGTTATTTTGGTTTTTCTCTCTATTCGACTTCCTGTTAATATACAGCAAAGAGGATGTGGCCAGATTTTGCAAGATTCAATGCTACATGTAGGTTCTCGTGAGCTTCTGTACCAACTGTGGGGTCATACATCTTCTCAGAGATCAACATTTGGGGTGTCTCCTGAATTGCAAAAAACCCCAAACAAACGCAGCTCTGACTAAACATTGAGGGGAAAAACTGCAGAGTGAAAGAAAAAAGATAAGGGGGGGGGAGAAAGGCAACTGGAGTCATTTTAAGCTTTTAGTTTCAGTTGTTTGCTGCAAATACAGCTTTTTTTTTTTAAGCACTGTGCTATTAAGACAGGATGTATTTTTCCACTGAACCTCAGAGGGAAATATTTCTCCAACTTTTAACCCCCGTTTTGCCTAGACAGGTTTGAGAACACGGCCACCGATGAAGGTATGGTTGTCTTTAATGGTACCCACATTGAAAGGCAACTGAAGTGCTTCTCTAAAAGTTTTAACAGAATGACAGAGTTGGAAGGGACCTTGGAGATCTTCTAGTCCAGCCCCCTGCTCAAGCAGGAGAACCTATATGATTCCAGAAAAGTGACTGTCCAGTCTCTTCTTAAAAACCTCCAGTGTTGGAGCATTCACAACATCAAAATTAATCAGGAAAAAAAAAATCACACCTCTTGCAATGTGTTGATATCCACACCGTCTCCTTGAATAATTCTGAGGTAAGGTGGCAGCACTTTATAGCCTTTTGCATTTTCTGCAATGGGGAACTTCTTTCCGAGAATTTCCAAAACCTAGCAAAAAAAAAAAAAAAGAGAGAGAGAGAGAGAGAGAGAGAGAGAGAGAGAGAGAGAGAGAGAGAGAGAGAGAGAGAGAGAGAAACATAAATATTAGCAAATCAGCCTATCATTCCATTAAATAAACCAGGTAGATAACAAATTCAAAACAGAAGTGATATAACAAAAAGATCTAAAGCAAACTGCCGGCCTGCAAGCCAGATGCATCATACTAGATCATACATGCATCATGTGACGTCGCAGGTTTGAAATGCCTGATCTAAAGGAAGAAACACTCAAATCCAGTCTTTCTATTAAAATTATACCGGAAAGAACCCCTTGGATTAAGGCTTGCTGAAGCAACTTTTGAATGAAGAATATTGCTTCACTTTACGGCATCTCTTAGCTTCCAATGACAGATGTTGTCGGCATCTGTCAGTGGGAACTGAAACCCATATACAGTTAGTCCTCGACTTACCAACATTCATTCAGTGACTGTTCGAACGGCACTAAAAAAAGGGATATGACTATTTTTCACACTCACCACTTGCACCATCCCCATGGTCCTGCAATCAAAATTCCAATGCTTGGCAACGGGAATGTATATATGATGGCTGCAATCTCCCAATTTTGGGCTCAATTATAGTCATAAGTTGAGAGCTGTATCTAAAAGTGTGTGGTGGACATGAGTGTAAAACAATAATGTTCTTTGTCCTACAGCAGGGGTAGACAACCTTGGCTCTTTTATGACTGGTGGACTTCAACTCCCAGAATTCCTCAGCCAGCATGGCTCAGCTTGGAAACCTCTCCCTTTCCTCTCAGCGTGGCTAGCTCAGGAATTCTGGGAGTTGAAGTCCACGAGTCATAAAAGAGCCAAGATTCCCCATCCCTGCCCTGTATCAGGGGTCCTCAACCTTGGAAACTTTTCAGACTCGTGGACTTCAACTCCCAGAATTCCTCAGCCAGCCTGGCTCAGCTTGGAAACCTCTCCCTTTCCCTTCAGCGTGGCTGGCTCAGGAATTCTGGGAGTTGAAGTCCACAAGTCATAAAAGAGCCAAGGTTGCCCACCCCTGTCCTACAGTTTCCCTCAAACAGAGTTTTTTTTAAAAAACAGAGTAATTTTAGGAAGGACTAATTACAAGTATCCTTGACTTGCGACCACGACTGAGCCCAAAATTTCAATTACCACGCAAGACCATCGTTGAGTCAATTTTGCCCGATTTTACCACCTTTCTTTCTTGCCCAAATTGTTAAGTGAGACACTGCAGTCATTAAGTGAGTTAACCCAGTTGTTAAGTGAAATTGGGCTTCCCCTCTGACTTTGCAGTGACTCACTTATTATCTGTGTCCCAAAAGGTAACAAAATGACTCACTTCACAAAAACGCCTTAGGCTTAGCAATGGAAATTCTGGTGGTAAATCAAGGAATTTATCTGTATATTTTGTGTAAGTGGGCTTAAATCCTCTCAGGTTCCTGTAAGTCAAGGAAATTCCTGATATTTAACGGTGTATTGAATTCTGTATATCCGTCGTATCTAACCGACTCTTTCGAAGAAGTGCACGTGCTTTTAGAAAGTCATTTAAGAATATAAACCCCAGCAGCAAAAGCCACAATTGTTAAAAGGGTAAAAACAAAACCACCAGAAAGATCAAAAAGCACACGCCTTCCTTTTATCTGATGCTGACAGATAGTCCTTACAGGGGTGCCCAAGGCTAAAAGGAAGGAACATATAATTAATGTGTAATCTGGGGTGATCGCTCCACTAAAACTACCCCTGGGTAACACAGGTAGTCCTTGACTTACGACAGATTCATTTGGTGACCATTCAAAGTTACAACAGCAGTGGAAAAAAGTGACTGATGACCGTTTTTTCATACTTACAACCGTGGCAGCACTCCCATGTCATCAACATTCAGACGCTTGGCCACCTGCTCACATTTATGATGGCACTGATTCGCTTAACAAGCCTGGCGAGCAAGGTCGTAAAACGGGGGCACTGAACAAATGTTTCATTAGGCACAGAAATTTTGGGCTTAATTGCAGTCATTAAGTCAAGGACGGCTTGTATTTGGAACGCTTCTGGAGGCAAGGAGTTCCACTGGTTAATTGTTCTAACTGTCAGGAAGTTTCTTCTTAGCTCTAGGTTGCTTCTCTCCTGGATTAGTTTCCATCCATTGCTTCTTGTCCTGCCTTCAGGTGCTTTGGAGAATAGCTTGACTCCCTCTTCTTTGGGGTAGCCCCTGAGATACTGGAAGACTGCTATCATGTCCCCCCTCGTCCTTCTCTTCGTTAAACTAGACATACCCAATTCTAGCAACCGTTCCTTATATGTTTCAGCCTCTAGTCCCCTAATCATCTTTGTTGCTTTTCTCTGTACTCTTTCTAAAAGAGTCTCGACATCTTTTTTACATCGTGGTGACCAAAACTGGATGCAGTATCCAAAGTGTGGCCTTACCAAGGCCTTGTAAAGTGGCATTAATACTTCACGTGATCTTGATTCTATCCCTCTGTTAATGCAGCCCAGCACTGTGTTGGCTAATAACAACAACAACAACAATAATAATAAAGTTGGAAGGGACCTTGGAGGTCATCTAGTCCAACCCCCTGCTGAAGCAGAAGACCCTATACCATTTCAGACAAATGGCTGTCCAGTCTCTTTTTAAAAGCCTCCAGTGATGGAGCATCCACATTTTGTTCTAACTGTAGGGAAATTTCTCCTTAGTTCCAGGTTGCTTCTCTCCAGGATTAGTTTCCATCTGTTGCTTCTTGTCCTGCCTTCAGGCGCCTTGGAAAATAGCTTGACTCCCTCTTCTTTGGGGCAGCCCCTGAGATATTGGAACGTTGCTATCCTGTCCCCCCTCGTCCTTCTCTTCATTAAACTAGACATACCAAATTCCAGCAACCGTTCCTTATGTGTTTTAGCCTCCAGTCCCCTGATCATCTTTGTTGCTCTTCTCTGCACTCTTTCTAGAGCAGTGTTTCTCAACCTTGACCATTTCAAGGCATGTGGACTTCAACTCCCAGAATTCCCCAGCCAGCAATGCTGACTGTGGAATTTTGGGAGTTGGTCCACATGCCTTAAAATTGTCAAGGTTGAGAACCACTGTTCTAGAGTCTCAACATCTTTTTTACATCCTGGTGACCAAAACTGGATGCCGTATTCCAGGTGTGGCCTTACCAAGGCCTTGTAAAGTGGTGTTAATATGAATAGTAAATGATTTTACTCTGGAGTTTTGAAACCTGAACCCTGGAGCTCTTACCTTCAGCACGGTGTCGAGAGGATTTCCTGAATCTGGACGGATAATCAGGGGAGCTTCTGCACTTCTCCTCTCAATTAAATGCCTCAAATCCTCACCCCAGATTTTCTCGCAAGCATTGTAAATATCGTAACTGTCACTGACCACGGAGACCGGCACGGAAGAAAAATGTGTCACAATATGTTTGAAAGCGTCTTTTTCATGGTCTTTCCCCCAAGCTGTTATAGTACTGGGAAGGAGAAGAGAGGCTGATTAAATTCTGAGACAATTAGGCTTGCATCCTTTTTAATACTTTTATACTTTGTGATCGAAATTCCTTCGGGTAGTAAACAGGAATGTTTTCCTGAAGCAATTTGAGGTAATGTTTTCATTCGTGTGAAACTGTTAAAAATCTCCACTGCCTTACGGATGTTTTCTGCTACTCCTGTCTCAAGCAGCTAGCCCTGTAGATTGATTGATCGTACTTAAATCATCAATTTAAATCATAGAGTAGTTTTGAGTTCCCAAAAGAGCTTAAATTAAACTTACTTTTTCCCCCAAATGAACCTATTTAGAAAAATGGAACCCTAAATCCAGGAAACCTTGGACTAATACTCTATCCATAACAATTTTTTATAAAAATAATCCCAAAACTGATGCTTTTGACATGAAAAGAATATTATTTTTATTATATAATATGTGTAGTAACTTGATCGGTTCCCAAAAGGAACTGAAAACACAATGAAAGTTGAAACTTTCATTTAATTTTTAATGAATTTATATAGCATCAAATAAAGCTGCAAATAAACTGAACAACTGCTAGAAATGACTGATTGATACCAGAATTGCGAATGAAGAATACAACTATGTGGCATGTGTGGTGTTTGTTTGTTGGTGTGTGTATTGTGTGTGGCTAGATACATGACAGAGACACAGACAGACAGATATAGATTAAATATAGAGTGATGCTAGATACATAGGGGATGGATAGATAGATAGATAGATAGATAGATAGATAGATAGATAGAGAGACAGACACAGAGAGACAGACAGATATAGAGGTAGAGAGATGACAGAGATAGATAAATAGATAGATATAGGCACAGAGAGACAGATAGATAGACAGACAGACACAGAGAGACAGACAGATATAGAGGTAGAGAGATGACAGAGATAAATAGACAGATAGATATAGACACAGAGAGACAGAGATAGATAGATAGATAGACAAAGAGACAGACAGATAGATATAGATAGATGAGTTATAGAAAGATATAGATAGATAGATAGATAGATAGATAGATAGATAGATAGATAGACAGATAAAGCTAGAGATAAAGCTAGAGATATATAGAGTTGATAGATAAAGAGAGAGAGAAAGAGAGAGAGAGAGACAGAGAGATGACAGATATATAAAGATAGATAGACAGATAAAAATAGAGATATATAGAGATGAGATAGACAGGCAGACAGGTCCCAGTGTCAATAGGCGCACTTGGGGCTGTGATTCCTAATCTGGGTGAGGGGCTCCAACAGATTCCATGAAGGGCATCAGAGCTCTCCACCCGTTAAGAATCAGTGCTAGGAACAACTAAGAGCCCGTGCAGAACCCCAGGTCTTTGGTAGAGATTGTATGTACATGAAATACCCGTCTGTAGTTGAAGTGGTCCGATTTTCAGCAAGGCCACGTTGGCTTCAGCCAACCTAAAACTTGACTGCAACCCAACGGAGAATCAAAACCAAAGTCTCCCTCAACGACAGTGTGAAACCTAGTCACTATCTGAATTTCCCACCTTGGGTTTGGGACAATATAGGAATAGCTTGCCGTAGCTCAGTGGTTCTCAACCTTTCCAATGCCGCTACCCCATAATACAGTTCCCCATGTTGTGGTGACCCCCAACCACTTATACATCACCGGGTGCCAGGGGCGTGGCCAAAGAAAAGGGGAAAAAAATTGGCGGACAGCCTTGTTTGGCGACCCCCGTGAAATGGTCATTCGACCCCAAATGGGGTCCCGACCCACAGGTTGAGAACCACTGCCGTAGCTTCTCCTAAGATCTCAATTCAAATTCAAAATCTAATCCCCGAGTCTGTGGCTCCCTAACTTGTCAAGTCTTGAGGTTGGTTTTAGTTTTTTTCCCAAGATCAACCTCACATTGCCTTGATGTTGTCACCTGATCAGGATAACCAGAAGAAGAGGAAGCTAGACACCATGTCAATAAAATAAAAATAAAAATAAAAAGAGACACCTGTGTTCAGCAGCTGGAACCGAGTAACCTGGGACGGGGTCTTTTGTGCCGTAATATTTCTTAATTAAAACAATGCCGGCTACCGTATCCGTGCCTTTGAAGTTCACCAAGTGTGCGGAAGCTCCGATTCCTGCAGTCTGGGAAAACGGGATTTCTTGTTTCAACAACGGCAGAGTCGAATTCCGCAGCCCTCCCTCCAGTTTTAGAACATACATCCCAAAAGGCTTACTGGACTTAGGGACCGTCCAAAGTTACGAGGCCGCTGGGGAAAAAAAGTGACTTACGGCCAGTCCTCACCCTTACGGCCTCCCTACGACCGCCTGATCAAAATTCATAAGTCACTTTTTCCAGTGATGTTGTAACTTCAAACGGTCACTAAATGAACTGCTGTTTAAGTGAAGGACGACCTGTATATCCTCCCATATTTTTAAAGAAGGTGTTAGTGCCACGAGGATGATTTTAACTGTGTCCTGTGGCTTTTCATTTCCAGGGTTAGAATTCATTTCGTCCTCTACAGCAGGGCTTTTCAACCAGTGGTACGGGTACCACCTGTGGTACATTGGCATCTGGCAGGTGGTACACCACCATCCCAGAAAAGTGGTAGTGGGGGAGGGGAATGAGCTGAACCGGTGGCAGCACCGCACCAGCCTGAGCGAGAGACGCTGGAGCTGCAGGGCTGTCAGGGCTCATCGGAAGCGCCAGGATCAGCGCCAGGCTCCAGCTGGAGCTCAGCACTGATCCTGGTGCTTCTGCTGAGCCCTGAAGAAGCACCAATCAGCTGGAAAGCAGCACTGATCCTGGCGCTTCCGCTGAGCCCAGAAGAAGCGCCGATCAGCTGGAATGTTGCAGCATCTCCAGGGTCTTGTGATTTACATTCAGATGCTTGGCAACTGATTCATATTTATGACAGTCACAGTGTCCCAGGGTCATGTGAAGTGACCCAAACCTGCTGCAACCACCCAGTAGATGGGGAGGAATAAAAACCAAACACCCCCCAACCCCACCTCCGCTGCCAATCCTCAACAGAAATGCTCACAGCAATGAAAACCTCGGACAGGAGGAAGAGTGTGGCCAGGCGGGCAGGTGTCTTGCTTGGCTGTGGCTTGGGGGGCACTTTTTTCAGTGCCATTGTAACTTCGAACAGTCACTAAGCGAACTGTTGTAAGTCGAGAACTACCTGTACTTTATCACTTTTTTCCTTTTTTTTTTTGGTCATCAAGTTTTTGACACCTGGCTAGGCGACTCGTGGTACACGGATGTTGCCATATCCTAAAAGTGGTACAATGGGTGAAAAGGTTGAAAAGCCCTGATCTACAGGCTCCCACTTTTCATGCCATGTTTTCAGGGACGTCTTTATTCAACTGCTTCAACTTAGTGCTTAATTGTTTGGGGCTGTGCTGCAAACCCTCCGCGGGGCTCAGAGCAAAGGGGCACGCCAACGTTTTTAACCCCAAGGACGTGATTTGAAGAGCGTTACCTCTTGAGAAGACACCCCTCTGTAACCGAAGTCGTGGAGTTTGTATTCCAGCCCTTCTAAACTGCCTGAGGTCTCCAGCAAGTACTTTGCTAAGATCTTCTTCTGCTCTCTGGAGTTTGTAGCTACTGTGATGGGATACCAGGACTGCACAAGGATTGTCTGGCAAAAAAAAAGAATGCATACCAAGGTAATGTATAGGCTAGGCTAGGCTAAAGATAGGATGGGATGGGATGGGATAAGAAGATAGGGTGGGACGGGATGGGATGGGATAGGACAGGATAAGAAGGTATGGGATGGGATGGAATAGAATAGGATAGGATAGGATAAGGGATGGAATAGGATGGGATGGGAGAGGAAGATAGGATAAGAAGGGATGGGATGGAATAGGATAAGATAGGATAGGATAGGATAGGATAGGATAGGAGAGGAGAGGAGAAGAGAGGATAAGAAGGGATGGAATGGGATGGGACGGGATAGGAGAGGAAGATAGGATAGGATGGGATGGGATAGGAAGATAGGATAAGAAGGGATGGAATGGGATGAGATGGGATAGAATAGGAAGATAGGAGAAGAAGGGATGGGATGGAATAGGAGAAGAAGGGAAAGGATAGGGTAGGGTAGGATAGGATAGGATAGGATAGGATAGGATAAGAAGGGATGGAATGGGATGGGACGGGATAGGATAGGATGGGATAGGATAGGAAGATAGGATAAGAAGGGATGGGATGGGATAGGATAAGATGGGATAGGATAGGAAGATAGGATAAGAAGGGATGGGATGGGATAGGATAGGATAGGATAAGATGGGATAGGAAGATAGGATAAGAAGGGATGGGATGTGATGGGATGGGACGGGACAGGACAAGATAACCTTTATTGTCACTTTTTTCTGTGACCACACTGGAACACATTAAAAAAATTAAATTCTGATGCCTCTCTCAAAAGAAATATATATGCTCCTGATCTTGTAAGGAAATCTAAGTATGCGTGTGTATAAAATTAAATTCTGATGCCCTCTTTCAAAAGAAATATCAGGAGCATATATATTTCTTTGCAGAGGATTTAATTTTATACAGGGCGAGAGAGAGAGAGAGAGAGAGAGCTAGATTTCCTTACAAGATCAGGAACAAAGATTATAAGAGAACTAATTCTCGGCAAGAGAACTATGTAGGCAGTCCTTGACTTAGCAACCGTTCATTTAGCAATGCTTCGAAGTCACAACGGCACTGGAGATTCTCCACGATTCGCTTAACCAGCGCAGTGATTCGCTCAACCATAGCAAAAAAAGGCCATAAAAGCGGGTGACACAGCGACTACCTAAATTCCAGTCTCAACCGTGGTTGTTAAGTCAAGGACAGCCTGTATTAGTGGTATCTTCTATGAACTGATTCAATCGTAGACATCTGTTGGAAATGATTGATTTTACAAAAACAATTTCATAATGTAACTACATGCTGCAAACGGCATTTATTTTGATCTTATCACAAATCTTGCTTGGAGGGGCTGCCACAAAGAGGAGGGGGTCAAGCTATTTTCCAAAGGACCTGAAGGCAGGACAAGAAGCAACGGATGGAAACTAATGCAGGAGAGGACCAACTAGAACTAAGGAGAAACTTCCTAACAGTGAGGACAATTAACCAGTGGAACTGCCTGCCTCCAGTAGTTGTGGATGCCCCATCGCTGGAGGTTTTTAAGAAGAGATTGGACAACCATTTGTCTGAAAAGTAACCCTGTTATTCTATGTTCTATTTTCACTTTTATTCATTGGCCCACAGAGTGAAGGAATTCATCCGATCTAGTTTCTATACTCTGTGCCTTATTTTTTTTTACACCTCCATCATAGCATTCCCAGTTGCAATGGATGGCTGTGAAAGTTGGACCATAGAAAGGTTGAGTGCCAAAGAATTGAGGCCTTTGAACTCTGGTGCTGGAGAAGACTCCTGCGAGTCCCCTGGACTGCAAGGCAATCAAACTAATCAGTCTTAGAGGAGATCAACCCTGATTGCTCTTTAGAAGGCCAGATCCTGAAGTTGAAACTCAAATACTTTGGCCACCTAATGAGAAAGAAGGACTCACTGGAGAAGAGCCTGATGCTGGGAAAGATGGAGGGCAAGAGAAGAATGGGACGACAGAGAATGAGATGGCTGGATGGAGTCCCTGAAGCAGGAGGTGTAAGCTTCAAGGGACTCCAGAAGATGGTAGAGGACAGGAAGGCCTGGAGGAACGTGGTCCATGGGGTCCCGATGGGTTGGACATGACTTTGCAACTAACAACAACATAGCTCCCATTAATCTATTCAAATTGCATCGCTACTCACCTCAACCCAGTTGGTGAGCCAGTAACAGTTTGGATCTGTGTTTTCAACTGTGAAAAGTACATTTCCTCTAGGAATGACGAAGCCCTCGGGAACAGCTTTTATTTCAATAGGAAGACGGCCATCGTACTTCTATTGACATAAAAAGAGCGACATAAGGAAGATTTTGAAAACACAAAATACTACCATCTATTTCGCTGGATAATAAACAGGTTTTAATGTAAATACAGTGGTAACTTGGTACTTATCAGTTCCTAGGGGCACGAGGAGTACCCAAAACTATGAGTAGCAAACAAATTTTTCCCATAAGGAATAATGTAGTGAGTCACAAGGCAGCTGACATGGACAAGTTCTAGCTTGTGCATCAAGTATGGAACAAACAATGAAACACGGACAAGTTCTAGCTTGTGCGTCAAGTATGGAACAAACAATGAGTAGCAGGGCAAAATTTTCACTTCAAAATGCGTTGAGTACCAAATTCGATGAGTTAAGTACGAAGTACTACTGTACATATATTTTTACCTAACAGTTTTTTAGACACTCAAAGATACTGCTACAGATTTCCTTGGTTTGCTTAAAAGAATGTTGAATAATAATGTCATCTTTTCAATTACCCTTTTTTAAAATATTGTTTTAGCCAAACTAGCGACATATTTTTGGTATGAACAGAATGCTACTTTGGAAACAAAATGATGATTTCCTCAAGGAAGACAAACTTCCTAAAAAGAAATAAATAGGTTTGTGACCTAGCAGGAAAAAAAAATCCAGAACAAACTGAGAATCTCCACAGACCAAATCAAACCAAAAGATGATCTCTGGCCGTTTCACAGAGAATCCTCTTTTTAATAAGTGCCCGTTTGCCGAGGGAACACAATGTTTTTTACTAAACGTAAATATGAATTTGTTTTTACCTCAAGAATATAGTTCCATCCTGTTTCGTTGAAGACGTCGTCTTGAAAATGTTCCTTGTACACTGCTTTGGCTATCTGTATTTTCTCTTTGGTTACCACTTTGCCTATGAAACAATTCAAACTTGATTATATACTCAAAGAAGGCCCGTTTCAGACATGAGTTATCTACTCTGAAAATTGGTTCGACAATATACGTGTTCTAGATCAGAGGTCCCCAACCTTTGGGGCACCAGGGACCGGTTCCGTGGAGAGAGGTTTTCCGTGGACCGGAGGGTGTGTGGTTTTATGTACTGCCTGCATCCCGCGGATGGGGCTTTGTTTGTGTGGACCGGCTGCTGGCATGCCGTGGCCCGGTACCGATCCACGGACCGGGATTGGGACCCCCGGTCTAAAAGACAATATCTAATGTGTGCAGCTCTTCTGGATGGTATCACCAGTGGCCTCGTCTCCATTTATTATGATTTGTTACAAGTGGTTATATATCCCAATCTTAAACTGTTCTTCAGATTCAGGCCTACCAGTTTTCTGCAGAATGAGGTGGAAATGATATAAATAGTCCTCGATTTACAACTGTCTGTTTAGTGAACAAAGTTACAAAGGCACACAAAAAAGCGACTTAGGACGGTTTTTCACACTTGCGACTGTTGGCAGCATCCTTCATGATCACGTGATCAAAATCCAGATGCTTGGCAATTGACTCTTCTTTATGACAGTTGCAGTGTCCCGGGGTCATATGGTCATCTTTTGCAATCTTCTGACAAACAAAGTCAATGGGGAAGCTACAGTCACTTAACAACTGTGTTACTAGTTTAACAAGTCGGTTAAGTGCGGCGATTCATTTAACAACTGTGGCCACAAAGGTGGTAAAATGGGGCAAAATTCACAATTATCTTGCTTAGCAACAGAAATCTGGGGCTAAATTGTCACCGTAACTTAAGGACCACATGTAAACTGGAAATAACCTAGATGCAATGTAAGATATCGGTTTTTAAAATATATATATATACATATATTTTTAAAGTTTTCAATTTATATTATATATATATATATATATATATATATATATATATATATATATATATATATAATATAAACTGAAAACACATTGCTGCTCGAAGCACGAAGCTGAAAACACCAGCCTGAAGATGACGAATGGGACTTCGTCGAAACGTCGCCAAGACACTTCCAATTTTACGCGGGAGAAAACCCGAACAATCAAAGACCTACATACAAACACCCGCGAAATATATATATATATATATAAAATCACTTCTGCTACTGCTGCTTTTGGAGAAGCCGCAGGGATAAATTAGGAAGCCACACGTACTTTTTAGCAAACAGACAACTGACAGCAATTCCTATTTGTCCAAGTTTTTTTTTTAATCTGAGGAGTTTCTTTAGATTATTCATTCCCAACTGATGTTCAAGATAGTTAACAGTGCAATATCCATCAACAAAAACAATTCAACGCTTAAACTGTCTGCATCGTTTAGAATGACCATAATAACTCGTTTGTAGGGCTGAAGCTCTAAGTAAAAATATCTATCTGCTGGCAGGTAGCCAGTAAAAGTACAAGGATTTTTAGATGTTGATCATTAATAAGGGCCATTTTTAAATCCATGCTAAGTGCACCTCATTTATTGAAGCAGACATACAGTATTTTAACCTTGTGAACTCTCAAGCTTCTCTTTCCATTATGTATTCAAGATGGACAGCAATTAATATTTATATGTATTTATAAAGGTGTAGGTACATACATATGTAGGTATACATAGCATATTTATATGTGTGTTATGTATGTGTACACTTTACAGAGCAAGCCACAGAATTTCATTTTTAATGGGTGCCAGTGTGCCCACAGTAAAAAATCACAATAAGGGCTGGGTTATCTTATCTTATCTTCAAAAACTTCAGACTTCAGCAAGCATAGATGCTTATTTAATTTCCCTGTTGAAAAAATCCTAAGTATATCCAATTAATAGAATGGCAATCCATGAAACTTGTAACATACAAATCAGATTCGGCATACAACTGACATCATATGTATTTTCACCTAGCTAAAATTTCCAAGTCCTTTTCAAAGACTATTCAGCACTTCAAAGGAGGACGTCTTTAAGGCCAGCTTCAGAGATAAATGCACTTAGCACCCTTGGAAAAAATCTGACATGTAGATTTCAGTTAAATTGTTTCCTAAGAGAATGCGATAGAATCAAGAAACGCTGTTCTTCTTTTCTATCGGCTTACGAGCAATCTTCAATCGTTAACAATTCTATCAATATAACTAATCACTGATTCAGCATTCAAATAGCTTAACTGGATAATTGCCCATTAATAGCATAATAGGTACACAATAAATAGTCAGATTCTGAACCACCTCAAGTAGTAATATAGTTTAAATATTACCGTATTTTCTGGCGTATAAGATGACTCAGCGTATAAGACGACCCCCGACTTTAGAGACGATTTGCATGTTTAGAAAGTCATCTTATACACCAGAAAATACGGTATTTTATGGCGTATAAGATGACTCGGCGTATAAGACGACCCCCGACTTCGGAGACAATTTGCATGGTTTAGAAAGTCGTCTTATACACCTGAAAATACGGTACATAGTACAGGAGATAAGATAGGAGACACATGAACGAACCACAGAAAAGATGATGAACAAATCCTTTTAATTTTACTTCCTGGAACTGTTGCAGGAATAAGAGAAAATATCATTTTATGGTGTCTTTGAACTCCATTCAGCAAGCAGCTATCAACTGCATCAATAGCTACAAAAAAAAAAAATTAGCTGCCTTAATAATGAACATTCCTAATATGAGTCAGTTGCCAATCCTCCAAATTTTGATCTCCCGACCCTGGGGTTGATGCAATGGTGGTAAGTGTGAAAAACGGTCGTAAGTCACTTTTTTCAATACTCTTGTAATTTTGAACAATCACTGACCGAACTGTTGTAAGTCAAGGACTAACCTGTACTATAAAATGACACAATGTAAACACAGAAAATGTGCATTGCAGGTATGAAAATTTAATATATCTGGTTAACAGCCTTTAAAAGACCCCGGAATAAGCTGTTCCTCAAACTTTAGGAACTGTTTATTATAAAGAACGAATAAACAGTGGGGTGCCCCAGGGCTCTGTTCTGGGCCCAGTGCTCTTCAACATCTTCATCAACGATTTGGAAGAAGGGATAGATGGGGGAATCATCAAATTTGCAGACGACACCAAGCTGGCAGGAATAGCCAACACTCCAGAAGACAGGCTTAAAGATACAGAAGGATCTGGACAGACTTGAACACTGGGCACTAACTAACAAAATGAAATTCAATGGTGAAAAAAGCAAGGTTCTACATTTAGGCAAGAAAAACCAAATGCACAAGTACAGCATAGGTGGCACCATGCTCAATACTAGTAACTGTGAGAGGGACCTCGGAGTCCTAGTAGACAATCACCTAAATAGGAGCCAGCCGTGTGCTGCAGCTGCCAAAAAGGCCAACACAGTGCTAGGCTGCATTAACAGAGGGATAGAATCAAGATCACGTGAAGTATTAATGCCACTCTACAATGCCTTGGTAAGGCCACACTTGGAATACTGCATCCAGTTTTGGTCACCACGATGTAAAAAAGATGTTGAGACTCTAGAAAGAGTACAGAGAAGAGCAACAAAGATGATTAGGGGACTGGAAGCTAAAACATATAAGGAACGGTTGCTAGAATTGGGTATGTCTAGTTTAATGAAGAGAAGGACAAGGGGGGACATGATAGCTGTGTTCCAATACCTCAGGGATTGCCACAAAGAACAGGGAGTCAAGCTATTTTCCAAAGCACCTGAAGGCAGGACAAGAAGCAACGATCAAGGAGAGAAGCAACTTAGAACTAAGGAGAAACTTCCTGACAGTGAGAACAATTAATCAGTGGAACAACCTGCCTCCAGAAGCAGTAAATGCTCCAACACTGGAAGTTTTTAAGAAGAGACTGGATAGCCATTTGTCCGAAATGATGTAGGGTTTCCTGCCCGAGCAGGGGGTTGGACTAGATGACCTCCAAGGTCCCTTCCAACTTTACTATTATTATTAATTAAAAAAGCTAAGACATAGCTGAATCCAGATCTTGTATTTATATAAGCAATTAATTCAGGATAAAATAAGTGCAGCGCATATTCAAGGATACTTTTATGGCCTATCCTTAATACAAGCCCAATTTAAGACATTTCAAACATTATTCTTATGACACAAAAGGTAGCAGAGAAATTACAATGGGGAATAACAGCAACAATATGGAAAAATGGCTTTTGAAAATCCAGGAGGGGGGAAAAAATACCTTGTAAGTATTTATTAAGTATGTACTGCAACCCGTAAAAAACTGTTTCCTCATATTTCACTTTCCTTAATTTGGAGTTCTCCGTCTTCTTTTCACGACACTCAAAGTAGGAATAAACTTTGCTCGTATTGGGTGGATATTGTTTGTAATGTGTCACCTGCAATAAGATAAACCGGATTAAGAAAATACTTCAGTCCATAAGAAGAAGGGGGGGTTAAAATTAAACCATGGTTTAAGCATTTTTTTTCAAGGATCACTTTCATCCTCCAGGCTTGACAAAATTCGAGGTGGCTCAAATCTTCCCAATTTTAGAAGCAAGGAACATCCATTGCTCCATTTTCAATTGTAGGCTGGCTATTTTGGAGCATTTCATTCTTCTTGCCCATTTTATTCCTAACAAAGATTTGTCCCTGTTTCTTATACACAACAGCCATCAAAAAAAGCCCTTGCCACAATTGAGAAGTGAAACTGACCAGGATTCCAGATAAATGTGAAATGTGATAGACAGGATTAATTTTCACTCTGCAGCTTTGCAATTAGATTTATTAGCAGCAGCATGCTTTTAAGACCAAAAAAAAAAAAAATTGCATTCAAGCACAGGTTAAGCCTATGTTTTGCCCAGAAATAATTCATTGGACAGAACGCGGTATGCTTATATTATCACGCAATGTACCCATGTTTTTTATTTGAACAATAAATCTCAAAATCTGTGCCTTGTCAATTAAAAAAAACATTCTTTAATCTCTCCCGTACACAGTAGGCTTTTTGACAACACCAAATAGCAACGGTGGATGTAAAGAACAAAAAGATGCAAATAAAATCTTATTTTCTACAATAGGACACAAATATTAGTGATAGAGGCGTGGCTACAATAAGTGAATACAATGTTTGGTCTCAATGGTAACATGATTGCATTTAAACCTAAACAAATATTAGAAAAAGTGCTTAATTAAAACAATAAGCACTTTTTGGCTCAGAATTTGACCCAATACTTTTTTCCAGTAAATGATTCCAATAATCTTCTATATTGGCACATTTTGTTTAAACATAATCATTCCCCCAAACATTCTTTTTTTTACTTTACCCAGAATGTTTATGTGATGACATGGTTTCAAGGGAAATTACGTATTCTGACATTTTCGAGGCAAATGCATTTTATTTCCCTTACCTGAAAAACTAAAAGCTGTAGATTAAAAGATTTTTAAAAGTCAAAATTTCCTTTTCACCCACCACTTATGCTTTAATTTTTTATCTTAATTTTTATTTTACTTTTGCATTTCTGTCAGCGTGAGCAATGAATGAATTAGCCTGGTCAGTTTCACTCTGTTTTTGATACACAAACAGAATGATGTAACAGCGTTTGCATGTCCCAACACTGCAAGAACATCATTTGATAAGGTACACCATGAAAATAAGGGAAATATAATTAATCAGATTCCTAGGTCTAAAAATCCTTAAAGGGCTGATAAAACATATAGAATATAACTGACAGTACTGTACACATTTACTTCAGGTACAAAATCAGCAGCATCTAAAATAGAAAAGATGGGTTACTCTCTTTGTTGCTAACTGCATTACTCAAAGTTTTAAAATGCAGATTAACGAAGGGGCTGGATGCTGTTTTTGACTGTTTGATCCATGTCATGCTGCCATTATTATTACTTAGGACAGTGGTGGCAAATCTATGGCCCGGGTGCCAGAGGCAGCACTCAGAGCCCTTTCCGTGGGCACATGCGCCGTCGCCCCAGTCCTAGGCCTTCAGCTCGGTTTTATAAAACCTTTTTGCTTCCTCCGCCGTGTGCAAAAAAAAAAAAGGTTCAGTCAATTTCAACTTCTCGCGGGAAAAATCTTGCAAAGTTGGGATTGATTGAACTTTTTAGTCCCACCCACTCTGCCATTACCACCGCAGCCATGCCCACCCAATGGGCCATACCCACCCAGCACCCAACGATGCATAAGTGGGTTTTGGGCTGCAGTTTGGGCACTCGGTCTCTAAAAGATTCGCCATCACTGACTTAGGAGTATCACACTGGTCCAAGTATCAACATTGTGCATTGTGTGATTCCCACCACACATTTGTAAAATGCTAGCTGCCTATATAATTACCTAGCATGTTGAGGCTCCAAGGCGGATAGGTTTTATGCATCTTTGGCTGAGAAGTGTTTTAAAAAAAGTTTTGTTTTTTTTAAAAATAGCACCTCTCTTTTCATATCAGCTGTCCCCAAAATATTAACTCTCCCAGTGTTCGTTGTTAATGAAGTGCTGTGTGTGTGCCAAATTGCATCTTCTTTTCAATACTCTTTTCATAACCACCTGTCCAGAGAACAGATGGTGACTATTTTGATAGAACTGTGGCTATTCAGTTATAAGTGGTTTTAAGTTTTAATTCACGTTGGAAGGGGCGGGGTGTTTAAAAGAAAATCCAATACGACGAAGTACGATGTATTGTGGGTTTACTAGCACTTCCGCCCCCCCCCCAGCTACTCAGGGTAATAAAAAGACTGCAGAGTATATTATGGCAACTCCAAAGAGAAAACAGCTTTATTGGGAAAAGCAACTTTGCTTTTAAGAACTCGTGTGGGGTAGTGGTAGTCCTCGAACGTACGACAATTTGTTTAGTGACCGTTCAGAGTTGCAATGAGACTGAAAGTGGCTTGTGGTCGTTTTTCATGCAGCATCCCCGTGGCCAGGTGATCAAAATTCAGACGCTGGGCAACTGGCTCGTGTTTATGTCGGTCGCGGGGTCACGTGATCCCATTTTGCGACCTCAACTGGGAAGCCGGATTCACTTTACAACCGTGTCACTAACTTCACAACTTATCACTGATCAAGAAAGGTGGCAAAAATGGGGTAAAACTAAACAACTTCAACAACTAAAATTTGGGGGTCCGTTGCGGTGGTTGAGGATTACCGGTAGTGGGAAAATAGATGACTTTTCCTTATCAATCCAGGCTGTAAGAAACACATGTTTACTATACTCTGTTAAATTGATAATAGTCTATGTTTTAATTCTAGCCATCTGAAAAATGGGGGTTCTTTCTCTTTTCTCAGGGCTAGTAACAAAAGGGTCTCAAAGAAGCAATTGCAAGGACAAGCAACTTCACGGAAAAGAACAGGGAATGTTAATGGGGCCAACCCTATTCAGAAGTTGTGACAACTTTGTCGACATACCAAGAAAAATCTTCTATAATAAGTATACATGCACACAAAGAGCAGCAGCAAGCTTTAGCTTAAGACAGGAGTAGGCAACTTTGGCTCTTTTACGACTCAAGGACTTCAACTCCCAGAATTCCTGAGCCAGCCACGCTGAGGGGAAGGGGAGAAGTTTCCAAACTGAGCCAGGCTGGCTCAGGGATTCCGGGAGTTGAAGTCCACGAGTCAGAAAGCGGCCTAGGCCTAGGCCAGAGGTAGGCAACCTTGGCTCTTTTATGACTTGTGGACTTCAACTCCCAGAGTTCCTCAGCCAGCCACGCTGAGGGGAAAGGGAGAGGTTTCCAAGCTGAGCCAGGTTGGCTGAGGAATTCTGGGAGTTGAAGTCCACGAGTCATAAAAGAGCCAAGGTTGACTACCCCTGACCTAGAAGTTCTATCCCTACCACCAGACAGATGCCAGGAAAGTCCACAATCCAGATATAGGGCAGGATGGGGAACCTTGGCTCTTTTATGACTCGAGGACTTCAACTCCCCGAATTCCTGAGCCAGCCACGCTGAGGGGAAAGGGAGAGGTTTCCAAGCTGAGCCAGGCTGGCTCAGGAATTCTGGGAGTTGAAGTCCACGAGTCAGAAAGCGGCCTAGGCCAGAGGTAGGCAACCTTGGCTCTTTTATGACTCGTGGACTTCAACTCCCAGAATTCCTCAGCCAGCCACGCTGAGGGGAAAGGGAGAGGTTTCCAAGCTGAGCCATGCTGGCTCAGGAATTCTGGGAGTTGAAGTCCACGAGTCATAAAAGAGCCAAGATTGCCCACCCCTGGTTTAAGAGGTAAAAACATGTGCTTTTCATTTTAAAGAAAGGAAAGACACGTAGTCCTTGACTTACAAACATAACTGAGCCGAAAACGTCTGTTAAGTGAGACAGTTATAAAGCGAGCTTTGCCCCATTTTAAGCCCTTTCCTGACATGGTTGTTAAGTGAATCGCTGCAGTTGTTAAGCTAGCCATCCGGTTGTTAAGTGAACCTGGCTTCCCCCTCGACTTTGCTTGCTAGAGGGTCGCAAAAGGAGATCACACAACCGACCCCAGGATACTACAACAGTGATAAACATGAGTCAGTCTGCATTTTGATCACATGATCGTAAGTGTGAAAAAGGCTCTTAAGTCACATTTTTCGGTGCCATTGTAGCTTCAAATGGTCACTCAATGTTGTAAGTTGAGGACTATCTGGACTCCGTAACATCTTCACTTCAGGCTATCTATTCAGCATTTTTTCAAATATGATTGATTACTGCTCCCATCATCCCCAGCTGTCATGATTGGGGTAAGACTGGTTACTACAGTAACCAACCCAAACATTGACAGGACATAAATTTAGAGCAGGAAGATGCAGACTATGCTGTATATTAATTTTAAATTTACTATATAAGAATATCACATTTTGCTGCAGATCTGAGTTTTTCAGATTTCTTGCCAGTAAAAAAAAAATCCAGCTCAAAATTAAGCACTCACGGCTGTACGTTTTGACTGGCCAACAAATTCCCTCACCCATTTTTTTTTCCCCTGTTACAGTATTCCCAAAACATCTGGTAAATTCACCTTGCTAAGCAGGATTCATTTTTCATTTTCCCAAATCCTCTCTTATACAATTGTTTTCAGAAAACTGCAGAACTGCAGAAACGAGGCAGTGCAAAACAATAATTAAGCAGGTAGTTCTAACTACCAGATAAATTCTGAATTTATTCACTAGAATTATGACACCGCAGATAGGCTGAAGTAGGCCAAAGTGAATTTTATTCGTAAAGAATAAAATGAGGATCTATAGTCATAAACAATGTAAACCAGGGGTGTCCAATCTTGGCAATTTTAAGACTTGTGGACTTCAGCTCCCAAAATTCCCATAGTTGCCTCTGGAATTCTGGGAGCTGAAGCCCACAATTTTTAAAGTTACCAAGACTGGACACCCCTGATGTAGGGCGTTTATATATTTTAACTTATCCTCTGCATTTTATAAAATTGAGAAAGTGCTCAAAAGGTTAATCCAGGAACAAGTAAGGAGGGCCCGCCAAACAACATCCAATCAGAAGACCCATATAAGTTTCTCTTAAGCTTAAGTGTCAGGAATTTTGAGCTGGTTCCAAAATCCAGGATCTTGGATTACGGTTGTAATACATAACTAGCCTAATTAGGCTGATTTCATTTGGAATTCAGTGCAGGCAATTGTCACCCTCCTTTCTATTTCCTGCATTTTTCTTTTCCCAATTAATTTATTTTAGTATTTGGTGTTCTGGCTTAATTTATTTAAATCCAATGGATAGACTTCTCAGGAGGATCTTGGTATCAAACAGGACTATTGCAGTAGAATCGACCTATCAGCATGTGCAGCCCAGTAAAATCTTATCAACCAAGAGGGGGAAGAATGTCAGGATCCACAATAATTTTTTTTTCCAGTTAAGATCCAGTGCTATAGAATAATCTCCCTTTCAAGGGCAATTAACTGGCCTTGTCAGTGGCCTTCTGGAATTTGTAGAAAGAGAATATTTGGGGATTAAGAAGGGACTGTGACTTGCGTCTTCTTTCAGGGTGTTTTTCTAAGCAGTACCCTTTAGGTTTTAACATTTTTATGATCCCATGATAAAATCTCTGGCAGTCTCTAGGTCAGTGTTTCTCAACCTTGACAATTTTAAGGCATGTGGACTTCAACTCCCAGAATTCCACAGCCAGCAATGCTGGCTGTGGAATTCTGGGAGTTGAAGTCCACATGCCTTAAAATTGTCGAGGCTGAGAAACACTGCTCTAGGTTGATTATGGCAGTGTATATATACATCAAGCTGGAGGGGAAAGAAAGGGTGTTTTTCCTATTAATTTCCTTGCCCGGGTATAGCTTGTGCTTTCCAATGGTTCATCCACCTTTCTGTATAACTGGGTTAGGGGGAGGAAGTTCCACTTGTTTTCCATACCTGCACCCACAAGCTGGACAGACTAGGTTGTGCGTGCAGGAGGAAATCTAGCCTGTCTTTCAAAAAAAAAAAATTCCAAAAGAGGGTTGGGGATAAGCTTTAAATTATCATCCTTGCAGCTCGCAATGAAGTCCCACAGTGAAGCTTGCTTCTGAATTTGTCTACCTCCCTGTCTGTCTATCTATCCTTCTTACCTATCTATCTTTTTACCTACCTACCTACCTTATCTATCTATCTACCTCAGTGTTTCTCAACCTTGACAATTTTAAGGCATGTGGACTTCAACTCCCAGAATTCCACAGCCAGCAGTGCTGGCTGTGGAATTCTGGGAGTTGAAGTTCACATGCCTTAAAGTTGTCAAGGTTGAGAAACACTGCTCTACCTGATTGTGAATCCTGTTCATTTAAATAGAATATATGTGTTCAACTCTTCCCTGTTGAAATTCATAAGCCCTCTCTCTAGATCAGTGGTGGTGAACCTATGGCATGGGTGCCAGAGGCGGCACTCGGAGCCCTCTCTGTGGGCACACGTGAAGTTGCCCCAGCCTTGCTTCCCCACGTGACCCCGTCCTCTCCAGCAGCCCCCCTGGAGGAGAGTCGCCCTCGAGCGTGGCCCACGTGGAGCAGTACAGCCAAGGACATGGCAACCAGGCAGCGTAGACAAGACTTTGCCCTCACACCCCCCATCATGCAGTTGATGCTGCAGGGTGTGGGCAGAGGCCGTGGCCGCCATAGCACTGCTGGGCTGCCTGGGCGATCTGCGGCGGGTTCTGGAGGCAGTGAGTGACCTTGCGGGCAAGCGGGGTGGGGGCGGAGCAGGGGGTGGAGCAGGGATGGGGCCAGTTTTTGGGCACTCTCTAAAACAGTGTTTCTCAACCTTGACAATTTTAAGGCATGTGGACTTCAACTCCCAGAATTGTTGGCTGTGGAATTCTGGGAGTTGAAGTCCACATGCCTTAAAATTGTCAAGGTTGAGAAACACTGCTCTAAAAGGTTCACCATCACTGCTCTAGATCAGTGGTTCTCAACCTGTGGGTCGGGACCCCATTTGGGGTCGAATGACCATTTCACGGGGGTCACCAAACAATGCAGTCCGCCATTTTTTCCCCCCTTTTCCTTAGCTGTGCTACTCCCTTTTATTCTATTGGCTTTTGAAAGCCAATAGAATAGACTCTCTTGAATAGAGTCTAATTCTATTGGCTTTCAAAAGCCAATAGGAATTGTCCAGGCTGTCTCTGCCCTGCTGAGCCCGCCAAAAGTCCCATTCTGCAAACGGTGCTGCACCAGTTGAGTAGTCCTCAACTTACGACCAGTTGAGTAGTCCTCGACTTACGACCGGTTGGGAGTCATGGCATTAAAAAGGTTTGAGAACCATTGCTCTAGATTGTGCATAAAGTAGATCCAACTTCAAAGACTGCTCCAAGTGAATTGCTACCCCAAACTGATTTTCTCTGGGTGTAACGGGACCACGATACCCATGCTTCTATGCTGCCTAAAGATCACGTAGGTTATTCCTTTACACAACACATCTAATTGAGCATTGAGAAAGGCTGCATTAGAAGTTATAACCCTAGCCACGATCTCAGTCAAACTAAACTTTCCTGCCTCCTTTGAAGCATTCGAGCTGTAGATTTGCATGTTGTATAACTCATAGCTTCAGGGACTTTATGACTGGCACAACTGGTTAAGATTCTCCTGTGGATATATGAAATAATTTCTGCATTAAGCAGTTTCCCCTGTCATGTAACTGAATAAATATCTAGGTCATCCAACATATAAACTCTGACTGTAATTATAAGGCAACACGTAAAATACATAAATACAGCCAATAAGGGGATCCAAACCACAAATCCTAATAATTTTTTTTTTTTTAAAAAAAGTCCTGCACTATCAATATTAAAAACCAATTTTGGGGTCTTTCCACAATCAGGCAAATAATTATATTTTTGGAAGCCCCCAATGGTTCGATTTGGCTAAGCTACCGCCTGCAATTTGAAAAATGCTAGCAGCTTTTGAGACTTCACAGCTGTAAAATCCTTCCTCCAAGATCAGTCAAAGAGACAACGATCCCGAGAGCCAGAAGCGAAATCTCTCCTAGCCTTAACAGAGCTTGCAAATCAGAAACTCCGCTTGCAAACGATAAAAACCCGACTTAGCAGCCAATTTTCTCTTCGCAGGCAAATTGCCCTGTAATTCCAAGGCTAATTCCCTTTTGCACACACACGCACGCACACACACACACACCGAGCGATGGAGAAGGGAGAAAGGGTCCAACACTCGCGGGGTTAAGAATGTTACGTTTCGGTTTCCCAGCAAGGGAGAAGATCAGGTCGCTGCCCCAAGTTTCACTTTGCATTTCTTGCTCAATTGCTACTCCTCATTCTGCGTACTTTCCCGACCCTTGGAAACTTCCGAGCCGGAGTAAGGCGAGATATATATATATATATTGGGGGGGGATGGATGAGAGAGCCCCTTTGACTCTCGCAGCCCTGCAACTCCGCTTTAGGTCAAGCACGTGCAAAAAGCTCCCAGGTTCCATCTTTGCACCAATGGGGGGGGGTTGCAATTGCAGGGCCCCAAAAGACGCGCTGCTTGCTGCTCCATCCTCGCCCCCTGCCCGACCCCCCCCCACCGGAGCCTCCTCCAGGGGGGGCTCCCCAATCTCCCGGCTTCCCCCCCGAGGCAAACCCCCTCCCCAAATCTCTTGCATCTAGGAAAGAGGGGGGGACTTAGGAAGAGGCTTGCTTGCAGGGATCCGGGCGCCCCCCACCCCCCCCAGTCCTTAACGACCCCCCCCGCCTTTCCAGCAAGCCCTGCCGCCCCGTCACACACGTTGCCCAGGGTACCCCCACCCACCCACCCACCCAACCCAGAGATCAGCCCCGGTGTTGGGGGGGGGGAAGAGGAGAGCGCTGCTGGGCGCCCGCCCGCCCCGCGTGGAAGGAGAGCCAGGCTGGGTTGGGGGGACCCCCCACTCTCTCCCGTGCGCCCCCTCCCTCGCCTTGCTCCCCCCCATCCCAACCTTGTAGGAGTCGGTGGCCAGGAGGAGGTTGAACTCGGCTCCGAGCGCGGCGCTCTCCATGCTGCCTGGGGCCGGTCGGAGGCGCAAGGGCGGGCGAGCGAGGAGGCTGAAGGGCACCGCGGTCCAAGGCGCGCCCCGCCGGCGGCCCCCCGAGTGCAAAGGCGAAGAAGGCGGGCAAAGAGAAAGGGGCGCCGCGGCCACTCGCCTGGCCCACCCTCCGGGACCGCGGGGCGGCGCCTTGACGTCACGCCGGCCCTCGGGCCCGGATTGGACGGCATCCCTCCCCGAGGGGGGGGACGGGGCGGGGGAGCTGTGAGGTCACTCGGAGCCGGGGACGCCGTCTCTCGCCGCTCATTGGCTCCCGTCGCGCGAGGGAGGGGAGGGGAGGGGGAGTGACGTCACGGCCCGCGGCTACCCGGGACGCCTTCGCGCTTCTGTTTGGGTTGGGAATCTTTGCCCCGGCTGGAGAGAAGCTACGGAGGGGGGGCGGAGTTGAGGAGGTTGACGTCACGCACGAAGGGCGGAGTTGGTCCCTCTGGTTGGACGGGATAGGGTGGTTCGGGAGGGGGGGGAGCGGGGAGGGCGCTAGGTGACGCGCGCGCGAGCGCCGGGTGACGGAGGGGGGGGGGAAGCGCGCATGCGCAGCCCCGTCGAGGAACGAAGGTTTCTGCTTTCGATTCTTCGCCTCAGGGCGAGCCGGGGACGGTCGCGCCAAGGTCGCGCGGGTTCGCCTGCACGTGTGAGCGCGTCGCTGGCTTCCTCGTGTCGTCAGGGCGCGAGGAGAGGAGAAAGGTGCCAGTTTTAAAGACGGAAGACACACATACACACACACGCGGCCTCATTTTAAAAACGTAAACGGACATTTGAGCCTCTGTGGAGACGGAGCTGAGTGGGGAAACCCACCCGGGGAAGGAAACCATCAAGCCAAAAAAAAAAAAGGCCCGGTCCCAATGAGTCAACGTTTCTCAAGCTCAATAGTTTTTAAGGGCGGGCCGGAGAGGGAGAGAAACTCCCAGGATTCCCCATCTGGCACTTCGGGATGGGGAATTATGGGAATGAAGGTTTCCTTCCCCCCCCCTTAAAGCTACTGACATTGAGAAACATTGTATTAAGATATAAGATAAGCTTTATTGTCACTTTTCTGTAAACACTGACACACACACACACACACACATCCATACATACACACACACTCCATATATTAACTTTAACTAAATTAACTATACTAAGCCAAAAGTAAACCAGGTTTGTACTAACCTCATAGTGAGCCAAACATAAGCCATGTTATGGCTTAATATGCTCTATTTGTGTGTGTATATATGTGTGTGTGTGTGTGTGTAGATGACAGATATAGAAAGATATAAATAGCACATACATACGCACTCCGTATATGCGTATACATATTCAAACTCTACACACACACACACACATATACACACATACACAGACATCTATTTTACGCGGGAGAAAACCCGAATAACCAAAGACCTATATACAAACACCCGCGAAAACCTCAGAAAACACACACACACACACACATATATATATATATACACATACACACCACACACACACACACACACACAAATACACATATTAAGCCTTAACATGGTTTATGTTTGGCTCAGTATGAGGTTAGTATAAGCCTGATTTACTTTAGGTTTCAGGAGAAATAGGAAAAGAAAACGAAAATTCTGTAGTAGGTTACATAATACAAGTCAAGAAATTCCTCTCTTCCCCCCCCCCAGGGCGAGGTTCAAGCAATCTGTTGCCACACCTATTTGGCAAGAAAGTGTTACATTCTTTCCTGAATGTTGACTTCAATCTGGTTCACTGATTGCATTTACATTTTATGACTTTTCTTGCCACATTTGCTAAGTGAAATCACTGCAGTTGTTAAATTAATAACATGAATCTGGATTCCCCATTGGCTTTGCTTGTCAGGAGGTCGCAAAAGGTGACCATGTGAACCTGGGACGCTGCGACCATCATTAATAGGTTGCCAAGCATCGGAATGTAAATCACATGACCATGAGGATGTTGCAGTGGTCATAAGTGTGAAAAATGGTCATAAGCCACTTTTTTCAGTGCCGTTGTAACTTTGAGCAGTCACTAAATGAACTGTTGTAAGTCGAGGACTCACTGTATGTTGCTTGATGGATTGTGTGCCATCCTAGAGACAATGCAGATTTTCTTCATGAAAATCTCTCCCTAACTTCTTTCAGGTTTCCCAACTGGAACTGAATCCGTCCACCTTGCTCTTAGTCCTTTTCTTTCTCCTTCCACTTTTTCTAACATTAGAATAGAATAGAATAGAATAGAATAGAATAGAATAGAATAGAATAGAATAGAATAGAATAGAATAGAATAATGAAGAATAAGATAGAATAGAATAGAATATATATTGGAATATGGAATAGAATAGAGTCTATTCTATTCCATATTCCATATTCCAATATATATTCTATTCTATTCTATTCTATTCTATTCTATTCTATTCTACTCTATTCTACTCTATTCTATTTTCCATATCTTTTCTATTCTGTTCTGTTCAGTTCTGTTACTCTATTCAATAGAATAGAATATATATTGGAATATGGAATAGAATAGAGCAACAGAACAGAATAGAATAGAAAAGAATATGGAATATGGAAAGTAGAATAGAATAGACTATAGGAATATGGAATATGGAATAGAATAGAGTAACAGAATAGAAAAGAAAAGAATATGGAAAATGGAAAATAAAATAGAACAGAATAGAATAGAATAAGATAAGAGAATAGAGGAATGAAGAATAGAATAGAATACAGTAAGAGAAGAGAAGAGAATAGAGGAATGAAGAATAGAATAGAATAGAGGAATAAAATAATAGAAGAGAAGAGGAATATAGAATAGGATAGGATAGAATAGAATAGAATAGAATAGAATAGAATAGAATAGAATAGAATAGAATAGAATAGAATAGAATAGAATAGAACAGAGCTGGAAGGGACCATGGTGGTCTTCTAGTCCAGCTTTCCCGCATAGAGTTGGGGTCTTCGCATATTTGTTCATTTGCATCCCACCTTTACTATTTTTCATGAACAAAGGCAAATATACATGTCCCAGGTTAATGTTGCAAGATCCATTATGGGTCAGTCAGTGGAACCAGAGGTTTAATCTTCCAAGTTTTCAGACTCATTCTAGAGTCCAGCCTCAGGGAATTTCTCTCTCACAGAATATGTGCTGTGGGCTATTCTCGATGTGGTATTTATATGGTGCCTAGTTGTGTGTGGCTTTTTAATTCTTGATTGGTATGTTGATAGCTGGTGATTGATGGTTGTTTTCTTGGGCTGCCAAGCCCTCGCCTCCTAAGTTGACTGACAAGGGGCCCATTTCCCGGGCTTCAATCCCTTCCCTGGCTGTTTTTGTACCTGCTCGGCCAACAATCTTAGTAGCTGCAAAACAGGCGGTAAGTCATGGTGCTAAACACACACAATATTCCTTCGTCCTCCTATTTTCCCCAGAGCAACAGACCTGTAAGATGGGTTGGGCCGGGAGGGAGTGACTGGCCCAAAGTCACCCAGCTCGTTTTGGTGGCTAAGGCAGGACTAGAACTCACAACCTCCTGCCTTCCAGCCTGGTGGCTTAACCGTTAGCCCACAACTAGCTATGTTTTACGACCAAAATGTCATAAAACGTTACCTGTAGCCAATTCTTGATGTTTGACTGTAGAGTACAGTTCAGCGTGGGCTACTCATCTCTGAATTTTTAAGAACTTTTCCAGTGAAGGCAGTATACCTTAAAAGCTTTGCCTTCAAGGCACGGATGAATCTGGCAAGGAAATAATGAGTTTCCTCTTAATATAAAATTTCAGTTTCCTTTCTGAATAATTTTCTAGTGAAACATATTCCCTCTGGTTGAAAAAAAAAATTAAACCACAGTAGGTGTTCTCCCTAACTGTGAGTGAACTTCCTACATCTCTAACTGAGATTACTCATGTCATCATTACGCTTTTTGGTCCGAAATATACTGCTTGGGTGGAAATTAACCTTTTCAAAGTCTGTAACAGCAATTGTCCTATACATGGGGTTGCTTCTGAACAAATGAATGTGTTTTATGTTAGCTATACAGAATGAGTGAAGAAATGTCATTTGAAACCTCTGTTCTTTTCGTGTCACCTTGAATTAAAATCCTCTTCCAATTGCTTAATTTTTAACTTTCATCCCTGTTGCAGGATTAATGTTTAAATTCTCCTGCTGTCATTCAAACAGGGTCCCTTTATATAATAAGCATGGTGACTGGGTAACTAGAGGTTTAAACACATCGGCATGCTCACCTTTTGATAATATTCCATCTACAGGAGGTCATTGACTTATGACCGTTCATTTAAGGACCGTTCCAAGTTACAACAGCACTGGACAAAGTGACTTTTGACCGTTTTCACACTTACGGCCGTCACAGCATCACCACAGTCATGTCATCCAACTTCAGATGCTTGGCCACTGGCTCATTATTTATGACCGTCTCAGTGTCCCAGGGTCACGTGATCGTCTTCTGACAAACAACATCAATGGGGAAGCCGGGTTCACTTAAGAACGGCGTTGCTAACTTAAGAACTGCAGTGGTTCAACTGAAAAAAATGTGGCCAGAAAGGATGTAAAATGGGGCAAAACTCCCTTAACAAGTGTCTCACTTAAGCAACAAAAATTTGGGGGAATCAGTTGTGGTCGTACGTTGAGGACTACCTGTACTTGCGTCTTTTAATAATGTTGTAGCCTTTATGCTTCAGCTTCTGTGGGTTTTTTCTAGGGAAAACTGAGCTGAGTATGGCATAATCGGGTAGGGAATCTTGGCTCTTTTATGACCCGTGGACTTCAACTCCCAGAATTCCTCAGCCAACCACGCTGAGGGGAAAGGGAGAGGTTTCCAAGCTGAGCCATGCTGGCTCAGGAATTCTGGGAGTTGACGTCCACGAGTCATAAAAGAGCCAAGGTTGCCTACCTCTGCCTTAGGCTGCTTTATGACTTGTGGACTTCAACTTCCAGAATTCCTGAGCCAGCTACGCTGAGGGGAAATGAAGAGGTTTCCAAGCTGAGCCATGCTGGCTGAGGAATTCTGGGAATTGAAGTCCACGAGTCATAAAGCGGCCTAGGGCCAGAGGTAGGCAACCTTGGCTCTTTTATGACTCGTGGACTTCAACTCCCAGAATCCCTGAGCCAGCCACGCTGAGGGGAAAGGGAGAGGTTTCCAAGC